TCTGGTTTGAGTTTTTATGGTATGCTTTACGAATTTTAGTGGTGCGGCGAGGTTCTAGTCCGCTTGTAAGTTCTTTTGGGCTACTTTATGATATTTGTGGTGTGGTATGGTTTATTTTGTTTCTGATATATCGTTTGTGGTTTGCTTCATGCATGACATTTGTGGTAAGTTACGAGACCCGAAATTAATCCATAACACACATTTGCTCCCTTATTTTTTTTATAATGACACGTGTATTCCTCGTTAATTAGTTAGCATCATTCTTACAAATCGGGTGTTAGTATATATGCTAACCGCTCCCATGTTGTTTCCGTTCGATCTATTGTCACACTCGCCCAATGAAAATACAATAATACGATGATAAACAATAGCAAATGAGGCGTAAGAGAGCAAAGAAGACGACGACAGCGAGAAGCAAAGGTAGCTGGTGGGTTAGCTAGTTGATCAATCCAGTTGCAGTATTATATTATAATAATAACAATTTTTTATGATATCCTTTGAGAAGAAGAAATGAAAACGGGAATATAAGGCGGAGATGCATGCACCTTCTCTACTCTGTCTGGCACTATCTATCCCCCACATATCGGCATCTTTAGTTCTCTCCTCCATCGATTGATTAACATATATAATAATATATATTAGGGTGTGCCTACAGTGACATGCATGTCACGGTGACTTGCACTTTCCGGTCGACCTCAATTAGGATTAGGTCGACCTCATTTAGAATTCGGTCGACCTTATATAGGATCAGGTCGACCTAATATGTTGTTTCGGTGTAAAAACAGTTCATGGTGCCTACTTTGGATATTCCTATCATACAATTGGCTAGATGGAAATTGAAGACTAATGACTTGTTTTGAAGCTGGAGTGTCCATCTACATATTGAAGTGATTGAGAGCTCGATAGGAAGTCCAGAAGACCATTTTTGAACCTCATCAAAAGGCTATGCCAAAACTGGGAAACTGCCTGGAAATGGCTAAATCTGGAAACGTGTTTGTGAAGCCTATTTTGGAGCTCAATTCGAGAAGCATGAATGCGAGTCGAGTCCAGGAGCCTCTACCACGTTAAATTAGGTATGTTTTTATACAAATTCAAGGCATTGGATGAAATATTGGATATCTGTAAGGCTTCAAACAAAAGGGTCGAAGTTGCTACGAAGGCTGTTTTTCTGGCAGACTTCGAGCACAAGCAAGCTGCCAGAAAAATAGCCTTCGTAGCAACTTCGAGCCTTTTGTTTGAAGCCTTAAAGATATTCAATCTTTCATCCAATGTCTTGCCTTTGTATAAAAAAATACGTAATTTAACGTGGTAGAGGCCCCTGGACTTGACTCGCATCCATGCTTCTCAAATTGAGCTCCAAAGTAGGCTTGACAAACACGTTGCCAGACTTGGCCATTTTCAGGCAGTTTCCCATTTTTGGCATAGCCTTTTGGTCAGGTTCAAAAAAGGTCTTCTGGATTTTCTATTAAGCTCCCAAGTACTTTAATGTGTAGAGGGACACTTCAGCTTCAAAACAAGCCTTTAATGTCCAATTTCCATCTAGCCAATTGTAAGATATGAATCTCCAAAGTAGACACCATGAAACTGTTTTTACACTGAAACAACAGATTAGGTCGACCTAATAATATATGAGGTCGACCGAAAAGTTCATGTCACCGTGACATGCATGTCACCGTAGCAAAGTCCTATATATTATTGAATGTATTTCTTAATTAGTATACATTTCCTGATTAGTGTTGCAATTTGAATTCGTTCTTCGAGTATTATCTTTATCATATTTGTGTTAGAGGGTTAATATTCCACACGTAGTAGTGTGGGTTTGAGCATGAGCAATATTTTTATTTTGGCCTGCCTCGTTTGGCTTCCATCTTAACACTTTTTATCTTGATTTATTTCGATTTTTTTTTTATCTTACTCTTCCTCATTTTAATTTATATTTTCATCTAATGATATTTTAAATAAGTACAAAATTTCACCTTTCCGGACTCAATTCATCTACATATTATCTCTAATTTTAATTTATGAATTATTTTTCTCTTTATTTTATAATAAAAAAAATTAAAAAACTTCTTCAAATAATATATAAAAGTAGGACGACCTGTCAATTCGTACCCATGTGAATATTACAATAAATGATCCATGCTTGATATGGGACGAATACGGATATTGAATTACTCGTTAACGCTGTTGCTATCACTACCTTCCACCTTTTATTTTTTTTGCCAAAGGTGTCCAAAAATGGAAAATAACAATATACCGAGTATATACAAGGACCTTACAAGTCAAATTACAAAATAAAACAAAGAAATAAGTAATAGTCGATCAAGAAGCGATTCAATAATGAAAAGACTTGTTTTACCATCGTATATATATAAATAATGTGCATATATTATTTGCTTACTGTTGGAGGGTTTGGATTGGAGTAGACTCGTTAGTCCCTCCCCTCCATCGTGTTTTCCTTCAATTTCTTTGTTGTTGTTTTTTTCTTTTGTAAGAATTTTCCTTCCATTTCTATTTCTAAACGTAACTGATCAACTCATTCGTTGGAATTATGCCGCGTGCATGGTGACGCGATGATGAAGAGTCCAATCCAAACAAGTTCACTAGGCCTAGTAAAAGGAGCAGAAGGAGATAAAAGGATTGATACGCAAGAAGCTAGCTGGATCCTTGACAAAAATATACATCATCGTATTGATCATCATGAAATTCCGCCCAAAAGAGGTTATGTATAATGACGAGGAAAAGGGGAACTCAAACATCAGCAACTCATCATATCATGTTATTATTATTAATAAAAAACTAAAGAATCAAGCCGTTCACGAGGAATGGCAACGAGGCAGATCCGGGCGGGTACCTTGGTACCCAGACCCGTCCTGTAGTAGGTTGGATTTAGGTCGGGTAATTTATCACAGGTCGCGAGTTGGGGGCAGGTCGACCCAATAGGTATGCAATTTATATGAAAAACATTAGAAATATTCGTTATTTTTATTATAAGACCAAGAAAACAAACAATATTATGATAAATGTAGTTAAACTATTGGAGAAATTGAGATTTTCACTAATTTACAACTTTATTACAAGTAAAATATGATGTAATGAAAGAAAAATTCGAAGTAATTTCACTAAAATTATATTTAATTCAATCAAGAAAGGATCGAAAATGGGGCGGGTCAGGGCAGGTCGGGTCGATGACGATACCCATGCCCGCCTCTCCCCAAAACAGAACAAGCAGATCGGGTAAAACGAGCCAGATCGAAATTGTCATCCTGTCCATGAGGCGATAATCATTATTATCAGAGAGTAAAAGGAGAAGAAACAAAATCAATTTTATGGACAACAGATCAAAATGACTCCATTGTCACATAGTTCGACGGTGAATAAGTCAAAATGACTTGCTAAGAGAACAATCATATTTGCATTGTTTCATATTGAATATGTTTAACTTCAGAGTACTTACACTAATTCTTTCATTTCACCTTCAGAACGCGTCTTTTCAGTTCATGTTGATTTCTTACTTATGAATAATGGATATTTTGTGTGCTTCGTCGATACGAGATTTGCCTAAGTGGTTACATACACCCCCTCAAGGACTCGTTGAGGTTTGCCCCACCATCACCCGATAGGGACGTCGAGAGGCTCTAATACCACTTATAACATTTCGAACGTTCACAAGCCAAAAATATTGTCCGCTTTGGGTCTAGATCCATAAAGTTATTACCTTGGGGTGCATGTCAAGTTGACTTCTTGAGAGGTTACCCATCCTTGCATTGCTCTATGCTAAGCACGTTTAACTTTAGAGTTCTTACAATAACTCTTTCATTTCACCCCAAAACGCTTCTTGTCATTTAAGGTCAATTTCTTACTGATAAATTATGGATCTCTCATGTGCTTTTGTGGAAATATAGAATAAGATAAGGGGTTGGGTTGGGTTTAATGATGTGGCAGGTCGGGTTTTATTTTGATGAGTCAAATTCGACTGATTAGGCGATTCTGTTTGCCACGTCAACACTTACCAGACTCCGTTAACGAATTTGGATGGAGACCAATGGAGAGTAGGGCTGTTAATAAGCCGAGTCGAGCTTTGCCATAGTTCGGGCTCGGCTCGTGTTCGTCACGAGCTTTAATATGCAAGCTCGAGCTCGGCTCGTTTATGAAAATGAAAGCTCGAGCTCGGCTCGTCAAATAAGCTTAACGAGCCTAAAATTGAGTTCAACTCATAAAATGTTCATGATAGCTCAAGATTGACCTAGAACTGCGCACAAAATTACATTCAAACCTGCAACAAAGTCTAGCAAAGTAAAACACAATATTTATCCCAATTTCAATACATAAAATCCATGAATTCTAATCATTTTTTTAATGGCAAACCATTAAATGAGCTTGTTCGCGAGCTTACGAGCTGAACATGGTATGGCTCGAGTTCGGCTGGTTTAGTTAACGAGCTTGTTCGCGAGCCGGCTCGATTAAAACAAATCGAGTGTCAAACGAGTTTTTCTCAAGTTGCACACCGAGCCGTTCATGAGCGGCTTGGTTCATTAACAACCCTAATGGAGAGTGACCAAACATGACATGTTTTACTAAACTTAGTGACTATTATTGATATTAATTTTTTCCAATTACTAAATATGACACGTTTTAATAAACAGTGACTAAATTTGAAATTTGTCCTTAAATAAAGGGAGGGTTAGCATCGTAACTTCCACCTACTTTTGTCGTCTTCTTCACCGCATAACCCAATCCGGCAACCTGGCACCCTCTCCCATTAACGTTTTACTCACCACCAACCGCGGCAGCTGCAGCGTCTCAAACGAAACCAAAACCCACTCTTCCTTCCATCAAAACAAAACCCAAATCAATTAATCACATCTCTCTCTCTTCCTCTCAAGAACCCAACAACAGATTCCAGTTTCAGTATTCATTCCAAGCATTTCCCATCTCATTTCACCTGAAAATCTAGCATCAAAACCCACCTCCATTTCTCGCCGGCAACAACAACCACCATGTGTGGCGGTGCTATCATCTCCGACTTCATACCTGCCACCGTTGGCGGTGGCCGTGCTTCCTCCAGGAAGCTCACCGCCGACTTCCTCTGGCCCGATCTCAAGTCCAAGTCACTCAAAAGCAATAAGCCTTACTCCAAGCCCGTCGTCATAGATCTCGACGAAGATTTCGAGGCGGATTTCCAGGGATTCAAGGATGATTCCGATGTCGATGAGGACGACTGTGATGTTGATGCCTTGGCCGATGTCAAGCCGTTTGCTTTCTCTGCTGCACCTCCTCCCCAGCCTCGCAACTCCGCCGCTTCCCGCGGTAATTAATCGCATACCCTCTTTTCCCGGGTTTTCGGGATCGCTGGCTTAGTTTATAGGCATCTAATCGAGTCAATCCAAGCTTAGTTTAGGGGGGAAATGTTTAGATTGTGTTTATGAGGTGGCTAATTGGAGTTCTGGGTTGTGGTATTGATAAGTTTCTTAATTTGCTTTTTGATAAAGTTTCCAGCTTTCTGTTTTGGTTACAGCTGAGTGAAAAGCTTCTCTACTTGTCGTCTTTTCCTTATTTTCCTCCCTTTTTTCTGGGTGATATTGGGGGAAGAGCATGGTATCTGCAGTTTCACGATCTCAGATCAGAGTTTCTTCTTCCTTTTTTGCTTTTTACGTTTGTACCACTGTAGTAAATATCGTTACCATAGCTTTGTGTGGAACCCTTGCAGTTTTCATGTCTAAAGGAATTTTTCCTAGGCAAAATTATGTTTACATCTTTCAAACTCCTGGATTTGTGTTCTTGTTTGCAGCCTTAAACATTGGAACTTGGTATTGAATAATCGTTGCTGATTGGATCTCTGCTATATGCATAGGACACCCGTCTTTAATCCTCGCCTGTAAACATTTGATATTGTTATTAGGATAGCAAAACTCAGTTTGGTTATTATTGCGGTAATAATTGACTTGTTCAACTGAAGTTTTGGGTATGTCATGCTTGACAGATTCGTTGCTATTATGGCATCCCTGTTGACTGTATGATTGATTGTGCACATGCTGATAGCTTAAACTAATTCGTGAAGCTCTAAAAGTGCAAAGATGTTACCTTTGCTTTTTGCTGATGAATCTGTGTTTTTCGTTTGTTCTTAATTTTGTTGAAGGCTCTACAGCGGTGAAGTCAGTGGAATTCAGTGGACAAGCTGAAAGATCTGCAAAGAGAAAGAGGAAAAACCAGTATAGGGGGATCAGACAGCGTCCATGGGGTAAATGGGCTGCAGAGATTCGTGATCCCAGTAAAGGAGTTCGTGTCTGGCTTGGCACATTCAACACTGCTGAAGAAGCTGCCAGAGCTTATGATGCCGAGGCCCGTAGAATCCGCGGCAAGAAAGCTAAGGTGAACTTTCCTGATGAAGCAGCACCACGTTCGGCTACATCTAAGCTCTCCACAAAGAGCAAAGCTCAGAAATCAGTTCCCAAGGCAATCCCAAAATTGGATGCTGGTTACTCGGAGTATGCTGAGCAAGAGTTCTTCAACTCTATGAACTACGTGGAAGAGAAACCATCACTGGACCAGCTCGGGAATATGGACACCTTGCCCTCAAATGGAAATGCTGGAATCAAGTCTACTGTTGACACCAGTGCTCCCATGTACTTCAGTTCTGATCAGGGGAGCAATTCCTTTGATTTTTCTGATTTTGGATGGACCGAACAGGGCGCCCCAAGGACCCCCGAGATCTCGTCTGTGTTTCTAGCTGGGCCTGAGTTCAACGAATCTGCATTCGGAGAGGAGGATGCTAATCCCAGCAAGAAACAGAAGTTCAATAATTCTGATGGTGCTGAGGTTCCTCCCCAGGAAGAGAACAAAGGGAATTCCGCGGAGGGAGAGGAGCTGTTTGGATTTGATAACTATCTTCAGATGCCATATATGGAAGGAGGCTGGGAGGCTTCCCTTGAGAATCTACTTAACGGAGTTACCACCACCACAACAACAACAACGCAGGATGATGGGAACACAATGGGCCTGTGGAGCTTTGATGACCTCTCCAACATGGTTGGAGGAGCCTATTAAGAGAGCAGATTCTGCTGGGCTGTTGTTGTAAATAAAGGCTACCATGTTGTAAGTTGTTAAAGCATAACTGAACCTTTGGTTTCGTTTCAATAAGTCTGTCATTAGCCGTTTTTTTTTTTACATATTTCCCATGTCCATATCTGTTTGTAATGTGACATTTTTGTATATTGCAGTGGAGTTTGGTTTGGGAGGTGAAAGAAGGAAAGAAGTCAGGCTGGACCTGCGTAAGGCAAATGTAAGAGGAGTCGTCCGTTTTGTTTCTGTGTCGTCGCACCTGGAGCTTTTTGTGCAAGAGTACTGTAGTATATAGATGACTATTGATGCTGTTCTGCTAAGCTGCCTTTTATCTCTAGAAAGAAAGACATTTTTAAGCTGTTGAATGAATATGATCCCTGAATGTAATTTGACTGCTAGTGGTGGCATGGTCTGTCTGTGATGTTGGGAAGGTAGAGAAGAAGAGCATTATGAAGCTTCTGAACCATTTTCCCTTCATGTCAATGGTCTCCTACCTAACTGAGAGAAGAGACCATAATGTCTTAACTAGTTTCTTTCGTTGTTCCAGAACGTGGTTATTAATGAAATGCTGCATTCATGATTTCCTGTGGAAAATGTCTTGCTGCAAAATGCAACTGTATATGAGATGAGAAGGCGGGGTTTCGAATTTTGATTTTGCCCCCCTCGTTTTCTTGCTCCTATCTTCGCTGAAACAGGGGATAGGATTGGAAAGAGGGGGCAAAGGGGTAGACTTTTGAGCCTGTTTAGTTTGAAGGGGGTGAAAGTTGAAGGGGGAAGAAAGTAGGTAGTAAAGAAAACGTGTCAAGAAAGGAGGAAAGGTGGTTGAGAGAGATGCTGGGAATTGGGTTTGGTGGTACATTGCATACAGCAGCAGCACAGGCAAGAGGGTTGAAGATGATGGATGGTAAAAGTAAAAAAGATGAATGAGGGGAAATGGTCAAAAGTTGAAGGTGGGAGAAGAAGCTACCAGAAGAAGAAGGAAAAATTAGTCTAGTCACCATTTGTGCCTGGCACGGGGTAAGACTGGAGACTGGAGAGGCGTCGTCGTGGTTGGTGGCTCTGCTTTCCTCTGCGTCTGTGGCACAATAATAACAGTGAGTGCATTGGAAGGCGGGGAAGGGGCAGGGCGGTGGTGGAGGCTCTGCTGCCGTCACGTTGGCGCCAGCGATGTATCCATGCATCATTGGATTACATAAGTACGTCTGTTGGCCGTCGATCTTTTTTGTGGCTGCTGATGACTTGGAATCTGTTGATCTGGCTGTGTCGTGTGTGGGAAAGACTCCAAAGTATGTGAGTAGACAAGAATGCGATTGCAGAGTGGGCCTGCCCTTTGCGGTGGTGGAGGCCGCCAGGGCGGACGTCATTTAGGAATGGCAATACGGCAAGTCCGGGGCGGGTATCTCGATATCCATACCCGCCTCATGGCAGGTCGGGCAATATATTATTGGGCGCGGGTTGGGGCAGGTCGACCCAATGTGTATGCAATTTATGTGAAAATATTAGAAATATTCGTTATTTACATTAAAAGACCAAGAAAGAAACCATAATATGATAAAATCTAGTTAAATTATTGAAGAAATTGATGTTTTCACTTCATTGTAAATTTATTATAACTAAAATATAATGTAAGAAGAAGAAAATTCTAAGTAATTTGACTAAGATTATATGTAATTTAGACAAGAAAGAGTCGAGAATGGGACGGGTCAAGGCAGGTCGGGTCGATAAGAGGTACCCATGCCCGTCCCGCCTGCGGGACGAGTCTGACCCGCCCAAAACAAACCAAACAGATCAGGTAAATTGGATCAGATCAAAATTGTCATCCCTATCGTCATTATTTTGTTCATTTTGATTTTCATGGTTGATGATGGCAAGTTGCCAATGCCACATAAACCAAAACCAGTCCAGAGGAGTCACTAGTCAGTCGTCCTGCTACAGCTCGCGGAGCAGGAACTTTAGTCAGTACTCGGTAGCATAGGGATGTTGGTCTGGGCCCAAGGTCCAATAGGGCATTTTAGTTAGTTGTGAGTTGCATAGCCTACATTGGAGATGGGATGAATGGGTAAGAAAGAGGCCCAACAATTTAACGAGTGAAGTGCTCTGCTCTGATGGCATTTACACTGCATTAATAGGTTGTTCCTTGAAAATCCTGCCAAACATCCGGTCTCATCCTTTAGCAAGCATGTTGTTACGGGACAATCCAAGTACCACATCGGTAATACAAGGGAATGGAGCCTTGTATATAACAGTTCACCAAGCTCATTAGTACGATGCCTTTTGGGAAGGATACCCAAGAATAAAACCGTGCGGACTTAGTCCAAAGCAGACAATATCGTACTAATTGAGCACTCACGTGTTTGACACGTGCATCTAAACTCAAGTGGTGAGACCGTATGAACCACACAACTCAGCCTGTTTTGATCTAAGTGTCTCCTTGTTATACCTAGTTAATGAATGTTATAGGATGTTTATACATTACTGATCAGGTATACGACCTGATCTTATTTTGATAACTGTTAGCTCCTTCCGCCTGCCATCATCTGAAAGAGCAGCAGAAGAGACACATCAGGGCACTTAGTTGGTTTTGAGATACTGAGTTCACACTGGACACATCAATGGTGGAGGGTCGAGCTGAGACCAGCCCACTTAATATTTCTGGATTGGATTATTATGGCGCTAACAAGGGACTCCTAATCTTTCCAACAAGAATCATCACTCTGCAATTTGACAACATATGATCTGGTATTGAGTTTGACCAACCAATGTGATGGATGGACGGACGAGATGATGTATCTTCCATCCTATCTTGCTCATGTATCAAGTTGCTAATTAATGACGTTGTATAATTAATGTACACATTGATTAAGTATATCCCAGCTGAGGCTGTTCCAAACTCCGAAACCTACCAAATCAAGTTAAGGATCCGAGATACGACTATTTCACATTCCTATATGCAACTGTGGTGTCAATGGAACTTTGCATTTAAAATGGAAGAACAAGAAACAAGTGCATATAGGAGACCAGTAAAGTAATGTGGGGAACAATCAACTTCTCCATTTCCAAGCAGAATAGACCTTTGAAGTTGACTTCCCATTTTCCCCACAGTTTTGCTGTATAATTATCACTACATTGATCACAAGTAGCTTACGTATGCTCCTCAAGTTTACGCCACTTTCTATATTGCATAAATTAGGAAAACATCTCCTCACATTTCTTTTCACACACCCTAGTACTGCCCAATATCTTGCCTTAATGGTTTGTTATATTAACTCCTAAGAGGTACTCTCTTTCGAAAATTAGGGATGGCAACGGGTTCAGAGGGGTCGGTTTTCTTATATCTCCGAACTACGGTTTTAAAATCATAACCATTCTCATAACCAAAGTTGTGAGGGGATGTTATATGACATATCAAAATCAACTAGTATACAGCTCGGGGAAAATACACCAGCACTATCTCCGAATAACCAGTTAAAAATCCACCCAGTTGAATTTTCCCCAATAAAATTGATTCAACTGGATACCCACGATGATGAATTATCTTGCCATCCCTACATAAACCTAATAAGTCAAGGGCAATACCAGCATACCCTACCATGTCTTCACTTAATCTGCTAGAAAATTAGATGTGTGACATAAAAAGAGGGGACAGAGTGTCCCAGGAAGGAACTAGGCTACACACTTACATAAAGATTCCAATCCTGCAGCGAGCTAGCCACACCACCATTATCACAGCAGGCTGCTCCATTTTCTCTCTATCCATCTCGCTGTCTGCATGGCGACAACTTGCTGATTAATGCGCCCATCCCCTCCACCTCCTTCTATATTGCCTCTCCATCTTTCTCTCTTGAGTCCTCCTTCATTTCCAATCTGATGGAGAAGCCAAATCCTTCTTTATCTCCACAAATTCTCCTTCTGCTTCTGCTTGTCATCATCACATCAAGCAGCAGATGCAGAGCAGAGAATAATGTTGTTGGTGGCAGGGGAAAACAGAGTAGTAGTAGTAGTGGAGTGGCCTTCTTCATATTCGGCGACTCATTCCTCGACGCCGGCAACAACAACTACATCAACACCACCACCTTAGACCAGGCCAACTTCCCTCCTTACGGCCGGACCTTCTTCAACTTCCCCACCGGCCGCTTCTCCGACGGCCGCTTGCTCCCGGACTTCATTGGTCCCTCTCTACTCTGTTATCTCCATTTAACCTCATTCTGTTTTTGAAAGATTACGAGTTACAAACTATTGTTACTTTCGTCACGTTTATAGCCAAATACGCGAAGCTGCCGCTGATTCCACCCTTCCTACAACCTGGCAACAACATCGACCATATGGCGATGGGAGTCAACTTCGCATCCGCCGGAGCTGGCGCTCTCGTCGAGACTTTCCAAGGAGATGTAAGTGGTGCTCTCGTAACAATTAATTAACATCCCTCCCCTGGTAATTAGCGCGTTGATTCAGTTCCGTTATCATGATGATCATACAATGAGAATGAGAAAATTCGCGGTAGTACTTCCCGGTCGTCCCCGACATGGGCCATGTCGGCAAAGGACATTTGTCTTGATGATCCTCAACATTCCCGCCTACAATAATTATGATTAGGGAGAATTAAATTAATTAGGTGGTTAATAGGTTGAAAGTAGACCAGAGACTTCTAGCATTGTTTACTAATATAATCAGCTATAATCATGGGATTCGGAGGCTGGGTGGGTGGATGGATCCGTAGGCGATCTGCACCCAAAACACTTTCGAAAGGGATCATCTGGTCCACTGACTCTGCTCCAATTGGGTGTGCGGCTGTGGACTGTTAGCCGCGTGCTCGACACATCCAAATCAAATGTTATGTGTAAAGCTCCAAAACCCCACCACCACCCAAGCCATGGCCTTTCCATAATGGGAACACCCTCCCTTTGTTGTCGACTTCCCATTGGTTGGTTGGTGCAGTAGCCCCAAATCTACAGAGTTCCAATTCCAGCAAACTCCATTGCTTTTCACTCGATCAGGCATGTGAACACATGGTTTATTGTTCTTGCAGGTGATTGATCTGCAGACGCAGCTGGGGAACATGAAGAAGGTGGGGAAAGGGTTGAGGAACAAGTTGGGCAAGGAGGAAAGGGATGCAAAGATATCAGGAGGAGTGTACATGTTCAGCATTGGAAGCAACGATTACATGAGCCCTTTCCTGACCAATTCCTCGTCTTCTCTCCTTTTCCACGCCTCCAGCTCCAGATTTGTAGCCATGGTGCTCGCCAACTTGACCGCCGTTGTCAAAGTAAAGTACCAATTCCTCTGTCCTTAGTTGATTTCGTCTCCCTCTCAGGCATTTCCAGAAATGGTAACTTGTTTGGATGGGGTATTATGTACAGGACATATATGGGATGGGAGGGAGGAAGTTTGTGTTCATGAATGTGCCGACGCTGGGATGCCTGCCAGCGATGAGGCTGCTGATGAAGAACCCGAATGGGTGCTACGAGGAGCAGGTTTCTGAGCTGGCAAAGCTGCACAATGATCGACTTTCGACGGTGGTTCTGCCTCGGCTGGCCAGGGAGCTGAAAGGGTTCAAGTATTCGTTGTTTGACTTCAGCACCAGTTTGCACCGCAGGATGACCCATCCTTCCAACTACGGTACGTTTTACAAAGTTAATAATAGTTCACAGAGTTGGTTCGTGCTTTTGCCTTAACTTGATTGGTGGGCCGGTGAAATTGTTGACTTTTGAGGGCTGAGTGTGGTGGTCTGTCTGACTGGTCTCGGGCTCGGCTGGCCCATGGGATTGCATTACTAAAAATAACAAAAGAACACACCAGAAAAGATCAATTATTGGGCTGCCTTAAAATTGTCCCACTTCACTTTTGGAAGTGTGCATGGCCCATATAGATTGTTACTTGATTGGACATGTCCAAAAAGCCCCCAATCAAACCAAAAAGAGAAGTTACAAAAGCTAATTTTAAGGCTTTCATCATGATTGTAAAACATAGAATTATTAGAGTATTCAAGTAAGTTAAAAGAGAGAGAAAGGATTTGTATGAATATCATTGAAATTAAGTGGGGTGAATGAGCCAATAAGTTGCCTAGTTGCTTTATTAAGTTTTGAGCATTTTAACGAGTTTAACATGGTGAGATTTATCATTCAACCTTTTGTTGAATTCAAATGTTTGGAATTTGTGAGTTTAAATCATGGTCCATTAAATCGTATCGTACCGACGGTTCAACCACAAAATATCAGTATCGGAGGCTAAACCGATAGGCGATATTTAAAGGTACTAATGGTTGAACTACGGTTAAACCACGGTTTTGTCATAAAATACCCTATCGCTGACTTTTCCGGTACGGTCTCCGGTACAGTTTCATGGACCATGGTTTAAATGGTGTATTGAGCTAATTTAAGTATTTGTGAGATTTAATTAATTTTTTTGTTTATATTGAACTAGAATATATGTATTAAATTTTTTGGGGTCACATTATTGATATCACTCAAAATTTACTTTTGTGGCTTTCCAACGAAAACATAATCTAAACCTCGAAAAATAGTATTATCCTAATACATCGAATAACAATACACTAATTGACTCAAATACATTAATTTGAAGAATCACAACTTCCAAACGACCCCCAAATTACACTAAAGCTAGCTAATGGTTGGTTATATTTACCTATTTGGTGGTACAACCCAATAATCATTGATAAATTGTTCACTAATATGATTTCGAATATAATTTTATATCAGCTTCAAAGTAAAAAAAAAATTTATTTTCACTGCTTGCAATTACAACAGATGTGTCAAATTAGAATTTCAATTCAGAGGTGTGTCGGAGATCCTTTAAAACGACGAAACATGAATTTTTCACCGAAATCCCCGACGGGTACACCTCCTCTTAACCTAGGTTCGCCCCAGCCAGTGATCATCTAGTGGAATGTGATGAATAGAAAATAGATAATGGTTTGTTATGAATCTATATTGGTGAGTTGCAGGGTTGAAGGAAGGAGAAGAGGCGTGCTGCGGGACAGGGAAGTGGAGAGGAATCGACAGCTGCGGAGGGAAGAGAAGTGTGAAGGAGTTTGAGGTCTGCAACAATCCCACTGAATACCTCTTCTGGGACTCTTTTCACCTCACTGACACTGCTTACCACCAAATGGCACGTGAGATCTGGAATCCAACTCCTCCTCCTTCTTCAACCATCACCAAGAGCTCTCCCCTCGCCATTGTCGGACCTTACACCCTCCACCAGCTCTTCCACGCCACCATTCATCATTAGCTCGTCGTGTTTACCTTTTAGCTAGCGATATATATATCGAGCATATACATATATAGGGTAGCTAGTATATGTTCTAATTTCTACTCTTCAAATGAAGGAGTTTGGCGTACTTGCTCAGCTATAATATGCCTTCTGGATCTTATTTAGAGTGGTTTCAAACAGATGTGCTAGCTTTTTTTTTGTTTTTATTTTGAGCCTAGTTTTACATTACACCACCTATGGGGTTTCTACAGTGTTACCTACGCATAGGGATGGCTATTTGGTCTTGGTTTTTTGGTTTTACTCGAAACCGAATCGTATAATCTGGACCGATATCAGAGTGGGATCGGATAGTAAACAATCCAATCTCATCTTCGAACTTAGATTTGAGGTAAAAAAATTCGTTCGTGACCAGACCGAAATCCGGATAAGAGAGTCCAACACCAAACTTTAACTAATTCCTCACCCTTTCAGGCATCGGGCCATTCAAATTCCCATAAGGTCAATCTAAAATCAAGATCGAATTGGGACCGGACTGTATCCCCAATCCAATATTTGGTCCTTATATTTTCGAAAAGACCGGATCGGGATCGAATCAATTCGGACAATTTAACCGGACCGAACCATATAGCCATCCCTACTAAGCACGGTGGATCCGGGGGTTTTCAAGACGGCCGGAGCTAGATCTTGAACTTTGTTTTATTGGCGACGGACGGCAGCAGCAAGAGGTGATGCTTTGCTGGTACGACATGAGAATCATTGGTTTTTTCGAATCTTGTGGTTGTTATGGGGGCAATCTCTGGAGATTCTGTGAGGGAAGGAATATTTACCCAAATCCCAGATAAAATCTTTGGAAATCCCTGCGACATGGTTGAGAAGTCGAGTAGTGGTATGATTCTTCAGGAGCGGTTGAGACGATGACCTATTTTCAACTTGCTTATCCGCGAGATTGTTCTCGCACAATGGAGAGTGTAGGATGGAGATCAAGGTCTTGTTGAGGAGTTGGAGGAGTGGTCGAGTAAATTGTTAATTCGAATGGAGAGGATAGGTGGGTGCACAGTTTGGTCCGGTAAATTTGTGCGGAATGAGGGTAAAGGTGGAATAACAAAAAGGTAGTAGAGACAGATTGTCGTTGAATGGATATGTTAGTGTCGAATTTCGATATGTATAGCTGATCTCCATTTCTAAATCCGACATGTATGCAGGTTTTCGAAACCCTTTAATCTTAAAATCTCTAATTTTTGTCCCCCTTCGAAAATGAGAAATTTGGACGAAATGCTTCACACAAATCTCCCATCCAAACTACCTCTTGATGTAATTTCTCAATCCGCCTCTCAGTAATGATCTTCCAACGTTACATTATGTTTAAGCCCCGTAACCCCCTTCTTACGCCTCGTGCTCCTGTCTCCCTCGTCCACTTGCACAGTCGTCCTCCTGCACCCACACAAGAGCAAGATTTATTTTATAAAGTATATCATTCATTGTTTTTTCACAATGAGCAACAAATTTGTACATTATGAGAGATTTTTTAAATAGATTTATCATTTATTTTGCAATGCAAATATTTTGTTTAATGTATACAATCCAACAATCATATATAATTTGGTCAATAATATGATGTTGGAATACCATTTTTATCAACTTCGTAGTAAAAAGGTAATTTTGTTTCTTGCAATTACAACATATGTGTCCATTATAACTTTTGAAGATGTGTCGGAGATCCTAGTTAGTTTCAAATTTTTATAGTGACGAAATATGATGGTGGGGCAAACCTCAACAAGGACATTGAGTCCTTATGGGTGTATGTAACGCCTTAGATGAATCACACATCGACAAAGCACGGGAGAGATACATGGTTCATAAGTCACCAGACCATAAATGACAAGACACATTTTGGGGAACTTTAAAGTTGAATGTGCTCACTATGGAGCATTGCAAATATGGGTGACCTTATGGAAAGTCAACTTGATATACACCTGAAGAAAAAACCACGAGGACCTAGACCCAAAGCGAAAAATATATTGTTGGAAAAAGGTTTGGAATGTTACAGGAATATCCATTAAAAATGAAAGAAAGCTTTTAAACTTAAAAGTTTACGAGAATGAACAATGATTGATAATATTTTACATAAAAAGAAATGAGTTCATCTAAATATTGCATGTCATAACTCATAAAAATGAAAGGAAGCTCGCTAGAAGGAGGGCTTGAACCTCCGACCCTTAACACTCCCCGCCATAGGTTGGATAACCGTTCTGTCGTCCGAGCCACCAGACCCTCCTCGGTTTGACGAAGGTATTTTGATCGGATCACTTTAATAGGTGTGTTAGTAAATCAAAATAATATGCTAAATAAAAATAAATAGAACAAGATTTATTTTATAAAGTATATCATTCATTGTTTTTTCACAATGAGCAACAAATTTGTACATTATGAGAGATTTTTTAAATAGATTTATCATTTATATTGCAATGCAAATATTTTGTTTAATGTATACAATCCAACAATCATATATAATTTGGTCAATAATATGATGTTGGAATACCATTTTTATCAACTTCGTAGTAAAAAGGTAATTTTGTTTCTTGCAATTACAACATATGTGTCCATTATAACTTTTGAAGATGTGTCGGAGATCCTAGTTAGATTCAAATTTTTATAGTGACGAAATATGATGGTGGGGCAAACCTCAACAAGGACATTGAGTCCTTATGGGTGTATGTAACGCCTTAGATGAATCACACATCGACAAAGCACGGGAGAGATACATGGTTCATAAGTCACCAGACCATAAATGACAAGACACATTTTGGGGAACTTTAAAGTTGAATGTGCTCACTATGGAGCATTGCAAATATGGGTGACCTTATGGAAAGTCAACTTGATATACACCTGAAGAAAAAACCACGAGGACCTAGACCCAAAGCGAAAAATATATTGTTGGAAAAAGGTTTGGAATGTTACAGGAATATCCATTAAAAATGAAAGAAAGCTTTTAAACTTAAAAGTTTACGAGAATGAACAATGATTGATAATATTTTACATAAAAAGAAATGAGTTCATCTAAATATTGCATGTCATAACTCATAAAAATGAAAGGAAGCTCGCTAGAAGGAGGGCTTGAACCTCCGACCCTTAACACTCCCCGCCATAGGTTGGATAACCGTTCTGTCGTCCGAGCCACCAGACCCTCCTCGGTTTGACGAAGGTATTTTGATCGGATCACTTTAATAGGTGTGTTAGTAAATCAAAATAATATGCTAAATAAAAATAAATAGAACAAGATTTATTTTATAAAGTATATCATTCATTGTTTTTTCACAATGAGCAACAAATTTGTACATTATGAGAGATTTTTTAAATAGATTTATCATTTATTTTGCAATGCAAATATTTTGTTTAATGTATACAATCCAACAATCATATATAATTTGGTCAATAATATGATGTTGGAATACCATTTTTATCAACTTCGTAGTAAAAAGGTAATTTTGTTTCTTGCAATTACAACATATGTGTCCATTATAACTTTTGAAGATGTGTCGGAGATCCTAGTTAGTTTCAAATTTTTATAGTGACGAAATATGATGGTGGGGCAAACCTCAACAAGGACATTGAGTCCTTATGGGTGTATGTAACGCCTTAGATGAATCACACATCGACAAAGCACGGGAGAGATACATGGTTCATAAGTCACCAGACCATAAATGACAAGACACATTTTGGGGAACTTTAAAGTTGAATGTGCTCACTATGGAGCATTGCAAATATGGGTGACCTTATGGAAAGTCAACTTGATATACACCTGAAGAAAAAACCACGAGGACCTAGACCCAAAGCGAAAAATATATTGTTGGAAAAAGGTTTGGAATGTTACAGGAATATCCATTAAAAATGAAAGAAAGCTTTTAAACTTAAAAGTTTACGAGAATGAACAATGATTGATAATATTTTACATAAAAAGAAATGAGTTCATCTAAATATTGCATGTCATAACTCATAAAAATGAAAGGAAGCTCGCTAGAAGGAGGGCTTGAACCTCCGACCTTGTGGTTAACAGCCATACGCTCTAAGCAATTGAGCTATTCCAGCTTATTTATTCTTACAACAATATATTAAGATCTTGTTTGGTTTTCTTAATGTTAATTGAACATATTTTAATCAATGATAGTCTTATAATATACTACATGTATTAATAGAATTAGAGCATTGTAACATTATAATTTTGGTTTTATGTGCTTTAACTTTATCCTCTACATAGGTAAATTCATTTTATTTATGAAAGTACCATTTCTACTCGTTTTTCCATAAAAAAAAGTCAATAATAAGGGACAAGACTGAAAGTAAAACAAGAAGAGACAATCTCAAGTTCCACAATTTAAAAATCTCACCATTTAGATTATATTGTGCAATTATTCAAAACTAGTTTGGTGTCTGATCTATTGATTTGAATGTTATCGGATCATTATGTATTTATGATGTATATCCTAAATTTTTTAAATTATTTGAAAAGCTTAATTATCTTTGATATGAAGGTGATAGTGTAACTATTTCTCATTTTTTGAAATTATGATAACCTTTTATTAATGACTGAGCATTGTATTCGTAATGGTTATAACACTCAGTGAATTATTATTCATGACCTGTCTAAATAATGATGAAATCACTTAATTGTCTTATGGTTGAAAAGAAAAATTACATAACAAAGAAAAAAAGTTTGTTTGAAAAAACATAAGATAAATAGGATACAAATTTAGCCAATATTTGTTTCTCTCGCTTTTAAAAAATAATACATATATATCAATATATAAACTTAGGGTACACATATGGTGACATGCAAGACACCGTGACTTGCACAATTCGGTCGACCTATGTGCTCATCTGGTCGATCGGTTACACTATCTTGTTCATTCTGATAGAAACTACGGTCGACCATTAACATATAATGGGCAACCGGTTTAAGGTATGCATTACCAAAATGGTCGACCTCTCTCCTCTTACTCATCCGCATTTTCCTCATTGGTGTTGCTAGCATTATGGTAGTCAGATGTGGTGGACAATACAGTAGTCGGATGTGGTGGGGTGCATGTATCTTCCACTGAAAGATCATAATTCATCTCGCATCTCTGTTACACGTGTAGTGTGCTCATGTGGGTGGGCTTTGAGCTGTGGTATTGTATAGGGAATTAATATAATGGATATTACGGGTACTCATACTAACAAAGTGAATATTAACGAGTAATCCGTGACCCCAATATCAAAATTCTTAATCCCAAATCTCATCCCGTAATCCTATAAAATATAAAAAAGCAACTCACTTTTTTTATTTATCATTTCGCTTCTACTTGTAAGGTAGACTTTAAATGCCACTGGTTGAAAACAAACACCTCCTATTTTTCTTATAGCGCAATTGCGGCTCGATTGTAGCAATTTCTTGATGAATTAATAAAAGCAACTAAGGTATTACTAAAAAATTATTTTTGCTTCATTAAAAAAAAAAATTGCTAGATGTCATGCAAGTGAGAAAACACTTTTTTTTTTTTCCAGAAAACACTTTAGGATGCTGATTGCTGGCAAGTGGAAGGAGAGAAGTCCACGTATTCCCACGTCCCATTTACTCCTTTCACAGCTTTCTCCAGCTCGATCAACTTCCACCTGGCCTCGGTAGCTAGAGAGCTGCTCCCTCACCTCATTTTGATTTCTTAATTAATTAATTAATTAATCGGCTCCCTAACCTAATCGAAGGAATTTTACAATGCTATATAGTATTGGTGCTATAGGTTTTTTATGGTACAACTTGAAATTTTACCTTTAACGTTATGGTACAACTTCAGATTGTACCTATACATTTTGTACAAATTCTTTTATGGTACAACTTGAACTTGTACATTTATTTGATGGTACAATTTCAAGTTGTAAAGTTGTTCCATAACATAATGATACAAATTCCCTTATGGTACAACCTAAACTTATACATTTAATATTATGATACAACTTTAAGTTGTACAGTAAAACACCGATGCTATATAGCATAGTAGAAGTGCTCAACCTAACCGCCCTCTCTAATAAACTCTTTCCTAATTCATTCCGGCCATGCATGTGTAGGTAAATTGGGGCCGGGTTGATATAATGATATGTATAAAAGGGTGTCCATACCCTAATTAAGCTACTTTGGTTGATTATGAATTTATGACATGATCACATTAACATTTCCAATATGAATATTTAGAATAGTTGACTGGGTTTTGAACTGCCAGGTATTGTGGGTTTTGTTAAAAAAAATGTTGTCCAGTAAAACCCCTCAAGCCTCGTAAAATTCTTAGGAACTAGCTTTTAAACTGTTTTTAGGCTTATGATATCCTATTATTAAGACAATATTGCAGTGGTGTGCAATGCTCCGATTCAAACTAGACTAGACCAAATTTTGTGAACCGCGGTCCGAAAGTAAAAAACTTAGAGCATATGGACCGAACAAACATTGTATTCGATATAGTGTGGTCCAATTCAAATATCAATCAAACCCAATTTCATTAAGTATTTATAAATTTTATAGGACCAAAGACCAGACCGCATCATATTCGATCGGTTTGGTCCAATCTTGATGTTGGTTTGGTCCGGTACGGTACGGTCTGTTTTGGAAAAAACGGTTTCACACCCTATCATATTGCGGCGAGTTTGGTTCAGTTGTTGCTGGTCAAAATAGAAAAAAAAGAAGCAATTTTATTTATTCGTAGTCGTGTTATCCTTTTAGTCTTTCCTTCTAGGAATTCATCATCCCTTATTCATTGCCACCTCTCCTCCGTTCTCATCTTTTCTTTGCCTCCAAAACCAGCACACTCCGCATCGAAATTCCTGCCGCCGCCGCCCTTGCTCATCCTTGCAACTCCCACCTTACTATTGTGACTATGTGCCCATCGAAACTCGTCTCCTTAAGACCTCTCATTTGCCGCATCTTTCACTTATTAGTGAAGCTCGCCTACAACCCTTATAGTTACGTCATTTGCCAATGGTTTCCTCCTCATATCCCCCCTCTAAAAAAGCATGAGGATACAATGAATGCTTGTTTAAAGTTCTATTAATTTCGTTTATGTGTGTGAGAGTGACCTTTAATATATGAGCTAATTCATTTATTAGTTTATATTTTGAAAAATAAAAATTATGATTATAAAATATTAAAATTTTACGCTTTTACTGTTCGTTTTTACACTTCTACTTTTATCCTTCATTTCACTTTTACATAGAAGTTAGACTTTGACCGCAATGATTATTTTAATAAGGAAAAACAATATAGTGATATCTTTTGTTGATTTTTGCCCATTGGAAAAATGGGAACTTACCTAGCTATAAACGAAGAAGAAGAGAGTTGTATAAGTTCAAGATGATCCAGAAACGAAGACGATCGACTTGTTAACGTTTGAAACTTCCCCCAAAAGCAATGACGTGCAAACAATTATGTAATATTGTATGTATTTACAAAGCCTGGCTTCGAGCAGCCAAGCGAAGCCAGCTAGCAAGATCATGTCATTTGACGTAACACACACAGAATAATCTTTTCGTGTTTTCTTTTACTGGCTGGCTAGGGAAGAAACGTATTCAAAATGTATAAAAGTCTTAAGTCTTGTAATAATAACAACCATATATGAGTATGACATGGCACACCTGGTTAATTTCTGGTTTACATAGTTAACAAGGGTATTAATTACTTACTAATCAAATTTTGTCGTGCTGTACTTACGTAAGCATGTGAGTTTAATTTCACATCTTAATTTGTAGCTGGGTGAAATTTTTGCCTTTGACAAACTCTCTCCTAATTCTCATCTACCCTACCCGCCCACCATCCACGCACCCACATTTTGTCCCATTCAATCTACCCTACATTACCTTTCTTTGTGTTCCTTGGATGGGGTTTTATGATGAAAGAGAGTTCGTTTGGACGAGAAATTGTAATGGATTCATTTGATCAAATTCTCAAATTTTGCTTTGAAATAATTAGACTCAATTGATCTGTTTGTCAGCAGGAATTTTGGATGGATCAATTTGGGTTGAGAAATTTTGATTTTATTCATTTTTAATCAATTCCAATTATTTGGGATGGAGGTAGATAATTCGAATTTGCTTGTCATAAATGACTCATATATAGTTAGTGTTATAGTCGGATACAATGTCGTCCGAATGACAGATACAAGATGTGCTTTTTAAATGAGTGTGTAATTTTAATATTCATTTTCGGAATAAATTTTACTCCTTTGAATATTCATGGTAAGATGTTTTTTTTTTTTTGTGGAATAAATAATTTCCAAATTATTAGGTTTCATTATATTAAACTCTTGCCTGCAGTGACAAACTGACAATAACATCTTCCGTTGTCTCCAAGAGAAAGCCTTCCAAGGCTAGGAATCACAAGTGTTTTAGATCATGTGGCATTGTTCTCCTTTAATTTTATCCTATTAATAATATAATAATAGCTATAAAACGGAAAATAATAATAATAATAATAATACGACAGGGAAAATATAAAATAAAGGCAGAAAATAATGCAAATGAGAAACATACTGAGGTGGGATTAAGGATCAACAAAAAATGGGGCACATTAATTTTATATAATAACAAAAAAACAAAAATACTTGTAGTCCATGTAGTATAACAGTTTCTAGTGGTTGTATTTCAGCCTCCACAGCCTATTGCTCATTATTTTATCTCGTTTAATTGTATAGTTCTTTGTTGGTTAATAATAATAATAATGATTTTTTTATCTTAATATAAAAATAACTACATCGATATACTCTCGTACTAATCCAATTTTAGATCGTTGGTTTAAATAAAAACCGTTACGATTTATCAGTGTTTAATAAGCATGTTTCAAATGACTCACTATCACGCATCATGAATGTTCGAAGTTCAAGTGGTCCATCCATCCTCACTTTCGATTCTTGAATCGTACACCTCATATCTAATATGTCTATGATTTGAAACTTGTTAAAGCGGAGATTAATGGATAAATAAGTTTGCATTGAGTTTTGATGAGATTTGTACCATGCATATATACCGTGTGATCTATTAGAATTGGAAGACATGTTGGCCAAGTATGATTTGATCTCATTACTAATAGATTTGGTTAAATTATTTGACACATAAATTATAAATTGATGAACAGCATAACACATAAATTATTTGTTAAGATAATATAGTACATGGACTAAAAATGTAAATTCTTTTTTATTTAAAACAAAAGGTGTAAAAGGATCTGTACCATGTCCACAAAGAAGATGAGGAATAAGCCAAGTTTTGCACGGAAAAATGGCATATATGATTTAGCATATTCCTCTCTCTCTCTCTCTCGATCTTCCACTAATCATACAACATTATGCTTCCATATTTGTGATGTAACTCTATTATAGATAAAAAAAAAATCATAATAAGACATTATGTACCAACCATTTAAAGGTGACTAATTAAGACAGATTAATTAAAAAAGTATTATGACTTCCTTCCCACCAATTTTCTAGAATTGTTACTAACTGCAATTTTGACAAAGATCTATGATCAAAAGTGATATTTTTCTAAACCCTCAATGATATAGAGGATTGCTATTCGTCACCCTAAAACTCCTTATTTGTCGCCCTTGACTTTCATTAAAATGATTTAAACACCCTTAATTGACCACCACTACTTCTCCTTCCTCAGCAAAAGCAGGTCGGCAAAGTGGGGGAATGGGAGCGGCGACTGGTCGGGGGAGCAGTAGCGGTGGTCGGACGGTTGGTGGGATGGACAGCAGCAGAGTTATCGATTAGTGATTAAAATTATAGGGGTATAAATGTGAATTTAGTATGATTTAGGGCGAAATAATTTAAATTTTAGGGCGACAAATAGCGATTCAGATGATATATTAGAGTTTCGAGTTTCGATACTTATTCAACAATTTTATCACTAGAGCAAAAAAATCATATATGTCGTTCCTAATCAAATGTTTATCGTAAACTTCAAAAGACTTGTGTTTATATCAACGTGCGATTAATAACATCCATCATCTCGAATTCAAATTTGGAAACTAGCAATCATCTAAATAAGCCTTTATGGTGGTCTAAAAGTCTCCATCAAATAAATGTCAATCCTTGATAATACCAACAACAAGAACTAAGAACTCATTCAAAACTTGGATTCCCATTAACCTAAACTCTTCAAAGTTCAAACCCATTAACATAGGTTTTACTCTATCAATGCCCTAATTTTTATTACCATCAATCATTACTATATAACAATACAATTCACCCGTTTGATCGAGCCCAAGAAAGAGACTGGGAAAGGAGGGAGAAACAAGAAAGAAGGAGCTTAAAATATTGCTATGATTGACCAAATTCTGCATACTAATAGCAATAATAAAACCATGTTTATATAGGCAATGTCTTGATGATGGTGATGGATGGGCAGCTAAATAGTAAACAATAACAATAATTTGGAGAGGAGAGTTTTACCCTACCCAACCCACACACATCATCATTGTGTTTGAAACAGTAAAAAAAATCATGTTTTCCCACATAACAGTCTTTTTTAGCAATTTTGGAAAGACAAAAAAATCCCCAAAATTGGGCCTCCCCAATCATTAATTTTGATTATTCATTCACATACACAAGAAAAAAAAAATATATAGCCAAGTTGAAATCAGTATAAATTATTTCCTCCACAAAATTATTATACAAAAAGAAAAAAGGAAAAAAAGGGAGAAAATTGGTTCCTCTCTGTCAGTCCGTGCATTGTGTGGCAATCTACAGCTTGTCAGCCTTTTTCCCCCAATCTCTTCTTCTCCTTTCTCCTCCTTCCTCTCTGTGTCTACTTCTTCTTCTTCCTGGTCCTCGATCTGGTTCAAATTTTGGCTTTCTATCCCTGAGAAACGGCGGCGTTTCTGACCATCTTCCCAACTTCTCTCTGGTTTGCTCCTTCTCAAACTCTCTGTCCCCTCTCCCTGCAAGATCACAGCTTTGAGCTCAAATAAGCTTAAATTTATTGATTGGGTCCTCTTTTATTGGGGGAAAGATAGATTCTGTCTCAGAAAGTTTGCAGCTTTGCTTACCCTTTTTATGCAAATTTGGGTTTTCTATGCTAATTCATCTAATTCTTTGACTCGAGGAAGAACAGGCAGCAACATGTGCTTTGGCTGGCAAGTAGCTAGTTTATTTTTTGCAGATTGACCAAAAAAGTTTTGTTCTTTGATGCAGCAAACAGCAGCTGGAGAAGGAGTTGACCCTGCCCCCCTCCCTGCACTTCCTTCGAGCTCCTGGGAGTTTGAAGGCGATCTAATTTGAATGGAGATGGAGACTTGCCCTTCGATTCCTCCAGCTTCAAATTCTGCCTATTTGCAGAAATTCAGACTCTATGAGACTCGATCGGTATGCAGTCTTTCATTTCCTTTTTGAATTTGATTCCTCAATCCTAAGGCTTATTTAACTTCACAGATGAATTGGCTTAAAGTTTGTGATGGTCCTTCTCTTTGTGACATCATTCCTAGTCATGTGAATTCACAGTATTCCATTGTTCTAAACATAAACAGCTTCCTCATCAATTGCACGCATCATTATCAATGAAGATTTGCAGGATTGTCTGATTCTATGCTATATTCCCTTTTGTGAGAGGCATTTGCTATGTGGTGATTGATTCTTATCTTATCTCGAGTTGTAATGTATCGTTAGAGATATGAAAAATCATCACATTTGGTAGTGTTTTTAAGTAGCAATCTTCAGATATCCTTGGTGAGGACATCATCCTTATCTTGGCTGATACTTTACCAAATACGTGATTGAAAAGTGTTACGATTGTGCTAGGAGTTTTTTAGGTTGATACCTAACGCGTATAATTTAAATAATTCTTTATGAACTCGTTCCTTCTTATGCATTAACATTTATGTGTCGATCAAGCTTGAATTCGTCTATGGGTTGAACTTGGTAGGTTCGCCTTGGTATGTAATGCAGTTTTTGCTTTCACCTCTTTACTATCTAATCTTTGAAGTATCTAATGGGTTGTTCGTATTTTCATTGTGTACAGCACTTTTATATGATTGGAAGAGACAAAAGCAGAACCGTTTGGAAGGTGTTAAAGATTGATCGATCAGACCAATCTCAATTAAATATCCTAGAAGATTCGACTTCATATAGCGAAAGTGAATGCTGTGACTTGCTGCGGAGAATACATGAAGGGAATAAAGGGATTGGTGGACTGAAGTTTGTAACTGTTTGCTATGGAGTAGTCGGTATGCTACTATGCTTCTAATAGCCAAATGTCACTTATTGACTTGCTTGATTCTATTTTACTGTTTCACTCATGACATCTCTTTCTTTCTCTTCTGAAATTAGGATTCATTAAATTTTTGGGGCCTTATTACATGCTGCTGATAACCGAAAGAAGGAAGATTGGTGCTATTTGTGGCCATTCAATATATGCAATCACCAGGAGCGAGATGATCCCAGTTCCTGTGCAGTCAAATATGACTAATTCTAAGAATGAGAACAGGTCTTTTGTCCATTCTGCATGTAAATGGAACAAGTACTTGGTACTCTTAAGGAGACTTGTCAGATTGGTTCTCAAAAATACTCACTGTTTCTTTGTAACTAGTCGAGGACTTTCTGACAGTCATGATTGTTTTCTTTTTCATCCAGTGAATTGTTTGGGACCAATAATATGGGTTTCTTGTCAATATCAATTTAGAGTAGGCATATTCAACGTTGCAGAGGTGATCTCTGTTCTATATTTGTCGGCGCTATACCTTTTGGTGTTAATTAATGGCGCGGGGATCCATTATTCAAAGCTTATTTATAGTTCTTCTACTAGCGTTATCTATTTCTTCGTTCTTTGTTCTTCTTCCGCTTCTTTATGTGCCCTTTTTATTTATGCAGTATTAGAAGTTGCTACCATATTCTTGTTAGTTTCCCGTGTTGTATTGGTACCTTTTGCCTGTTGGTCTTGTTATGTACAGGGAAAAAATCATTGCTGTTGTGATGTTAATATAACGTATTGAATGAAGCGAGGTATTGTCAAGAGTTTGTGGGGGAAAGAGTCAGTTTCTTTGTTTCAGTTAATTTCTGGTTTAGCAAATTTCACCTAGTTGCAGCTTAGTATTCTGTCTCTACTTTTAATGTTTCATGAATTGACTAACTTCTCTTGCCTTGTTCTTTGTTTTCTTTTTTTCTCTTGATGATGAAATAGATACAAGAAGCTTCTTTGCATGGTGGATCTTACAAGGGACTTCTTTTTCAGCTATTCATACAATGTTATGCATAGTCTTCAAAAGAATTTATGTAATAGTGAGACAGGAAAGCTCCATTATGAGACCATGTTTGTCTGGAATGAATTCTTAACTCGAGGAATCAGGAACAACCTCAAGAACTCTACCTGGACGGTGGCACTAGTACACGGGTTCTTTAAGCAGGTTTGTACTGTTTTCTGGAACTATATGCATCTAATGTGGGGGCCTGAGATCCTTCTTACAGTTTTCCTTTTGTAGGATCTCGCTTCCGATTCAGATAAGAATGGTGGCGATATGCTTTCTATATATGAAGCTAGTATGTCATATATTTAATGTTAGACATAAATGGTCCATGTAAAAGGTTCTTGAACCATTTTGGGTAGATTTGCTGCAACTTTAATCTTTATCCTGCTAAAACTTGTTGCAATATCACGTTCACGCCGCATTTATCTAATAGACTAATATGAACCATTTCATTCCTGGTTGTCATTCAGGTCAAATTATCAGTTTCTGGAAGGGACTTTAAGCTGACTCTCATTTCCAGACGGTCGAGGCATTATGCTGGAACAAGGTATCATTTGTTTCTTTTCCTTCCAAACTTCAGCCGAAACCTGGCAGGACAACTAACTTCAGATTACCAACTCCCTGCAAGTAGTAGATGCAGTTTTATGGCTAAATATAATTCTGATCATAAGCTAACTTCGTTATGAGATTGCTTTCTCTCTCTCTCTCTCTGTTGCAGATACTTGAAGCGTGGGGTAAATGAGAAAGGAAGGGTTGCTAATGATGTCGAGACTGAACAAATTGTATTTGAAGATTCTCCTGAAGGGCATTCAGTCCAAATAAGTTCTGTCGTCCAGAACCGGGGTTCAATTCCACTTTTCTGGTCTCAGGAAACTTCAAGATTGAATATCAAACCAGATATTATACGTATGAATTCGAAACACCGCACACTTAATTCGATACCAGATTGAATATCTTACCTTGGTGCTTGAATTTATTAAGTATTGATTCTGATTTTCATCCACAGTATCGAAGAAGGATAAAGCCTACGAGGCAACTAGGCTCCATTTTGAAAATCTTGCAAAGAGATATGGGAATCCAATAATCATTTTGAATCTAATAAAGGTCGGTTCCTGCAGTTTACTGAAGTAAGCTTTCAAGTTTTTCCTTTCAATTGTATTGATTATATTTTCCTAAAAAAATGTTTGTTTTTCAGACTCATGAATCAAAACCCCGAGAGAGCATACTCCGAGCAGAGTTTGCAAGTGCCATCAGGTTTATCAACATGAGTTTACCTAAGGAGAATCGCTTGAGGTTCCTTCACTGGGATCTGAACAAACACTCTAGAAGGTACTTGTGACCCACCCTTTTTGTCTGTTTTCATTATGCTCGCATTTCTTTCGAGTATATGATCAACCCACACTGGATTCTTCTGTCTGCTGCAGAGGTACCAACGTATTGTCACTTCTTGGAAGAGTTGCTTCATATGCTTTGAACTTGACCGGCATCTTCTATTGTGAAGTCTCATCTAGTCCGGGGCATGAGGGATTACTAAATAATTTCTGCTCGAAGGAAAGCCCTACAATTGAATGTGACAATTCGAGTGAGTCTGGCCCTGTAATCAGTGACTTAAATAACGATGATAGTAAAGAAAACAAGATCAAAGGACCTACTCTTCAAAAGGGTGTCTTGAGGACCAACTGCATAGACTGTTTGGATCGCACCAATGTTGCTCAGTATGCTTATGGTTTGGCGGCTCTCGGAAAGCAGCTGGATGCACTAGGGTTTTTAGAATTCCCTAGTATCGATCTGGATAACCCATTAGCAGAGAATTTGATGCGCCTGTATGAATTGATGGGTGACACGCTTGCACGGCAGTATGGCGGGTCCGCTGCACATAATAAGGTAGTCTGTAGTTTCATATTTTGGAGCTTTCATACTCTACTCGTGAATTTTCAGCCAGTTTACAGTTGCTAATGTTAATGTTATGCAGATATTTTCTGAGAGAAGAGGGCAGTGGAAAGCTGCAACTCAGTCCCAAGAGTTCTTCAGAACTCTGCAGAGATACTACAGTAATGCATACGTCGATGCTCAGAAACAAGATGCCATTAACGTGTATGTAAAATATTCCTCTCTTATTTATTTGCATTCCATAAGTTTTGAGGAGATATATAATGGTTGCCTCTCGCTTTACTATTCTTTTGATGTTGAGCAGATTCCTGGGCTACTTTCAGCCACAGGAAGGAAAGCCGGCACTGTGGGAATTGGACTCTGATCACCATTACAATATTGGAGGCCGTAATCCTGATTTGCTTATTGAGAATCCCAGGTTGGAATTGCTCTTTCTTTTCAACTTGAAACATGCATGGAATCTGGTGCAGAAACATAATGCTTATGTTTGAACATCTACCAATCAATTTGCAGGTCATTATTTAAAAGATCAATGTCTGATGGAAATCTAGTCTTTGAAAGTGAAAGCGACTCACTTGAAACGAATACCAGAGTTGGACAAAATTTGCTCTTGGCTGATAAACAACGAGGCGTTGAGAAGGGTTTCTCAGACTCTACCCCCGAGATCTCGACTGGTGATAGTGACATGTCTTTCTCCAGGTCCGCCCTTTAATTTTCTGATGTTCTTTTGGCTCTCCTACTATGGTTCAGTTCATCGAATTCCGTGGTGGACTTAAGAGGTTTTTCCTTTTTCAGGTTCAATCCATCGATGACTCCCAAGCAGCTCTTTGAAGATATAGGAGAAGACCAATACGAAAGTAATCCCATTTGCTACGATGAACATGGAGATACGTGTAGCTGCTCAAATTTTCTCGATCTGGAGTGGCTCTCTTCATCAGGAAATTCCTGCGAGGAAGATCCAAGTGACAGGTAGTGCCACTTTTGTTCTTCCTTTCCTTGTGCTCTTCCATGTTAAATTTGTGGTTGCATCCAGAGTAACCTTTCTCCAATATTTGGTGGTAGATCCATTGCCGGTCTGTCCTCTGAGAATCTCGTGAATGAAGCCAGAACAGAGATCTCTTCAGCTGCAAGTGACTCTGGCCCTAGCTTGCAGGTCAATATTTTGTTTCACAAGTCTCAACCACAGTGAGAGTGCATCCTCTTGGCATTTGCTTGACCACTGAATCGTTTTCCTGTTTGCTCGTTGTTCAGGGAAGTTATCGCGCTGGTAGTAGTGAGCTCGGGTGCAATGAGTTGGTCGGGTATTCACAACGATTTGTTCAGTGGGTAAACGATGGCGTCACCATGTTCCACTGAAATGACATTTCCAATTTTGATCCGAGATTCCCTCGAGTGATATTCCTCATCCTAAGGATGTGGATTTGACGGACAGAAGAACACAGAAAATAAGCGCAGGAGTCTGGTGGCTCTCATACTAAAGCTGACATCATCGCGGCAAGCATTCTCGTGCTGATAACAGTGCTGTCGAGCATTGGTTCGTCGGAGTTGCAAGGAATGCTATGCTGGTTTGGATAAATGAGCTCCCCCATGATTCATTTGGACAACGTCCCCCAGAAAACAAGAAATCTGAAAGCAAAACCCCCTTGTACATAGTTGCTAGACCATTAGATAATCCCCCAATATATAGCGTTTTCGAAATGAATCTGCATAGCGACAATTGATGATAGACTGATTAAGGTTATACTATCTCGTCCAGATGACTTCCGAGCTTCCGACTTACATTTTTTAATGGCTACTGGAGAACCTTAAGGTCCTTAACTAGAAGGGAATCACTTGGTTCCTCACTTTCCTGAATAAGATTGGTTCTTTTATCGCCAACCATAACTATAAGTCGCTTCACAATGTATATTGTATGCTGATTACTTGAATTTTGTGGGCTTTTTACGTAAATATTGTATATTGAAAAAAATACAGCAATTCAAAACACATTTTTCAACCTTGGGTTTCACTGAGGGAGAAAAGGCTAATTGGGACGCACACCTCATTTAGGTGGTCGAGAGCTGAAAATACCAACTTGGGAGGGAATAAGCCCAATTTGTGTTCCAAGGTACATTTTCAATGTTCACAATCATTCAATGGGAAATTTCTAATGGACAACCAAACAGAAAATGGTTTAACAGGCAAATTTGAGAAAAACAATCATTTTATTGTGCCTATAAATAAGACGTTGATTTGCTATTAAATTCTCACATCAACTTCTACTATTCTTAACTTTCATATCGTACAAATACCATACACGACCGTGATAAGAGATTATGGCTAATGCAAGGTATATGTATATGAACATTTGTTTCTACTTGAGTGAATATTTTATTAGTATATTGAAATTGTATGTGTGAATTACATAATTAATGTAATTGTTCTATAATTTTTTTATTATGTAGTGTGTGTAAACCTTTAAACTTGTTTTGTGGGGATTTCAAAAAGAAGAGAGAAAGTTGGGATTGAGGTACATTGGTGGTATCAATTTCTTACTACAAATTCATGGTCGTTTGACATACGAGCAACTATGTGAGGTGATCAACTCTAATCTACAAGGAGTAAAAGAGACATTAACTGCCTTATGTTTAGGCTGCCATAATTTTAAGTAAATGGTAAATTTATCACTATGGTGATATGATAGATAACATATTTTATGGAACAAAATCCAATTCGCGATGAGTTTGTTGAGATATGTGTAGAGTTTACTAGTCATCTAGAGGAGGAGGACGAGACATTATGTGCTCCTAGTGAGACAGATGATCATATGGACGAGGACAATGATGACGAGGCTGATGACGAGGATGTCGAATTGTCGATAAAGATGAGCACTGAATTGTGATCGAAGGAGATGTTGCTCCATCAAATTTATGTTCCTGCATCACATTATTTTGTGCTCCCGGAATACTATGACAACTACATGAGAATCGACTCTTATGGACATATGAATGATGAACTAGGAAGTCGTCAAGGGTTCTGCATTGGCAAGATTTTTTGTTCAAAAAAAGTTGTACAAAGGGCCATGAAGCTTTATGCGATGGGATGTAACTTTCAAATTAGAGTGGTAGAGTCAACTGTAAAACTTTAGAAGGTGAAATGCTACAACTACAAGGAGAGCAACTGACATGGATGGCTCAGGTCGTCTCAAAAGATTCTGGCGGAGATTGTAAAAAGGCGGATTTGACACATTCTCGTAGCAACACGACTCAACTGAAGGATCATCGCCAACTTGACGTAGATGTTATTTTTGACACCGAAAGCATTTGATTCAAGCCCAACCAGATATACGTGTCAAACCTCTGCAGGCCAAGTGCAAAGATAGGTACCAAATAAATATTCGTTACAAAATGACATGGTATGCTGAGCAAAGGGCGATGTAAATTTTTTTGGGCAATTGGGAGAAGAAGAGTTGGAGAAGACTGCTGATTCGAACTCGGTCTGATGGGGAGGTGATTTCCAACGATTTATGGTGGAGAGGCGGTTTCCGACGGGTTTGGAAGGGAGCTTTTGGTTGTCATTTGGAGAGTTTGGAGGAAGACGACGACCGTGTTTGGAGTCGAGGAGCGATCATGTGGCGTGACTCATCGTACTTTTTGTTAGTGTTGTGGTATATGATCCACGATTGAACCTCTCCCAACAACTCGAGTTATTGGGAGCAACTGGTTCTTGACATGGTATCAGAGCCTTCTGTGACCGAGAGGTCTTGTGTTCGATTCTCGGTGACCCCCATTTGTTAAGCACATGGTATTCTTGTCTTCAGACCTGTGCAAATTTCAAGCCCTTGTGAGTGGCTTTCGTTTGAGGGGGCGTGTTAGTGTTGTGGTATATGATCCACGATTGAACCTCTCCCAACAACTCGAGTTATTGGGATCAACTGGTTCATGACACTTTTATGGTAAGCTTAGACAAATGGAGAGAGCGACGGACATTGAAAATAATATTGCTATTAATCATTAGTAATTACTAAAACAGTATCTTATCGTTTAGGTAGAGTTGGTGAGAGGTTGCAACTTTGCGATTTGCCCTTTCAATTCCGGTATCGAATACCAAGCTACCGACGGTATCTTACCGATTCCATCTAAGCATAACGGAGCAAAGTATTTTACCCACCCAGCTATTACAGATTCCATGCCCGGTTAACTGTTCACCGCTAATACAGTTAACCACCTAGCTATCACATAGGATGAATTTAACGAAACCTGACAGCTAATAACCAGTTTCGAATTCGAAACTAAGAGAATTGGTGACAACCAAGGAAAAAAGAAAATCGATTTTGATAAACAAAGAAGTAATTTAGCCATCAGGAAACATATCAAAGCCTTACTTCATCATCAAAAAAACCTCCGGGAAGCTTGGATTCTACAACTATCCATACTGAACACAAACAAAAAATAGCTTTAAAACAAAATATTCATGTCTAGAACTTGGTGCTTTGAAGCTCTTGATGTTCAAAGTAACATAACAGCCGGATCAATGCTAACGATTGCAACCAAGAATAACAGCATCTTCTAATTTTCCCAGCCTGTGGCTGTTGTTTCGGCAGCAACAGGGAACGGAGAAGGAACAGCTGGAACAGCTTCCCAGTCGCCTCCTATGGGCGCAGCAGCTGCAATATTAATATAAGGGCAAGTCAACAAACAACTAACTAGATGACTTTGAAGAATGGGAGATGCCGGTTTCCTTGTAACTATTACGGAATTGCTAACCTTCAGGATAGTATGCTGCTGGAACACCAGAAATAGGCGGCTGAGCTGCGTCAGCGGTCCACTGAGCATCCCCGGGAGTATTCCACTCGGTGGAAGCTAGGCCATAATCAGCAGGGGGGAGTGCATAGTCAACACCAACAGCAACTTCTTCCTCTTCCTGAGGCTTGGCTTCTTCAGGTTCTCTGTAGAAAAAGAGGTCCACCTGTACAATAACAGAGGAGAATAAAGAAAGATCAATGAAGTACTGCGAACTCGGACACCAAGAAAATAAAAAGATTCAAACTTTAATATACCATGATATCCCACTTGTGGCCCTGGGGGATGGTACCACGCATCTGCAAAACCATCCGTGCCAAAATCCAGAACAGGCATCCAATGCTGTGCTTCCCCTTGTTGTTGGCAGGGATGCCAATATCAACGTATCTCATGGGGGAGTCGGTGTCACAGAAGGCAATGGTGGGGATGTTTCCAAGCGCTGCTTCCTTGATTGGCTGCAATGTCAACTCAAATTATCAGCACAATGAATTAAAATTAGTTGCCTAAATGAGCACACAAGATGGGAACTCTAATCACCTGATGATCGGTCCTTGGGTCAGTAAGGATCAAGAGACGAGGCTCATTGAAGGAAGTCTGCATCTGGTTAGTGAAGGTACCAGGGGTATGCCTGCCAGCAATGGCATGAGCTCCAGTGTACTGAGCAAACTTCAGGACAGCTCTCTGACCATAGGGCCTAGCAGATTGGACAATCATGTCCTGAGGGTTCTCAATGCCAACAATAACTCTGGCAGCCATATGCAGCTTTTCCCATGTCTTACCAAGATTGATGATGTAAATACCTGAAGAAACTCAATGCTATTATGAGATTGATAGAAGAAGCTCGGTGCTAATTTGCCAAATGGAACACAGTTGAACAATCAACTAGGAATCTGCCTGACCCTAAATTATAAATCAAAATATCCAAACTACTCAATATAGAGTATACATGATAAGAAACTGAACTTAATAAACGATGATAGATATCTTCTAAACGAACAGTGAGAAACAAGCATCCCAGATTCTGCTTGAAAACAAACGGCCGAATTCACCCAATACCAATAATCACCCTAAGCAAATCACCATTTTCGGGCTAAGCAAAAAACTAAACGAACTCCACAGAAGCAAGAACAGAGCCTGAATAAAGCGCTTCCCAGTGAATAAACCAGGATACCAGATGAAATTAATAGGTCTCATCGTAGAACAGAAGGATCCAACACCAGGTTTTCAGCATCATCACAATGTGAAAGGCAACGAAATCAATATAAAACGATCACACAGCAAACTGTATCGAAAAGAGCGAGAACGATTCGATTTATACCGTCATTGCGGCGCTTGAAGACGTATCTCTCCATCTGGAAATCACAGTTCTTGGTTCCGAGATGGACCTCCGCAGCCAACATCATCTGAATGTCTAGCTCCTTGGCGGAGAGAGCCCGAGATGGAGCAGTATTAGGGGCCGCCATGGTTGCGTGATTGAGAGAAGGGAGAGCACCGGATTGAAAAGCAGAGAGCGGCAGCGAGATGGATGAAGGAGATAGAGGGTTTTATGAAGTCGAAGTAGGGTTTCGTTTTTTATAGACGGGCTGAACTAGGAAAAGCGTTTCGTTCCGTGGGCCGAGCCACCGTCGACGACATAGTTTCTTTAAGCAACCTGCTGTAATTCATTAATCTTCTGGGCCTCTTAAGAAGGCCATGGATGATGGAGCCCATACAGTATACACATAATATTTTTCCAATATGGTTAAAAATATTTATACCATACAAGTTAACAAATATACCCTTTACTATTTTTAGCATAATTGTATCCCTATAATGTTTTTTTTTGTCATAGATATTTTGTAATAGATAGAGCATTACAGTGTAGGAAAAAAGAAAAAGCGGTAGTCAACCAAAAGGGTTGCTACCAATGCAAGGGTCGTTTGTGCCACACGATGGGCATCCCTGTTAATACTACGGGGAGCATAGACAAAGGAAACAAATGTAAAAGAGGTCTTCAGCAAGCGCACTTCTTCAAGCACCCGCCCCACCTCGGCGTATGACCAATTGCGAGTCCCCACAAAAACAAACAGAAGGATGACCATTGTGTAAGCTCCAGATCATTGCATCTCTTAATGACAATAGTTCTAACAGGAAAGGATCGGATAGCCCTTCATAGAACGTACTGTATGCGCAAGTTAGAGTACAATCACATGTAAACCCGACGAAGCCGACACTGCCTCCTACTCCCTGTCGTGTTGCACCATCGAAGCGGATGAGGAGGCCACCTGGGGTACAAGCAGGCACTACTGGTGGAGGTCTTGGATGCCGCAGAACATGAGGCTGGGACCGGGGCGTCGCAGTAGCATCGCGCCATTCGTCCACCTGCTTTGTGAATTGGCGAACAAGAGGGCCCGACAAATATTGGATACCATCGTAGGTAGCCCAACACCGTCCTTCCATATGCGCCAGGAGATAAAAACCCACGTCTGCAATATCCACCTTGGAAAGCTGCATATTTAAAAGAAGGTTAGACTAAGCAATGTCGATGGGCACATTTTATATAGCTACACGAATACTCTCCTTCCCTGCAAAAGACCAAACATCTCAGGCGACCTTGCAGGAAAAGAGGCAGTGTGAGATGGTTTCTGCATTTTCTGAACAAACTGGGCATATATTTGAAGAGCACAGGGACTTTCTCCAGAAGGATTGTTTTCATGGGAAGGAACCCTCTCACCACCCGCCACAAGAACACTTTGAGTTTTGGGGGAATGGGAAGGCTTCATAACACCTTCCAGAACCGAGAATTCAAGTGAGAAGGAAGCTGATTGAACTCAAGATGTTTCGTGGCCGATAACAGCTGATACCCTGTTTTGACAGTGTACTGTCCAGTGGGTGAGTAGTGCCAAAACACTTATCCGATTGGGGCGCCGATGGAAGGGGGATGGACAGGATCAAACGAACACTTTCAGTTGTGAAAGAAGCTCGAATGAGGTCTCCGTTCCAAGTGCGTGAGAGTGAGTGAATGAGTGATGCAACAAAGGGGTTTCCAAGGGACGCACCAAGAAGCAGCTTAGGAGCAGACGGAGGCGAGGAGGGAAGCCAATGATCCTCAAGAATGCGGATTGCATTACCACATCCTACTTGCCATCGTAGTCCCTTCATCAGCAAATTGCAGCCTTCTAACACTCCCTGTCATGCCCATGATGGCTGAGAACCAGGAGGGGTTGTGAGAAAATGGCAGTGGGGATGGTACCTTGCCTTGTATACTCTCGCAAGGAGGGAATCTGGGGACTCTAGGATCTTCCAGGCCTGCTTGGCAAGCATTGCCACATTGAAAAGATCAAAGTCTCGCAAGCCAAGCCCCCCATGGAACTTGCTAATGCATATTGCAGACCAAGATATCCAATGCATTCCACGATCCTTGTCTTGACCCGCCCACCAGAATCGAGCAAGTTGACTATTTAGGCGTCGACAAGTAGTAGAGGGAAGTCTAAAAGAAAACATAGTGTAGACGGGTGAAGCAGATCCAACAGCCTTGATTACAACCTCTTTCGCAGCTAGCGATAGCGCTTTAGAGCGCCAACTCTGAATGCGGGCAGCAAGTTTATCCTCAACAAATTGGAATATTTGAACTTTGGATCACTGTATTTGAGCAAGAAGACCAAGATATTTGTCGAGAGGACCTATGGAGGAGATGCCGAGAGTAGCGCCCAATGCAATCGACTCTTGAGGACTCATATTATTACTGAAGCAGGCCGAAGATTTCTGCAGGTTAATCCGTTGCCCACTGGCCTCCTCGAACAACCGTAATAACTGGAGAAGATGTCCACATTCAGAAGACGTTGCTCTCAGGAAAAGGTAAGTGTCGTCGGCAAAGTGGATCTCTTCCTAAAGGGGTTGTGACGATATCAAATATCATATGTTTGTGCTAAAAATGAATGTGTCTTTTTGTTAACTTGCAATAGTATAAGAGTGTAAAATATTTTTAATAAAAAAGTATGTTAAATATTATAAAGGGATAAAGAAAAGAATTGAAATTGGGTTTAGGGAGGGAAGGGGGGGAAATATAAAAAAACACTGTTTGCGACTCGTGGTTTTTTTAAATATCCTTGTGCTCTGCCATAAGAACTTGGAGTCGATGTCATGGTGAAGGCAAGGTTGTGATTCTTCGTGTCAGACTGGTATTCTACTCCTTGCTATCTCACTACCCGACTATTCCTGTAAGCTCTTAACCCCTGACACACGAAACCGTCCATTTGGCTAGCAATCAACTATATCCGATGATGAAGCGCCCACTTGAACCCGGAGCAAAGATGACTTTACTTTCTCTAGGCAAGTTAGGACTCGAAGAAGATTCAAGTGGTGAGAAACTTAGCTCAGACGTCACTCTCGAAGGACGTGATCCATCGTTTCCCCTCACGGTACTACTTAACGAAAGACGGGGGAGTGCTGAAATGGAACAACCAGCCTCAGACCCTCTCAGCTGCGCACATAACGTGACTGAACTCTTCTCAATTCTCAGAAGCAAGAATTCGCGAACAGTGCTGCTTTTTTTCAACCAATCTCATTCGTCTTTTTGTAACACTCCAAGATACTGCCTGTGGAATGAATTATACTCACTGAAAGGTGAGGAATGAAATTTCCCCATTAACGTCGGCACAAACGATCCTAAATGGCTAAAACCCTAGTCTCATTTTCCCCATTGCTCGAGTAAAAACCTTAAACCCAAGTTGCCGGCCGCCCCCCGAGTCACATCGCATATGCAAACTTGAGCAATGGCGATAAAGAAGTCGAAGAAGTCCACCGGCGGCGACTAGGGGTGACAGTCGGTCGGTTTCAGTTTAACCGAAAACTCGGTTATCGGTTAAACCGAGCCACCCCTTATAGCTGCCGACCACTGACCGTGAGAGAGGTTACGGTTAGCCGGCCAACCGACCAGTCGGTTTCGATTTTAGGCTCGGTTAACCGGCCAACCGGAAACTAGCTTTTCTACAAAAAAAAAATATAATAATAATAAAAAAAGAAAATTCTGCACCACTCATCTCACACCTTATCTCCTCCTCTCTCCTTCCTTCCTCCACCAAACCACTTCTTCTTCTCTCCTTCCTTCCTCCACCATTTCTCATCCCAACACGAAGCAAACAAAGAGGGAGGGAGGAGAAATGGTAGTAGTCTCCACCTGGCAAATCTCCGACGCCGAGCACAGCGCTAGCAGCGCCCCGGCGGCGTACTCCGTCGCCCTGTCCGAGATCTTGAGGATCTCCTCCACCCCGCTCACCGCCGCTCTCAGATCCGAGCACCGCGTCCCGACGACGACCATCTCGACCATCGCCGCGAAATTCACCCGCGCCTCGATCGACGAATGGAACTGCAAATTTGCCAGGAATCCGACCTTGGACGGATTAGAAGCGATCCCGACGCAAACCGCCTTGCCGAGGGGAACATCACGAGAACCGCCAGCGCCTCGAGGCGGAGCGGCTCCCGCCGCCGCCGCCGCCAAATGCGATCCGAATCAGAACCTCCCTGGCATTGTGGGCGGAAATCACGGAGCGACTCTTGTCTGAGAGAGAGTGAACCAAGGAGGGCTCGACGGAACGGTTGAGCAGCGAAGGTCGAATGCTTTGGGAGGAGGAGGGAGTCGACTTAGGGTTAGGGAGGAGGAGGATTGAAGCAGGGTCGTTTTGGGGAAAGGGAAGGGGTCGGTTAGCCGGTTAACCGCCAATTTCTGACCCCGGTTAGTCGGCTAGCCGAACCTCTTCCCATCTCCACCGCCAACCGACCGATACAAGCAAAAACGGTTTTACGGTTAGCCGAAAAATGATCGGTTCGGTTGAAACCGTCCGGTTAACCGTTCTGCCACCCCTAGCGGCGACACCAATAAGTCCAACGATGGAGACCTCCTGAAATCCGAAATCGCTTCCTCGCTTCTTCCGCTCCCTCCTCTTCGTCTGGCTTCAACGATGTCGATTTCCGAAAACCCGCCCATCTCTGGCCAACTCAGAAGACCTCCAAACCGAATGCGCGATCAGACAAAAGAAAAACTCCCCAGAGCCAGGATAAGAATTCCAAAAACGAGAAACCCGCGGAGCTCAGTTTAAACCCAAACCAAAACCTCCAGTTCTGATGCTGGACGATGCAAACAGTACGAGAGCAACTGCGCTCGAGAAGTATAAGAACCTCCCCAAGCTGCCGTTGATTAAGGCAAATGCAGTGGGTGTGTGGCACGTGGACGCTGCTGAGTTGGAGGTGAAAGTGCTGGGAGAGGCTAACAAGAAGGTGGAAGTTAAGATTAGCGTGGAGGAATGGAAACGTTTTGTGGAGAAGAAGAGGGAGGTTGGGGAGATGTTGATGTCGCAGTATGCACAAGACTACGAATAGAGTAGAGGGCAGAATGCGGATATTAAGATGCTTGTCACAACTCAGAGGTCTGGTACTGCAGCTGATAAGGTATCACGCCTTTTCTGTTTTCATTGGAGATAATCCCATGGCTAATCTGCGATCGCTCGATGCACTTGTAGGTGGGTGAAAGGCTATATTGTTTGCAAAAGAACACTTTGTGACTATTGGATTTGCAGTTTTGCTTCAAGTTCATATGCTTCTGAATGGACAGCTATCTTTCTCTGCAGGAATGGTGGCATCAAAAGTGGGGAAGCGTCATGCATTGTCAGGTTTTGAAGCATTGAAAGAACTGTTTGTTGAAAGGTTATACCTTTACTCCTTTTGGGTTTCTTCTTTTCCTTTTCCATTTCCATTTCCATTTCCATTTATATGTTGTATGTGGTTGCCTTAGTCTTTTAGTCGTTTAAGGTTTCCACCTGTTATTCATGAAATTTGTAGTTGTTGAGGACTTTGTTTACCACTGTGTGACTACTAACTGGCGATTGTTCTTACAAACCAATGAATAGTGTTAATGACATCTAAGTAACCAATTTCTTGTGCACCTGAAAGCCTGCTAATGTCGTAAAAAAATGTTCTTCAATTGGCTTTGGCATCCTTCTCTGATTACCAATTATTTAAGTTTGTAACTCTCTCCAACCTTTTCTATCTATCCTTAGAAGTAGGGCGAGAGAAAGTCAATATGATGTCGGTTTTTCCAACTATGAACCAATCGCTCTTTTGATATTGGAGACAATCTCTTTATCAATATACTCTTTCTTTTACACACTCATCTCATACTGATAGTTATAGTGGAGAATAGATAATAGTTAGGATTCAGTAAAAATTGGCAAATCCGCTTATGGAAAAGCCTTTCGGTCCTTGTACGTTGAAGCTGTCAAGTCCGTACGAGGATACTGTTTCAGGAGGGCGATTTCCTTTTTCAATTCCAGAAGTATCAGATGATAGCTTCCTACAATTTGCCCTTAAGTCATTTGATTGAAATAGCATAATGACTCTGTTTTACTCAACCACCGGTTTGCTTCCTGATCGTAAGCTGAAGACACTCTTGCAGAGGCCGCTTAATGATCTTCCCGAGACAAAAGATGGTTATTCCCTTCTCCTCTTTTGGTATTGGGAGGATTGCCTAAAACAGAGGTGGGGTTCTTTCCTTCCTCTTTGTTAATCAAGTAATAGAATACTCTAGTTGTTTGCTAAGTGGAAATTCGTGAACTTACTTTGACTTCTCTCCTTCTAATCGTCGTATGTATGAACGTTTTATTCTGGCCCTTGAGGAGTGAGGACGCATCCAGAGATATGCTACCCATACTAAAAGACAAGGCTTTGAAGGTTGGTATTTCCACTGTATTTCTATGCATAGGATCGTTCTCCCACTTCAATATGCACCTTTACCCCGTTTCTCTTTCTGTACAAGTGTTATTAGCATTGAAGAGCTGTTTAACTGGATTTGCATCTCTACTTCAATATCAGCTTAGTTTCTATATAAAATCCATATTGATTTGCATGTATGTATCAATGATATGTTGAGATAATATCTTTTCTTGTGACCTTGATGACTTTAATCCCAGAGCATGTATATGCTGTTGAAGAGCAAATCAGAGCAAGAGCGCAGATTGCTCTCATCATTAGTGAACAAAGCAAGTCTGAGTTTTGATTTCACTAACATTTTATAAAGTTTGACATTTTGCATTTCTAACAGCTTCTAAGTTGGAGTAATAGAATTCAATAACATTATAAACATTTTCATTTCAGACAGCTTCTACATTTCAGTTCATGTGCTTCTCTTAGGTAGGATATTTTTAACTATAATAACAATTCAACTATTTGAACAGCTAGGTGATCCTCAAACTAAGGGTGCATCCAATGCGGAATATTACTTGACAAACTTGCTTTCTGATCACCCCAGTATGAAGGTGGACAACTTCCAGCAGCTTTTCTTCTCTCTTTTTTCCCCCTCATATGTTTATCTGCCTTTTTGTTGACCAGATTTAGGGTGTTCTTTTCTACAGGCTGTAGTCATTGATGAAGTGGACTCATTTCTCTTTCGGCCTCACTTGGGCATGCGAGCCAAATATTATGCTGTATGTCCTTTTCATTATATCCTTTAATTACTTCGAACTGCTATTTCGGACAAGCACTTGATCTCTGCTTGCCATGTGCAGGTCAACTTTTTGAGCCAAATTCGACTGAGCAATAGAGGAGATGGACCTAAGGTTGCAAAGCGTTTGATAGATGTGTACTTTGCATTATTCAAGGTACCCAGGGATTTCAAGGATGTATCCTGTACATGTTCTTACTAAATTTGGGTTACATAGATATATGGGTATATACATCTTTTCGAGATATATGATATGGAACCATCTTGTTTTTAAGTGCTGATCACCGAGGCAGGTGTTGGTCAGAAAGCAGATAAAGACACCAAAGCTGATGATAAAAGTACTTCTGGTCCTTCCAAGGAAGGGAAGGTCAAAGCTTCACAAGAATCTCATATTGAGATGGATTCACGACTTCTTTCAGCTCTTTTAGTGGTAAGTTCTAATCCCTACCATGCCCCTCCAGGATTCACAGAAAGATGATGCTTTCGAATCCATGCTGATTGCAACTCATGCTTGCCTTTCTCCTAATCTCATCAGGGGGTCGTTTCCTTATGTTTCAGGTAATGAGGTTGATGACATCATTGAGTGCCAAACACCAACGCTCTTCCAGTTGGAAAGCTTTCATGTTAACTAATATCAGGCCGATAAACGACAAAGCAATGCCATCGATGAACTCGGTTCTGTATCTTTGAAGGCGATTGATGCATTTGTTGATGCAGGTTCACTCTCAAAACTTCAATGTGGGAGTTCAAGCCTTGATGCTACTTGATAAAATCTCTTCCAAGAATCAGATTCTCAGTGATCGTTTCTACCGTTCCTTGTACGCCAAGCTTCTACTTCCAGCTTCCATGAATTCTTCCAAGGTAAGTGATGAGCTTTCTGCTTTTGTCATTTAAGAAACTAAGCACCTCATTTATGCAAGCGAATAATTTCCTTCCTACAATAATATTCTTCAGGTGGAAATGTTTATTGGCCTCATCCTTAAGAGCCATGAAAAATGACGTGAACTTGAAGCGTGTCTCTGCATTCGCAAAGCGGCTGTTGCAGGTTAGTTGTTATCTTTTACTCTCGATTTACTGTTGGGAATATTTGAGCTACCTTCAGACTAGTTGTGTTCAGAGAAAGGGTCTGACTTGTTAAGTGTTTGAACAGGTTGCTATGCAGCAGCCACCTCAACAATACACTTGTGGATGCTTGTTTCTGCTCTCCGAATCTCTCAAAGCGAGACCCCCTTTATGGTACTTAGGCTTGATCTCGTATGAACAATTGCTGTCCACCCGTTTTACATGGCAAGTCATTTTCTCATCATACATTAACATAACCCATGATGTGCAGGAATATGGTGCTTCAGAGCGAGGCCGTGGATGAAGAAGAGGAACATTTTGAGGATGTTGTGGAAGATAACACCAAGGTAGATCCTGCTGATCTACCTCCAATGGAGGAAAGCAATGAGAAGGCAGACCATGAACGTGAATCTGATGACTCCTCATCTTTCGAAGATGATGAAGAAGATAAGACTGTCGCCTCGAGTTCAGACGATGATGCTGGTCAACTGCTAAGAGAAGATCATTCAGAAAAATTAGCATCGACACCGGAATCTAATAATAACGGTAATTTAAAAGCTGATACTGGACCAGCAAGAGCTTCCTTGCCAGGGGGTTACGACCCTCGCCACAGAGAGCCATCTTACTGGAATTGAACCTCTCTTCTTTCACAAAAACGAATGAACTGTGCTTATGGTTCCTTTGTTTTTGATGTTCTATTTTCCTGGGTGAAATGCACAGCAATGCGGACCGCGCCAGCTGGTGGGAGCTCCGAGTACTCGCTTCCCATGCCCATCCTTCTGTATCCACCATGGCTGGAACGACCTGTCGCTAAGTGCCTTCCTCGACAAGTTCATGGAGAAGAAACCCAAGCAGAAGGAATGGCATGGCGGCTCCCAAATCGAACCGTCCAAGAAGGTTCATACTTTCTTACAACTTTCCCGTTCGTCATAAGCTCCATTGTAATTGACTTGGGCATTTTTACTGACCTCCGTTATCTCACCTTACATCAGCTCGACAAGGACAATTGGCGGTTGATAGGAAGAAAAGACGACGGCCGGGGAAAATTAGCGGCGGTAAGGGTGCTTCCCCGTTTGCAAGTATGGAAGAATACGAGCATTTGTTGAAAGAGGACGGTCGTGACTGCGAAGATGTAACTCCAATCAAGGAGAATAAGTCCGGCCAAGGCAAGAAGCCAAAATCGCGAAAGAAGCAGCAGAAAACGACGACTGATTGATTGATTTAGAACGATACACATGCTTTCTACACAGTAATTTAAGCTCTTGAACATTTGAGCGGGAAAAGCAGAGGAAAAAACAGAGCTACTGGTTACTACAACTCTAGTGCAGCCACATGCAATTGCCAATTGGTGATTCGTTTCAGGAGATGGCGACTTGGAAGGACTTGGGCTTGGGCGGCGGAGGATGCTTCTCGACGACAACCCTCAGCACTCCGTTCTCGCACTTGGCGGAGATGGCTGAGACATTGGCGTTCTCCGGGAGGCGGAACCGCCGCATCAGCTTCTGAGGGCTCCGCCGTTCCAGGCGGATGTACTTGCAGCCTTCTCCGTCGCCGACTCCGCCGTCCACCTCCTCCCGCTTCCTCTTCGCGGTGCTCTTGATCACCAGGGTGTTCTCGTCTTCCACCGTCACCTGCCGTCAACATGTAAAGTTCCCACCTTTCAGAGTAAAATCGCAGGGTATAGAAGGTAAGTCTCAATTGGAATGGTTCAATTTGGTTTTTTTGCATATAATACCTGGATATCTGATTTGGAGAGGCCTGGGACGTCGAGGTAGAAGACGTACTCCTTAGGACAGTCGAGAACGTCGGCGTGAATGTGAGCAGATGCTTCCGCCGCGGCCCCACCGCCGCTGTGGTTGCCGGAGTGAGTCGGAGTGGTGGGGAATATGAACCTCTCCATGGTCTCAGGGATGGTGAACAAATGATCCATCAGGCTAGCCATTTCGTTCTGATGACTCTCGCGTAGGAAATTGAACGAATGGAGGGAGGACCTAGCTTCAGAGTGGAGAAGGGTGACGAAGAAATCTCTCGGCAGAGAGGGTGATCGAAGAGAGATGGATATAAATGAGAGGTCGGCGAACGGTTGGGAAAATTCGAGAAGCGACAGATTGACGAGAAGAGAAGAGTCTGGAGAATTCCCCAAGCGGAAGCGCGGGCAGATCGCCACGTGTGTGTATAACTGCATGGACGTTGTCGGGTGGGTAAACTCGCGGCAAAAACCTCTTTTCCCTGCGAAATGAAATGGGATCCCTATCCATTGATGGCGCTTATCCGACGTGGACCCTCATCTATCCGTTTTTACTTTTTACAATTTCTCCCAAGTTGAACATCCACGGCCCGGCCCAGCCCAGCCCAGCCCATTCTTTATTCTTCAGTTTGGTGCCGAGCCCTTAGTCAAAACAGCTCTAACTAGGGCACGAGCCCATGTTCGATCTGGCCCAGCCAATGGCAGGTTGATTTTGCACCTCTTTCCCTGACATGACAACAAAGATGAGCGGGTAGGGAACGGAAAGCATATGTTCCAAAAATTGAGCTGACAAAAGCCGACGGCAAACGACGACGGATTGGTTTCCAAAAACAGAGCAACACAAAGAAGAGATGCCCCTGCCGCTGGTTGATTCAGGAAACGAGTGAATCGAATCAGTAACATTCCCTTGCCACTTGCATTATGTACACTACCTATAAACAGACTACAGACCTATACATATACGCAAAACACATATCTCCCTCATTTGGCAACGAATATTGGCATTCTGATTCGGTGATACATGAAGGAAATGGTGGCATTGGATTGGAGGATTCGATAATCAAGTTCCTGCGTGTAACTGATAAGTTTCTCTGTCCATCATCCAATTTGGTTGAGATTTCTGCAACTTTTATTTACAAGAACCACAGAAATGGGCAGGCATAGATAGGAAGCAGGGGAGGAGAGAACATATTCTGATAACTTATTCACCATCTGCACAATCCCAATAGCTGCTAGCTAGCTCATGATGATAAATAAATAAATAAATAACATCACTGCTCGCTCTTCTTTCCTTGTGCATGCCTTCGATCTTTCACTTTCATCAGTTAATTGCCACCATGTTCAGATCCAGAGATCCCAAACTCTCCAATGCCATCTCTGTAAGTGCTGCTTCTACAATACATATTCCTCTCTGCTTTCCCTTTTCGTCGTGACCGTGCATATTAAAAACAGATTGTGGAGCTAAGGGTACACATGGACTGCGACGGCTGCCAGAAACGGATCCGCAGAGCAATCTCCAAACTAAGTGGCACGTCAATCCACCACTCTCATCATCAATTCCTTTTTCCACCATAAATATATACACATTTCCGTTCCTTAAAAAAAAAAACCAAATACTGACGTGCAGGAGTGGACAGCTTGGAGATCGACATGGGGAAGCAGAAGGTGACGGTGACAGGCCACGTGGAGCAGCGGAAGGTGCTGAAAGTGGTGAGGAGAACTGGAAGGAGGGCCGAGTTCTGGCCGTTTCCTTACGACGGCGAGTACTACCCGTATGCTGCAACATACTTGGAAGAGTCGAATTACCGGACGTCGCACAACTACTACAGCCATGGCTTCAACGAACCGGTACATGGCTACTTCCCTGAGCAGGCCTATTCCACCGTCGCCGATCAAACCGTCCACCTCTTCAGCGAAGACAACGTCCATTCCTACTGCTCCGTCATGTGATGAACCCCGCATGGCATCATTTGAGCCGCGCACGGTAAAGAGCAATCCCGACGACTACTAGAAAGACTGAGAAATTTTGTTAAGGTGGGCCCAATAAAGAAAAAAGAGATGATAATTTACATTAATGTTCTACAATAATAATTCACGTTAATTACATGATGGCTGCTTATGGGCTCGTGAAATGACTGAATCTTAAAAAACATGGACCTGGAGATCGGCCTCCAGGATTTAACAATCATTTCTCCTCGATTTCTTCAAGAATATCTGTAGAGGGGATATTAGACAAAGATATGCAAAGATATTGATTCCCCTAAATAGCCAACAATGTGATGTCTATACGTACAACCATCTATATAGACCATCATAATTCAGACGCTCTTTGCATATGTCTAGCTTCCTACAATAATACATGACATGGAAATCTGAAACCTGGATTTAAACATGTTTAGCTTTATACTGAACTAACTGTAACTTGTATGAACAATAATATTTATGCCTATTATTAGCAGCAAGACAATAGTCGTTAATTATTTGATTCCAAACGAAAAAATATATCAATAACAAAAACAATTAGCTGCTGTTAGGTTATATATATAACAGTGAGGATTATCTCCCGTAGTATGCACTAGCTACTACCAAATCTTCAAGGATCTTATCATTGTTTTAATTAATTCCGATGAATAATAATCAAGGATGATTTTGTTTCAATATCACATGATGGACCTCTTCAGCTTCAAAACCTGGCTAGACTAGAGCAATATTCATGATCATCATCATTATGCATGTGGGCTCGATCAGAACCAATAGTATCGATCAAATCCCTAGCTGCTAGGCCTAGCTAGCCAGTCAAGAATGATGTCTTTTTTTTTCTTTCTTTGTTTAGTTTGATTCTCCTTTCTTTTTCTTCCAAACTAACTTGTGCCTTGTGCGAGTGAATGGTCGTGTAACAAGGTTGTCAAATCGGTTTATGTTATTGTGCCGGTTTAGCAAGTGGAATGGTTCGACCGGTGACACATACCGGTTTGTGCATGTTCATGCCGGTCAATATTACATATAAAATTATAAATACTCATATTTAAACATGACATTTAACGTCAATACCTAAACATTTATACTTGAATCCAACAAATAACATCAATATTTAACTTTTATACTCATAAAATAAATAATAAAATAATTTCCAACAATTAAATTCATTAAAATAAGGTCATTTTACTTAGAGATTCGTATATCGATCATGTCGGTCATACGGGTGGTGTCACACCAGTTTTATGACCGGTACCGGTTGAACCAGGTACAACCGGTGGCACGCCGGCCGGCGTCACAACCATGTCGTGTAATCATAAAAAAAAAACAGAGAGAGAGGTGGATAGATGTGTTGTATTGTACACAGGAAGGCAGCGGCAGCCGTTTGCCGCTTACTAGCTAGTAGTAGACTACGTACAAAACAATGAATGTGTTCCAGCAGTGGGCTGGAGTCTGGACCAGTAGTTGGCTGTGTGGCAATTTAAGCCTCTTCTTACTCCGTCAGCCGTCTTCAATTGGGATCAGACTTCAGAGGACCACAACATAGACGATATGTATTATTAGAGATGTCCCCCCTGGTCTGTTTTCAGCTATCCAGCAATCAAGACTTCCAACTATAAACCTATCCTTTTTGACCAAATAATATTGGTTGTAAATAGTAATTGCATGAGGGTCGTGGTTCTGATTCGTTTCTACGGTTAAAACTATCTATCCGTTTGAGTTCTGACGTACAGTTGATTTTTCGGTCGGACTATTCGTATGATATGAAACTGTCTACCCACCAGTCCACCAATTTGATAATATGCATTAAGTAGGGTCGTTGCTGTACTTTTTTGAAGGGAGGGCTTAATTGTATAACCTAGTACTCCAACTTGATTGCATTAGGGGATATACATGTAATTAAGGGTTTGAGTGTCCATCTATCAATGCAATAAACGAAGATAAGTGGCCGGCAGGTTTATATACACCGACCAACCAACAATAGCAACAACCAGCTGGCTCTTGCTTGCTAGTGCTACCTCTTGTGTTTTGCCTTGTTGCTTGCGCTCATAATTATTATGGTCTTATATACCAATTACCAACCAATTATATCGCAAAAACCCGAAATCAAATGACAAACTAGCTAATTTTTTAATGAACGTTGCTAACAAAAAAAAAAAGAAAAAAAGTAGTTCAACCGCAATTTAACACTACTGCTTATAAATAATTCGTGTTGTTGTGAGAGATAGGTGATCGATATGGGTAAATCATGAATGTTAAATCTCTTCCTAGTTCCTACCCATATTTATTTGGGTGAGTGGCGTGTTAATTGTTAAAAATATTGATGTAGTCTAACAGTAAACAGTGATTAAATTTGCCAACAATAAACAAGTCCTGAGTTCAAAGGTACGCAGCCACCAGCTCACCACATTACAATTCATTGTTTTTAAGGAGTATTTAGTGTTTCACCCCTAAGTTTTCAGTGGGATCCTCCAACTTACAACGTTATCTTATTAATTATTATGATAAATTTATGCTAATGATTTACTTCCAATGGTTTTGGAAGACATAGAACATCATATTATGTTTGTTATATTTTATAGATATAATTTTGGGTATATGATTTGAAATAAAAAAAATCGGATTTTTGTCCAAAATATAGGAACTTTATTTAAAAATGTGTATTTACAACCATGAAAACATTGAAGAATTTACTACACATGTATGATCAATTTCTTGTTTATAGTTCAAACTTTATATTGAGAAGGTGCTAGAAATATTAGGTTTACTACTATTTTGAGTGAGTTTAATGACCTTGTGAGGTTAAAATAATTGATAACTATCGGTATTTTCTCTATATTATTATTTTGATTGTAATTTTTTTTATCCTCCATAACTTTATTTCTTATTTTGCTCGTGGATATGGGTCACTCGAGCGACAAGCAACCCACTTACCACCCATCCACATCAATGCAAGTAGTGATTTACGTACCCACTATCCACCCACAACAGTTCAAGTATTTTACGAATAGGATTGTCTCAAACCATGATCCAACCCACCCAATTGCACACCGATTATCAAGTAGGACTGCAAAAAAGCTGAGATCTTTTTAATGACATAGACATAATCAACAGAACATCAACATACTTACCATGATGCAAGCAAGTTGACAAAGGTCACTTCTTTTCCTTTTTAAGGTAATAATTTGCACATAGAACATGCCACTTAAGTGTGTTTTTCTTGTGAAGGAGAGGCAGAGAATTATTCATGCAGCTGAATGACACACAAAAGCTAGCTAGCGTGATGAACATCGTGAAAGAGATAGAAAAAAGGGGATTAAAAAGTCCCCTAAAATCCAACTAGTGGAGTTAATTATGATGGTTAACGAGGTTGGAAGCTAGCTAAGCTGGATGATAATGATGGTTAGGCAGTAAATATGGCGCGCGGATTTGACAGATTCATTCATCACATGGGGCTAGCAAGCACTCCAACCTGTATGTGTAACGTAAGTAAGCAGCAGCCAGCAGGAGGTACCAAATTACATATCAATTAGACAAGAGGCTTGTATGCTAAGCGTGTAGTTTAGTCTTAATCACCTTCCCCTGATGATCAATATGTTAATTAATTGGGCGGTTTCCATTAACCACTAAAATTGCTATTATGAAAGCTAAGTTTGCATGCTCCACTTCTTTATTGCCATTATCATTAGTATACTTAAGAGCTTCCGAGTCATTTTTGCCAATCTGGCTAGGGTGGTGACAACACCATTTGTAAAGACGTTTGTATAACGTCCGTAATCGTTTAATTTGATCGGGCGTTGTTGTTGGATGAATGTAGTGTCATATTCTTAATTAAACTACGACCGCGTCCATCAAGCAGTTGCACAGTCTTGCAGAAACCCAATCTTTGATTGCATGTCCCTACAAATGGTGTTGTGACCACCTTAACCGATTACACGTTTGCATCTTATTGGTCAGAATAACCGACCCGAAATTATAAGTATGAGCTGGATTTCAAAATACACGTTCTAGTTTGTGCGGAATATGAAATGAGATCTTACTACATTGTTGGTCAGAAGGTGGATAAAACTTGGTAAACTATACTATGGTAGTATGGTCAATGGCACAAATACCCTAAAACTTAGACCGTAGTGGCAACGAGTGAATGCATAGTTCGAGAAGGAATACAACAACTTTTTCGTTATTCAGCATAACGTTATAACCAGTGGCGGAGGCAGGCCCTTTGGGCCCTGTCACGCGACAAGGGTAAATTTCGAAGAAACAAAAATACGCCATATATTTATATTGGTGATGGAACACAATATCTATAAGTAGTATTACAGTTTTTTGTCACTACAACACAATTCTTTGTTTGTTCAAAAGTTGACATAAAATTAATTTATTATACTATAAACGAAATTCCAATTGCAACAAATACCTAATTAGATCTTTTTTTTCCTTATGCCTATTCGATCTTATACCCTACAACCCTGAAATTATCTAGCGACAACGACAATTTCACTAGTTTTGATTCTACCAACTAGAACTACAAGTGTAAAAAGAGCATTTTCAGCTTTGTGTTATATCAAGAACAAGTTTCCAAGTTGATTTGGCGACCAGTTTGCTAATGCTTGTTTAGTGAGATACACTGAAAGAGACTTATTTAATAGTGTGTATACAACGAATATTTTTGTGTTTCTTTCACAATATGAAATTCCTTCGTCATTGTTCTGAAAACTATGATTGTATAGTCGGTAATTTTTAATCTATAAATGGATTATTTGGTATAATTAATTTTAATTATTTTTATTAAATAGTTTTTAGTTAGATACTTATATATTAAAGTTATAAAAAGAGGACAAAGGTGATTTAAATGCTGCCTCCACCACTTGTTATAACTATTGAACAAAAGATGGGAAGTAACAAGATGTGAGCTATCAACCATCCTTCTTCTGAAATCTAATTTTAGTCCATCGAATCCAACATCAATTTTTTTGTTGTTTCTATCCCGTTACTCTAATTTCTGATTTCGCCACAAACGAGCAAGAAACACGTACAAAGTAGAAACCAACTGTAGTAGTGTACGTGTGCCAAATTAAATTGCAATGTCGGACGACGCAATTTGGTTCTCCTTTAAAACGGTATCCCAAAACGCTCTCCGCACTAGCCTGAGTCTTATTAGCTGGTTTGCACTGCACCAAAAACAGTGGGCCTGGCCTCCCAATCCACGAGCCAGCCAGCCTCCCCAAATCCGGGCCCACTCTTCACATCCATCCAAACCCACTTTTTTTTTATTACTTAAAAAAATAAAAAAAACGTAACACCGTAAAAAGCAGCGCAAAATCATATAAATGTGAACCTTCCCCTGCCTCCTTTCCATTCCCCACTGCCCTCTCAACAATTTCACTCAAACGCTCTCCTCTTCTCCTCCTCCAAAACCAGAAAGAAACGTTTCGATGGCGAAAGTAGGGAAGCTGACGAAGCTGAAATCAGCAATCAAGAAGTGGCCGTCTTTCTCCGCCGCCAAGCAGACCCACCACCACCACGACGAGCAGCAGCATGATGAGGCGGCGGCGGCGGCAGAGTCCGACGAGCCGCAGCAGATTCTTCACTCCGTCTACATCGGGAAGTCGCGGCGGCGGTATCTCTTGACGACGGAGGTGATGTGCCATCCCATGTTCCAGGAGCTGATGCAGAGGTCCGGCGGGGTGGACGCCGACGGCCAGATCATCGTCAGGAGCGAGGTGGTCCTGTTCGAGCATTTGCTTTGGATGATCAACGAGCAGGTCAATGGCGGAGGGGACAAGGATTCCTCGTCCTCCTCGCAGTTCGGGTCAATGGAGGAGCTGGTGGATTTCTACTGCTGCTAGCTGGGATTTGCTGATGATAACAGAGGAATAAAGGGGGGGAAAAACAGAGCATATATGGTTTATTATATGTTTAAATTGTAAATTGAGTAGTAGGTTATCAAAAATGTTTGGCGGATTATGGGTAGTGTAGTTGTGATTGACGAGAGGAAAAAACCAACTTTTTCTCCTCTTCTCTCTCTCTCTCTCTCTTGGCTGGATTCTCAATTTTCAGGGTCATTTGGCTTTGGGGGCACGAATGATTCCGACTTGTATTAGTTTTTTTTTTCTTAATTTTGTGTTGTGTACTGATCTGTTCTTAATCTGCATTTTTCATGTCTTCTCACTAATGGCTTCAATCTAGCTATTTTTGACGGATTTTGATCAACTAACTTGTATGTCCTTTTGTAAGAGTTGACATTTAACAATTCGATCTTATACCATTCATTACGCGATGTTAAAATTAGTTCCAACTAGTTAAAAAAATAAATGTTTAAATGGTCTCTCATCATCGATAGTATTGATCACTATGTCTTTTCGTGGTAAGCATTATCAGTTAGTTTCTGAAGAATCATGATTGTTTCATGTTGTGCATGAATGAATTATGTTTCCAAAATCATTATTTATTTACAAATGACCACTAACTTTGGTAAAATGACAACATAAAGGTTCAATCTTAAGATTAACATTATACTACTTTAGTAAGAACAAAAAAAAACCACTCAAACGGCTTAATCAATCTTTCAGATCGCCAACGAAAATGAACAAAAAAAGATAATTTTTTAGCAAGAACAAAAAAGATCGAGTAATCATTCGTATCATATATTTGCACAATGTTATACAATGATTCTCATAGCTAACATTCGTATCATATCACCCTAATTCTACCACATTTGATGCTAGTTTCATCCTATTACGAGAGAAAATTGGGAGTCTAAGTTATCGATCAAAGAGAAACTAAAAGGTAAGTGACCATTATGTACAAACTCAAAATCGTCCTAGCTTGCAGACCATTTGAGAGACCTACCTACCCTTGATTACGGGCACAAGGGTCCCTCCCCTTTGAGGATGCTGGCCCTGTTTTTGGAGCTGGCATGGCGGTCGAGCTATAATAATATTTGAACAAACAAAAACCCTTATTGCTCCTGCTAAGCTTTCCTTTCCTTTCCTTTGCCAGTAAGTTTGCCCATGACCCTCCTCCAAGAAATCCTTTTCATTTGATGACTCTGCTACCATATTTTTTGTACAGCTTGTGATGATGGCATCTCTAGTAAGAAAGAAACAATGTACAAGGGTACAACTTGCTTTCTTTATTGTTTTTTCCCCTCTCTCTATCTTTAATTTATGGTCCCATACGCCATAACCCCACATTTAAAAACCACTGTTCCTTTGTCATGTTCGAAGCTTACACAGTCTCCATCCATGCACGCCATCTCATTATCTCTTTCTCTTCTCTTCTCTACCTTAGCAGCAGCAGCTTCCACTACTTTACAAATTGGTGTCTCTCTGTAAACCCCCAAAAAAACAAATGTATATATGTTTCAGTCGCAGGCTCGACAGCTGTCTTGCCTGGCTAGATCGTGGTCGTGGTCGTGGAGGAGTAAAAGATCGATCGCTCGATCTTCAGCCGAAATGTTTGTGCAGATTGGCTGCGACACGACACGGCTGAGAACAGAACAGGGGACCGGCTTGACGTGGTCTCTTTTCTGGTTTTTGTTGTTGCTGTAGCAACTACTGCGCTCCCTTTCAAACACCACATTTATGTTCGTTCTCTCATCTCTCTTTATTCCTTTCTTATTTTCTGGATTAGTGCCAACAAAATGGTTATGGTCCCTAGCTAGCACTATTGTGTCCGTTCATTGTCTCTTCTTATCATCGTATGCTTCACACATTCCTAGTTACCTAATTGTGTCTAGCTAATTCCATGTTATTTTGTTCCCCATGCTAGGAGAGACTTGTATATCTTGTCTTTTATCGGTATTCACTCCCTCGTCTTGTTTTAAACATAGGCTAAGTTTTACCTTTCTATTAGAGAGCAATTAGAACGATTTTACATAAGCTACTTTCCATCTTTCTAGCATAGAGCAATTAGAACGATTTTATGTTTAATGGAGAGATTTGATGTATTTTATAATTGATAACTCAAAAGGATTTGATGACTAAGTTTCCTAATAACTTTAACACTAATAATACTGAAAATACATAAATTCTAGACTATGATAAGGAATGCCATTTTAGAAATTTACATGGTAGCATCTGTACAAGAACATAATAATGCTACTTGTGGTACTTGCCCTACTCGATCATGCGCTATAATTTCATCATTGATCAATTGCATAATTAGAAATTTGAGTGGGGAGGAGCCAACAAATTTTTAAATTCGAAAGATTTCTACCATTGTAACTTGCTGGACAGGACGAGCCAATAATAACATACTAAATGTTTTATTTCTCGAATTTGTTTCATATTTTTCTAACTCTATATTTTAGATTAAGGAGTGGTTCGTAGCCCCTCTATGCCATAACGTAGTTTCGCGCTGCTATTCTAGATATCCATGTAACTTGGAAGGATACTAGTTTTTGGAACAGAAGACTAGCTAGCTAGTAGGTATTTGCTATGTTGGAGAAAAAGTTTTAGACTAATGATTTGGGTTGTTAGAAGTGCTCTGTATTTTTTTTTTCTCCAAGGGTGGAATAAAGTAGGAACAAAAGGGGAGGATGGGACAAGATTAAGAGCTAATCCATAACATAAACAAATACACTAGACATTAGGTGGTGATTGATTAGCATGCATGATGAGGATGATGGCAAATTGGGTGGTTATTATATGCTGGTGGTTGGTAATGTATGTTCTAATTTTTTTAATGTATTAGTTATGAACTTATGATGTAAAGGTAGGCAGAGCAGCTTTGGCTTGTTGACAAATACATTATACAATGAATTAATGAGTATTATTAATTTATGAGTAAGTCTCATCCTCCTCCTCATCAAGTTCAAACATATAATTAAGTAGAGGGTTAATAATGCATAAACCAACAAATCTTGGTTGGTCATCATGAGGTTGTTGGTGGGACCAAAGCCCAAACCCAACTTAGTTCCATCCCTATCATCTTTCCAACTAGGCAAGTAGCTATCTTTATTTCTTTCTTTCCCCCTTTGGAGCAGGAAATAAACATTTTATTGCCTGTATAATTTTATTACATGTTTTTTTTGTAAAGTTCCATCTAAAAGAATATCTTTAATGTAGACTTATCATACAAAATATCTCCCACACCATCTAATTATGATATAGAAAGTCAAGATAATCTTGAGCTCTTTTATAAGAAAAAAGTGATAATGTTGTGGTGGCCTTTTTATTAGAGTGGTACATGAAATAACGTCTTTTTTTTATCTGGTATTATAGTAGCTTTCGATTGTTGCGATAAAAAGAAGACGGAATTTACATGTGTAATCAACTATACATTCAGTATATAACTATTTCCTAAGAGGACCACTAACTTAAAATAATGCATACATAAAATAGTTTCTTCGTAACCCTAACATTAGCTAGTTATGAATTAGTTTCGATCGTACTTTATCAAATACTCAACAATTTTAAAAATTATAGTAAATACTCTACACTGGTATAGAGAGACATATAATATTAGAGATGACTTCAGACAAAAGTCTTCTCCATTAGTCATCAATATAACTAATCGATGGTATTACAAACCAATGAACCATTGAAGTACGTACTCTTAAAATAATTTCCAAGTTCCAGCTCGAAATCGAAACAGCTGGGAAAGTTTAGGCACCGGCTCTGCTCTCTTTCCCCCCATCCCATATTTTTGGGGATTGTTGAAGTAAAATCTTCCTGCCCTCGATCTACTGCATGCATTATTATCATCCTCATTCAGCGACAATTAATGGGTTTCCTTCCTGGCCTCTGCCAATCAAGTAAATTTTAGGGTTGTACATCTCCCCTAACGCCTTGGATTTTGTGCTTATATCCCCCATAGATTGTCTCTACCCAGCTACTATATCCCACCAAACCAATGTCGGACTGGACTCAGAAAGAAAGAAGCCACTGAAACAGACTACATTCATGGTAGTAGAACAGAACCCAATCCATTAGCTCGATATGTGGCCATCGACGTGGTACGATCCAGTCCACTACTACTTTGGCAATTGGCATTCCTTAACAATAGAGGTAGCTATACGGTCCGGTCCGGTTAAATTAGACCAAATTGATCCGGTCTCAGTCCGGTCTTTTCGGGAATATAAGATCAAAGATTGGATTGGATACAGTCCGGTCTTGACCCGGTCCGGTCCCAATTTTATCTTGATTTTAGGTGTTGGGGATCTCTTATCCGGTTTTTTACCTCAAATCTAAACCCGAATATGCGATTGCATTGTTTGCTATCCGGTTTCAGTCCGGTCCCGGTCCGAGTTATACGGTCCGGTTTCGGATAAAACCAAACAGTCCGAGACCAAATAGCCGGCCCCACTTAACAACAGTTACAACTATTATCAATTCTTTTTCTTTGTACATGTGTAGGTTCCTTTTCCTGCGTAAAAAAAAAGTAATAATGGGCTGCCACTGTTGAACCTGAAAAGCCCAACTGAAGTGAGAACCCACCCGTCAAAATCAAACCTCCCGCCAGTTAAGACTAAACGAATAACGGCCCAATTGGCGCTCACGGGCCGACAGCCCACTTCAACTCGGACCTTCAAAACTCGTTCCTCAAACTCACTCGGTCTAATTCCGTTCCAACCTTCCAGGCGACCGTTCTCCTGCACAGCTTCCCCTGGCCGGCCGTGGGAAAGTAAACAACCACAATCTCGCACCTTCCGCTCCGGCAGAAAACCACCGCCGTTGAACACGTGCTTCTTCTTCTCTCAGCTGTAGTGGCGTGACACCGTTTCCCCTCAGCTACTGTTCTATCAAGTGAGTCCCGTTCTTTCGAGTATTCACATACCGTTTCATATCATTTCCAGCTCGCCTTCCATTATTATGAATTGGTACTAAGCTGATAGCCGATATTTCAATTGACGAGGCTCTTCCCGTTTCAATCATTGTAGTCCATGATGTATCGTTAGGTTCGCACTAACTTATGGGTGGTTTTTATTCGGTTCTTTTGGCTAATTTTAGCTGCGGCAGCAGGGATGGCTAGGTTTCGATCACTCTGGCAAGCCTCTTTGAATGCCACTAAGAGAGGTATTTTCTTTTTCTCTGGGTTTCTCCAGTGTTTGCTCTATTTGGTTTGGCTGTCATTTTGCTTGATCTTAGTTATTGCATTACTTGTTGGCTATGCAAGACAGCTTTTTTTTTTTGGGTGTGCAGCAGTAGTATGTGGGAATGTCTGCTTATCCTTTCTTTCACCTCCTTTCCTTGTGTATTCCTAGTGAAGTTCATACTGCCTATCGAATGCATGATATGATATCATACGTGAACTCATATTATCTTCAAAGTAAACCATGGTAGTTGACCCGAATAGAGTTATTATCCACTTGAACTACAACCTGCTTCAACGTTATCAGCACAAGGTAGTGCTATTGTGCAGAAGTGACGAGGAAAGGTGATTGTTGAAGGGGTTGGATTAGGAAACACTTGTTAGGATGTTGTGGTACTGATAGCTTGCCATGCCTTATTGAAGTAAATACTGTTACTGATAGATCAAGTAAATATGTTTTACCTTTAGATCGGGGAATCAAACACTTCAAACAAGCCCACATGTGTAACGGATATAACTGCATCTGCCTTTTCTGCAAAATTCCGTGATTGAACAAAACATGAGTATAAAGGGTGTTTTTCTTATTTACTTGATTATTTCCCCTGACAGCTCTTTCATGGAACCTTGAAGACTCGATGCTTCCTACCGAGAGACTTGTTTCCAGCTTTAACTCAAAGGACTCGATCTCTCTTCAGCGACTCGGCAGTATCAGGCGCTACGCTGGCCCTTTTGCCAGATCAAAGCTGCAGCTTGATGGCGTGAAGGATGTTATTGCTGTTGCTTCTGGGAAAGGAGGTGTGGGCAAGTCCACCACTGCTGGTAATTTCCTGCTTTCCTCTTGCCCTTTGATAAACCTAGCTCGGGTAGATTTGGGACTGCTATGGTTTTTTCCAATGTGCTTTGAAAAGGACAATCTGGTGGGATATTATATTCCTTATTCTTCATTGCTTTAGAATTTGAAGTGCTTACTTAGAAATCTTTTTAAGTGATTGCATGAGCAATGAAAATGTTAGTTTTCCAAAAGCTAGATTCAGTTAATTGAGTGTAAGTGACTGTTTACATGTATTCCCTTTGATTTCATCAATTTCTCTGATGTGAATAGCGGTTGTCTTCTGCAGTAAACTTGGCTGTTGCCTTGGCTAACAAATGCAATTTGAAGGTGGGTTTGCTTGATGCTGATGTCTATGGGCCATCTGTGCCTATGATGATGAAGATCGACCGCAAGCCGGATATCACCGAAGGTAATACTCCGGATACACAGAATACTTGGAGCAAAGGGTGCAAAGATGTTATGTGATGTAAGTATTATGTAGTTAAACATTCTGTTACATGAAAGCCTTGGGTTGAGGCTTTGAGATAGCCAATTTCGTTACTTAGGGATACCTGGATAGCATAGCATAATTAGGGAATCTCACTACCGGTCTGTAGTCCTAACTTTCGTCCTGGTTCTTTCTTAACCTACTCTACTTGCATGGCAGATTCAAGCATGGAAGAGACAGGCTAGAAAGAAAAGAGAGTTAGAATTCCACAGAAAAAGGCCACAATAGAGGCACTGATTATATTAACTGAAGAAGGTGAGCAAACAATGCAATATCCTTCTAAATTGTGTAAGCCGTTGAGAGGAAAATGCTTATTAGCGTGAATGACTAAAGAAGTGCTAATGGAAGGTAACAATGACCATAACTCTATCAAGGAAAACTTAACTGAGTAAAAGCTTATTAGAACTTCCTAAATATAACTGTCTACAACAACTTTGTGTTTCTGAATTTTCTTTAGAAAATATTATTCTTTCCACAGTATTCTAGTTTTGTAAATTGAAGATCCAGTGGGAGATGAAGTTGATATAGTAACATCCTTTCTTCTGCTTTGGCTGATTGTAGTTTTAGTTGCACAAATGATAGCCCTGAACCAACTCACATCTTATTTTCACTTTTTTCAACAGACAAAAAGATGATTCCTATTGAGAACTATGGAGTTAGGTGCATGTCAATGGGATTTCTTGTAGAGCAGGATGCCCCCATTGTGTGGAGAGGCCCCATGGTAAGTCACTCTCACTTCATTATTTTTGCTTAAAAAACTTCCACGCAGTCTGGTGCTTATTACTAATGTCACCTGTAAATTTTTTATAACACGCTTAGAGTGGTTCTTCAAATGGTAAATGTGAGTTCTAAGGTTGGTCTCTGTTGCAGGTGATGAGTGCTCTCGAGAAAATGACTAGGGGAGTCAGTTGGGGAAAGCTTGATATTCTCGTGGTAGACATGCCCCCTGGCACTGGCGATGCTCAGCTTACTATAACTCAAAGCTTGCAGTTATCAGGTTTGTGAAGGCGAATAGGCAGTGCACTTTGATTTACGGAAACTAATTTGCTCGAGATTAGTATTCTAGCTTTATAATTGGCACAAATATAGTAATCATGCAGGCATAGCTGTTCTCTTGTCTGCTTGCAGGTGCAGTAATTATTTCAACTCCACAAGATGTTGCATTACTGGATGCTCGAAGAGGAGTTAAAATGTTCTCCAAAGTCGAGGTTCCGGTATGTCCTTTAGCTCTTTTGAAGTCCAAAGATGTTTAATTTCAGTCACCGGCGTGATGTAGATGTTGCCATTCTAGTTAGCAGTACCAGTTCTTGGGAAAATAATAGCTCGTGAAATTATGAACTTTGGAGTAACATATTTAATCAAAGCAACGAGTAACTCTTGCGGGCTATAAATGTTGAAGCATCAAGGAGGTTGAGCCGATGCATGTTTAATAGAAACCACCATTAATATGTGGTATTTTGAGCCGATACATCATACATGTTTGAAACATAAAGGGATTAATGATTGGAGTCATTATTCTCCATGCAGATTCTAGGGTTCATAGAGAACATGAGTTGCTTCAAGTGTCCACATTGTGGTGAACCTTCATACATTTTCGGTAAAGGCGGAACTCGAAAGACTGCTGATTCAATGGGTCACCATTTCATTGGCGAGGTAGGGCGTATTGTGAATTTTCGCACAGGCGTAGTACAGAGCTGTTGGCAAGTAAAGTAGGTCTGTGAAACTCACTGACATGTTTTTCTCCTCTGGTTTCCAGATCCCAATTGAAGTTGATATCAGGACGTGCTCCGATAATGGTACCCCTATTGTAATATCATCACCTGATTCTGGTGTCTCGCAAGCCTATTGTGAAGCTGCCTGGAGTATAGTTAAAAAACTAGAGGAACTGGCCAAGGGAACAACCTTCCAACCGGAGATTAATCTGTGAAATTTTTCTGATTCTAGGAGTCCCCTTTTCCCGGTGTTCTGGAGTCCTGAAGTGACCAAGTGTACACGGTGAAGTCTGTGACTGTAGCCCTCTGATGTAACCGTTTTCTTTCTGCATACTGAGGGTACATAATCGACTTGGATGTTCTTTTGTTGTTAGTCGGAATGCTTCTTAATCTTCGCTTCTGTGCCCTAAACCATAGAGATTTGAGAATGCAAGGTATTCGATCCCAAATCCCATATAAATGATAATTCTAAAAACAGGTCCAAAGTTGTTGTAACGATCTGAGTATACTAGATCACTGGTCTTAGTTATGTCACATACTATCATCAACTTTTTGTACATATAGGTTCATTTTCTTCATTATTAAAAAAAAATTCAAGAAGTTTTGGGTGGTGGAGATTCCAATATTAATGAAAGTCTTAAAGAAGATGGTATTCAGGTGTGTTCAATTTTCAAACTCATATGAGTTGGCTTTCGTTTGTGAAGGTGTGTAGTGGTTAAGTATCATATATTCAATCCTAACAACTCAAATTATTGTGATTAAATGATTCATGAGATGATATAAGAGCCTTGTGTGATCGAGAGGTATTCGATCTCGGTGACCCCAGTAGTTTAGTGCATGGTATTTAAACTTAGACCTATGTAAACTTCAAGATCATATATGATGGTTTTCTTTTGAGGAAGTTTATAAAATAGTGATATAAGATTCATAATAATCTTCTTTCAAGGACTCAAATTATTATAATATAAGAATTGCTTTGACAAAATCTTCGTGTGGTCGAATTTTCACGGGAAAGTTAATATGCTAACTTGAAGATTTGTTAGCACATACTAACTGATATCATAGGGGTGGACAACGGGAAATGGGTATTTGGGTATATCCATACCCGTCCCGTTTTTTTAGGGTTACGGGTACCCAAATATCCGTAAATTTTTTTTTGGGATGGGATTTGGGATCAAGAAACTCTACAACGAATACCCGCGGGTTAACCGTTAATACCCTTTTGAGTATTATGGGTACCCGTACTACCCGTCAAGACGAAGGATCCATGGCCTCTCTGCTCTGAATTTGATTGCAACTAAACGTTGGTATCTTCTGCAGTTCTTGTTCCTTGTTCTTCCTCTGTGTCTCGGTCTCTGAATCCCAACGAAACTTAAACAAGCCTATTAGTTAATTTGTGAAACAATCTAGACAAGCCTCAAAGCCCACTCGGTCTGGGATATCAGAAGGGAATTTGTGGGATTTATTTTAAGTTTATCTCTTTTGGGCTTTATGTGCTTTAAGTCCATTATTTAATTAGAAGAAAGACGAGTATAATAAAAACATCTCTATTAGTCTTCTTCCTCGCGTGCTCTCCTTTCCCCTGCTCTGTCTCTTTTCTTCCAACGTCAAAATCCCCAAGAAATTAAATCAGCTCACAATCGTATTTCAGTTAAGACCAGTCATTGTGCCGTGCGGGACGGTAGGGAGATTGGTTTGAGAGGGAATTATAAGGAAGTATGGGTACCCGGAGTACCCATTATCCGTCGCGTACGGGTAACGGGTACCCGTTAACTCGTAAGGGTTTGGGATATGGGATGGAGTTTCCTCCTCAAATGGGACTGGGTACCCGTTTCAAACAGGACGGGTACCCAATCCCGTCCTGTTTTCCACCCCTAGTGATATTCAAAATACAATAACTAATATCCAAGTACTAAAGTATCTCGAAAGCACAAACTAGTATTCAAAGTTTGCTAACTGATATCCACCATGAATTAATTATTATCCCAAATTCACAAACTAATATCTAGACAACATAGAATAGTATGCAAACAACACATAATTAGTATCCAGATAACACATAAGAGTATCCATATTGAATACTAGTTGGTTGATTGTGGATGTTAGTTGGTATCTGCTATCTGGATACTAGTTTGTGATGTTTTGAATACTAGTCTGTGTTATCTAGATACTTAGCATACTTGGGTATTAGTCCATACATTTTAGATATTAGTTAGTATATACAGGGGCAGATCTACGTTCAGCTCCGGGTGGGCCCCGACCCCTAGGACGTGAATTTTGTACAAATGTTATAAGTATTATGTGTTCTGTAAATTCTATCACATATTAGCTATGTGATCTAATGGAAACCCAACTTGACCCATGTCTCTTAGTACATGGTTTCGATCCACATTTCATTTATTATTTTGCTTTACCCTCTTTACAATTTCCCAAACCAAAATGAATCCACATTTCATTTATTATTTTGCTTTACCCTCTTTACAATTTCCCAAACCAAAATGAAACTCTCCATAATATATGAGAGAGTACATTTCAAGTCCCAAAACCTAATGGGATGCTACTACAACTTTAGAAAGAATGAAGTAAAAATATGTCGCTTTATCCTCTTTACAATTTCCCAAACCAAAATGAAACTCTCCATAATATATGAGAGAGTACATTTCAAGTCCCAAAACCTAATGGGATGCTACTACAACTTTAGAAAGAATGAAGTAAAAATATGTCGTGAACTTCTATACTAATGAATCTTCAAGTTTGCTTTACCCTCTTTACAATTTCCCAAACCAAAAGGAAACTCTCCATTTATTATGAGAGAGTACAAATAAAAAGTCACCTCATTTTAATTCGTTTAATTGATTTCAAGTCCCAAAACCTAATGGGATGCTACTACAACTTTAGAAAGAATGAAGTAAAAATATGTCATGAACTTCTAAAATAATCATTTTTTTATTTAATTATTTTCGGCCCCCAATCTTTAAATCCTATACTAACGAGAGGAATTTTACAATGCTATTTAGTATTGGTGCTATAGGTTTTTGCCTTTATGGTACAACTTGAAATTGTACATTTAACGTTATGGTACAACTTCAGATTGTACTTATACTTTTTGTACAAATTCTTTTATGGTACACCTTGAACTTGTACATTTATGTGATGGTACAACTTCAAGTTGTGAAGTTGTACCATAACATAATTGTACAAATTTTTTTATGGTGCAACCTGAACTTATACATTTAACGTTATGGTACAACTTCAAGTTGTACATTATAGCACCAATACTATATAGCATAGTAGAAGTGCTCTACTAACGAATCTTCAAGCTAACAAATTCTGGGCTGAATTTCCACAATCCAATTGACCGCAACGGCCCAATTCACGCCAACGGGCCAACAGTCCACCACAACTCGGAACTTCGAAATCCTTCCTCGAAACTCATTTACTCGCTCACTCTACTACGTTCCAGGCTATCGCTTCCTCCACCGCTTCCCCTGGCCGGCCGTGGAAAAGTAAACAACCACCATCATACCTTCCGTCTTCCACCGCCGTAGAGCACGTGTGTTCCTCTCTCAGCTGTAGCGGTGTCACACTGTTTCAGTGTTTCTTTTCTTGAGCTACCTAGTATCAGGTGATTCCCCTTCTATCGATTATTCACTTATCGTTTCATAACATTTCCATCTCGCCTTCCATTATATTCTGAATTGGTATTAAGCTGATAGCCGACATTCAATCGCTGAGGTTATTCCCCTTTTTATGAATCTAGTGCATTATGTATCGTTAGTTAGCACTGATTTATGGCTTTTTGATGAAGTTCTTTTGGTTAATTTTGCAGTTTCAGCTGCGCCAGGGATGTCTAGGTTTCGAGCACTCTGGCAAGCTTCTTTGAATGCCACCAAGAAAGGTATTTTCTTTTCTCTGGGTTTCTCTAGTGGTTGGTCTATTTTGATTGACTGTCATTTTGCTTGATCTTAAGACTTAGATATTGCTTGTTGGCTTTGCTAGATAAATTTTTGTGTGCAGCAGTAGTATATAGAATGTGTGCTTATCCTTTCTTTCGGCTGCTTCCTTGTGTATTCCTAGTGAAATTCATACTGTCTACCGAATGCATATTTAATGTCACACGTGAATTCATAGTATCTTAAACAATGGCAGTTGACCTGAAAGTTATCTACTTGAACTACAATCTACTTTGTCGTCAATAGCATAAGGTAGTCCCATTGTGCAGAAGTGATAAGGTAAGGTAATTGTTGAAGCGGATGGAAAGGAAACACTTATTAGGACGTTGTAGTACCGATTGCATCGTGCCTGTATTGCAGTAAATACTGTTACTAATGGATCAAGTAGAGATATTTCATCTTTAGATCAAGGAATCAAACACATCAAACAAGCCCATCCAGTGGAACGGTTTCATTGCATCACCTTTACTTTAGGATTTCTGTGATGAAACAAGACATTAGCATACAGGGTGGTTTTCTTATTTACTTGGGTATTTCCCCCCTACAGCTCTTACATGGAACATTGAAGACTTGATGCCTCCTTCCGAGAGACTTATTTTCAGCTTCAACTCGAAGGAAGAACTAAAGAAATGGCATCTATATTCAGATTCAGAGTATGGAGGTACAGTATCTTGCCAACTTCAATGCTTCATGTTGTGCCCTCCTCTCTCTTTAAGCAAGGGAATTTTTGTATGTTTGGTCTTGAAGCTGTCACGGCCCAGGCAAACTCTTCAAAGGGTTGAGAATTCATTGGAATTGTCAAATGTCAAGATTAGGGTATCAAATTACTCCTCTAAGAATTTCTAAACATTTTCAGGTCTCTCCTCAGCTTCGTTGGAGATTAGTGAAGTAGACAATGGGTTGAAAGGTACCGCTCTTTAATCCCATTTACTTGGTACAACTCTTTCTGATATATCATCTTGTCATGTACGTTTGTGCTTCTTATCTGTTAATCATACTCATCTGTTACCAATAGGTGTCTTCTCTGGGAATTTATCAGTAGATCTAGCTGAGGATTCTAAGTGGAACATAAGTAGGGGTGGATTTTGTGGAATGCGTTCCAAGAAGGTGAAAACATCTTTTGATTAATTGAACTTATGTAAATGAAATAACTAGAACCAAGTGCTGAACATGAATCATATCCTGTGAGATCATAGATGTGCGACTAATTGAAAAATATTTGGAATTCTTCCCGCAGTTTGATGGTTTCATTGATCTCGATTCATATGATACGATTGCACTCAAGCTTAGAGGTGATGGAAGAAGCTATATATCAACTGTGAGATTTGTTTCCCCTTCTCTCTTAGTCCGATACTAGAAAGAGCCAAATGTTTTCGATGCTGTAATGTTCAAATCTTCCCACTTGGTACTATAAACTTAAATAGAAACTTTAATACAGATTTATACAGAGAATTGGGTTAATTCACCTGGGCAGCTAGAAGATAATTCCTGGCAAGCTTTTGTTCATGTTCCAAAAGACAACTGGTACATTGCAAAGGCAAGTTGTTTCCTCATGCTCTCATCTCATATACTATTTGCATTGTTCTCAAACGCCACTTACAAAATACTCATCGAATTGCAATTTTGGCATTCAGATTCCACTTGCTCGATATCTACCGACTTGGAGAGGGAATGTAATCAACGCAGAGATGGAGATGAATCAAGCCCGTATTCTTGGCATGTCGCTCTCTGTCAATGCAGAAGGTGGTGTCCCTGGTGCCAGAACTGGCACCGGTGATTTCAGAGTTGAGCTCGACTGGATCAAAGCCATTCGAACAGGGGAATACATGTGATGTATCCGTCCCCACATAATGTAAACCGGTTTCCTCCTCAACAAATCCAGGTTTGAAGCACCTTGCAGTGAACTGCACCTGTTCAGTGGCATGCCATAATGTAACTCCCCAAGTTGCGGATTGCAAACCCTCAGCCCAGTTGTAGGAACTGAGTTGTCTAAACAGACTTGGAAGTGGGGTGAGAGAGACTTCAAACAGAGACTTACAGTAGTAGCCCATGAAGGTCATGCCTTCTGGTGGTGCTGCCATGCTTCCTAGTTTTGGAGACAAGCACGGTAAGGCATGTCCTGTTGTAGTTTTTGCTAAATGAGGTGTATTTAGGATGAATCGATATTTGCCGCCCGTAGTTTTACTATTTGCCGCCCGTAGTTACAAAAAATATGACGATTTTGTCCCTGCCTCATTTTAAAAACCCTAAACCTATCTACCCCAACCCAACCCATCACCTCCCACCCCTGCTGCTACCCGCAGCCCACCCCTCCCTCTGCCGACGTCGGCAACCGTCGCTGAGAAGCCGCCGTAGCCGTTCCAGAGGCCAAGCTCCCATCGTCGCCGCTCCCTTCCCAGACCCAAGCTTCCGTCGCCGCTGCTGTTCCAGTCGTCGCAGCCATGTCCAGGTAATTTTATTTTCTTCGTCCCTTAGTCGCTGTCCACCTCGCCCGAGCAGACGCCGTCCACCTCGCCTGAGCAGACGCGGTTCGCCTGGCCTGGTCGGACCCCGTTCGTTGGGCCTGGTCGGACCGCGTTCGTTGGGCCTAGTCGGACTGGTCCGTTGGGCTTGGTCAGACCCCATCCGCTAGGCCTGGTCGGACCGGTCTGATTGGATTTGACTGGTTCGGTTTAATTAAATATTTATTAGAGGTATTTTAAATTCAATTGTTAGTATCTTAATTAGTTTAATATTGATAGTAACTAATATTGATAGTTGAATAATTAGTATATTATTGTTCGTTGTATAATTAGTATATAATTGTCAGTTGAGTAATTAGTATATAATTGTTAGTTGGATAATAATTATATAATGTATTAGTTATATAATGTGTTAGTTTATTAATTGGGTAAGTTGAAATAATTATTTAAATAACTATTTATCGTATTTAGTAAAGTAACTATCTAGTTAAATTAATTAGATAACAAGTTGTATGTATCATAATTAGTCATTGATAAATTATGACTATGAACAAATTGCTCATCAATAATTTATTATAAGAGATTAATAGATAATTATTGACTATGCTAATAGTTAATTTATTATAATAATTATCTAAATAATTATTGAATTAAATAAATTGTAAATAATTGTTAGTTTTAAATAATTATCTATCATGTTTTAGTTAAGTAATTGAGTAAGTTGAAATAATTATTTAAATAACTACCTATCGTATTAAGTAAAATAACTATATAGTTAAATTAATTAGATAATAAATTGTATGTATTATAATTACTAATTAGTCTATGAAACAACAAATAATTTATTATAAGAGATTAATAGAAAATTATTAACTATGTTTAGAGATGGCGTCATCTGGTGGTTCTGGAGGAACACGAAAGATATTGAAAAGATTCATTGGGCGTAACATAAGTATGAGTACGAGAAATAAGGACCCAAATGATGGAGTTGAGACGGAGTCAGAGTCAGATTAAGAGCATGAGCCACAGCCACATCAGCTAGTGACACCGATGAGTTTGAGGGCAAACGCTTTTGCTCAGTTTGATTTTCAATTGCCTTGTATGGCTGGTAGTGGACCTGGTTCCAGTCACAATTTTGGGGCGAGGGATCATCATACTTCACCGTTTAAGCCTTCAGACGAGATTGATGACGAGTATGAGCAGTATGAGTTAGATGCTGTTAAGTATCGCATTCCATGAGTCAGTCCAATCAAAGATAGTGGTGACGCCAACTGATCGTCATATGTCGTTACTGGGGTTCATGCCGTTACTGGGATTTATCGAGACCATGCAGGGCGCTTCTACAGAGGTCCACAGCCTGGTGAGGGCCAGAGTGGTAATGCTGATGTGGGAGAGGCCTAAGAGCTTAGAGGACTGTGTGCTGGAGGGCCGAGCGACCCGAGTTTCTTCGTAGCTTTCTTAAGCATGTTGCCCACCGTCTTTACATCGAACATGATGATATAGCGGTAATCAGTTGCTACGACAGGAGTTCGACGCTTCGGCACGTTCTAGACGTTTATGAGATCGCAGACAACCTTCATTACATTTTATTTATAAGAGATATACGAGTACATCGGGCTCTCTCGATTACAAATTTATTTCTTTGGAACCCTCTTTGTTTTGCGCGATGAACCGCTTGAATGCCCACCTCCAAGATCGAACCACAGTTGACTAAACTGCGCGGAATATGTATCCCATCCAAGCACGCTATCTTGTCTACCGCCTGGCCACATGCCATATATAGGGGGCATCGATATCCTGTCCTCCCTGAAAGAGAGGTTGAGCCAATGATCCTGGACGAAATGCACAACAATGACTACTCTAGGATCGGTTGCCCCATATAGGTTGTCCACTGACATAATGTTACAGTTATACGTATTTGGTACTGGGTAGATGATATTGCTGTACATGACAACAACCAAATTAAAGAGTGTGGCAAATACGAATAGATCCACACCCATCATCCAATGACGATTTGTCGTTGGTGCTGTAGTAGCGATGTCAATGCGTTTGATTGCCGCACTCACATCCGACCTGTACATGTTAGCGTATCGTCAATCGTGCTCACAGAGTTTTTCAGCAATGAGTCGCCTCACCTCTGGGAACCCATCTTGATTATCATATAATTCAAAACTAAGTGCACGAAACCCACAATGACCGTCTGGCACCGGGTCGTGGATGGCAATGATAAGGTACCAAACGAAGACCAGAAGCAAATGCATGTACGCGTATTCAGAATAGATGCTGGATCCAGGGACATCTGTGAAGGAAATAGATAATAAGCACAAATTCTACATTAACTATTCATATAAATAACTACACTTATGAAATTCATATGTGTACCTATATAAGGACCGTTGTATTTGTTGTTTTCTTCGGGATCATCACATTCCTCAGATGCATGGTCGTCTGACAGGTACTTGTCTATCTGAGTCCCCGTGGACTTGGTTCTGGTCGACTTTGTAGACCATGACGTTGTGCTTCCCGACTTCTTTTTCATGTTTTTATTCTTATCACGCAGTATCTTTTCCCACCACCCTTTAGTTCTTCCAGTTGATTTTTTGTTTGGTCGTCTCTTTCTAAATTCGTTCACTTCTGGCTCGTGAATGTTGTTTCCGCTGGGTGGAGTCCACGAAATGCGTTCTTTGCGTACAGTCCACGAAGTGCATGTCATTTCTCTATGACACACGGCTTGAGGTGTGGATGTTAAGTTATGGATAACAGAGCGCGAGACATATAGATATACCCGGGTGATCTTCATATATATTGGCGGACACTGACATACGAGCATCCACCTAACGCCCAGGAGAATGTGCCCCACGAGGATGAGGCTAAATGTCACCTTTAAGAGTTAGTTGATGAGGCTGTACGTAGAGGCAACGAAAAAAGCAGCAAAAAACGTGTTTCGCGGACTCCACCCAGTGGAAGACAACATTCACGAGTCAGAAGTGAACGAATTTAGAAAGGGCGACCAAACAAAAAATCAACTGGAAGAACTAAAGGATGGTGGGAAAAGATATTTCGTGGTAAGAAGAAAAACATGAAAAAGAAGTCGGGAAGCACAACGTTGGAGTCTACAAAGTCGACCTGTACCAAGTCCACGAGACTCAGACATACGAGTTACCAGTCAGACGACCATGCATCTAAAGAGTGTGATGATCCCGAAGAAAACAACAAATACAACGGTCGTGATACATGTACACATAAGAATTTAATAAGTGTAGTTATTTATATGAATTGTTTATGTAGAATTTGTGCTGATTATCTATTCCCTTCACAGATATCCCTGGATCCAGCCCCCATTCTAAATACGCACATGCATCTGCTTTCTGTCTTCGTTCGAGACCTTATCACTGCCATCCACGACCCGTTGCCAGACGGTCATTGTGGGTTTCGTGCACTTAGTTTTGCATTATATGGTAATCAAAATGGGTTCTCGGAGTTGAGGCGACTCATTACTGAAGAATTCCGTGAGCACGATTGGCGATACGCTAACATGTACAGGTTGGATGTGAATGCGACAATCAAACGCATTGACATCGCTACTACAGCACCAATGACAAATATGTCATTGGATGATGGGTGTGGATCTATTCGTATTTGCCACACTTTTTAATTTGGCTGTTGTCATGTACAACAATATCATCTACCCAGTACCAAATACGTACAACTGTAGCATTCTGCCAGTGGGAAACCTATATGGGGCAACCAGTCCTAGAGGAGTCACTGTTGTGCATTTCGTCCAGGATCATTGGCTCAACCTCTCTTTCCCGGATGGGATACATATTTTGCGCTGTTTAGTCAACTGTGGTTTGATCTTTTTGGGGGTGGTCAGTCAAGCGGTCCATCGTGCAAAACAAAGAGAGAGCCTAATGTACTCGTCTATCTCTTATAAATAAAATGTAATGAAGGTTGTCTGCGATCTCATAACCGTCTAGAACGTGAATTGTCGAATTCCTGTCGTAGCAAGTGATCACCCCTCTATCAGCCTGTCCGGTGTAAAAGACGATGGGCAACATGCATAAGAAAGCTACGAAGCAAATTCGGGTCGGTCGGCCTCCAGCACACAGTCCTCTAAGCTCCCAGGCCTCTCCCACATCAGCATTACCACTCTGGCCCTCACTAGGCTATGGAGCTCTGTAGAAACGCCCCACATGGTCTCTATAAATCCCAGTAATGACATGAACCCCCAGTAACGACATGTGACGATACATTGGCGACACCTCTATCTCTGATCGGACTGACTCGTGGAATGCGATACTCAACAGCATCCGACTATACTGCACAAACTCGTCATCAATTACATCTGAAGGCTCAAACGGTGAAGTATGATGATCCCTCGCCCAAAGTTGTGACGGGAACCAGGTCCACTACCAGCCATACTAGGCAACTGAAAATCAAACTGAGGAAAATCGTATGCCCTCAAACTCATTGGCGTCACTAGCTGATGTGGTTATGGCTCATGCTCTTAATCTGACTCTGACTCCGTCTCATCTCCATCATTTGGGTCCTTATTTCTCGTACTCATACTAGTGTTACGCCCAATGAATCATTTCAATCTCTTTCGTGTTCCTCCAGAACCACCAGATGACACCATCTTTAAACATAATCAATAATTTTCTATTAATCTCTTATACTAAATTATTTGTTGAACAATTATTTGTTGTTTCATGGACTAATTATGATACATACAATTTGTTATCTAATTAATTTAACTAGATAGTTATTTTACTTAATACGATTGGTAGTTATTTCAATTTACTCAATTACTTAACTAAAACATGATAGATAAATATTTAAATCTAACAATTATTTATAATTTATTTAATTCAATAATTATTTAGATAATTGTTATAATAAATTATCTATTAGCATAGTCAATAATTATCTATTAATTTCTTATAATAAATTATTTGATGAGCAATTTGTTCATAGTCATAATTTATCAATGACTAATTATGATACATACAACTTTTTATCTAATTAATTTAACTAGATAGTTACTTTACTAAATACGATAGATAATTATTTAAATAATTATTTCAACTTATCCAATTAATAAACTAACACATTATATAATTATTATTCAACTAACAATTATATACTAATTATTCAACGGACTATTATATACTAATTATTCAACTATCAATATTAAACTAATTAAGATACTAACAATTGAATTTAAAATACCTCTAATAAATATTTAATTAAACAGAACAAATCAAACCCAATCAGAATGGTCCGACTTGGCCAGGCGAACCGCGTCCGCTTGGTCGAGGCAGATGGCGGCTAAGGGACGAAGGAAAAAAAATTACCTGGACACGACGGCGACAAGAGCTTGGGTCTGGGACGGGAGCGGTGGCTTTTGGGCGGCGGTGGCCGACGTTGGCAGAGGGAGAGGGTGGGCGGCGGGCAGCAACAAGGGTGGGAGGTGAAGGGTTGGGTTGGGGTAGATAGTTTTAGGGTTTTTAAAATGAGGCAAGGGTAAAATCGTCATATTTTTTGTAACTATGGGCGGCAAATAGCGATTCATCGTAAACAAACCATGGTTAATGGTAAATGAACCAAAATGAAGTCATGATGGTTGCTTAGGGCTTAACCCTACTTCTTTCTATGGTTAAGCCACTTCTTTTCCTAGTTCTACTAACTGATTGTTATAGTTTATTGCATTAATTACCAACTGATGTTCTGTAAAAATCAACACTGCCAAAATTTCCACCGTGAAACTATATCGTTAGGGGTTTATGTTGATACTTTATAGCTTTAGGGGTCGTTTGGTTTTGGTGATAGTTACAATGCATGTAATCTCCACAATGTATCGTTTTTTTGAATTTTTTGTGCAAACAATACATGCATTGTTTGCTTGATTAGACACAAACTATTAGTCAAAATGAGTGAGTTAAATCTCAAGTTTTCGTTGAGATTGTTCGATGGAGATTGTTGTGTTTTCTTCTTCTAAATATGTCCCTAACTTTTTATGTGTGTTATTTTTTTATATTAAAAACAAAGGGTAAAAGTGTCATTTCACCCAAAAAGTAATATACTTTATTTAAATACTAGGGCAAATACAATATATTATCCACAACTATTAACAAACGGGAAATTATATCCATAACTATCGAAATACAAAATAATAGCCAACTGTTAAGTCTCCGTTAACACTTCCGTTAGATGATGGTGAATTTGCAGATGCTATGATGACGTGGCAGTCAACACAAATGCCACATAAGCAGGTCAACCTTGTAACTTATTAATTAATATATTATTAGGGGAAAAAATAAAAAAAAATCCCCCGATTATCCCCCGATTCCAATCATCATCGTCAATTTGCCCCGCAGGTCGTCGCCGTTCAAGCTCTAGAAACTCTTGCACACGATTCGGAAGCTGAACGGGGGCGAGCGTCTCTCCACCCTTTTCCGGGTAGCCAGGTCGGGGGAACGCGAACGGCCGCAGGCTCGCCGACGGGTCGGGTTTCGACGAAGAGGAGTAGTAGTTCTGCGGGCTGCTCTGTGCTGTGCCGAACGAATAGTCCTCGAAATGACCTCTGCAAGATCTGGTGCTCATCTTCGTCAGCGCCGATGGAGTCGACGAAACTTGGAAATTGGATTGTGCGATGGAGGCGGAGTAGCTGTTTCGGCTCTTCGTGCTTCCCTTCGAAGCTCCCAGATCCGTCCAGAATCTTCGATCTTCTGCCTACTGGCGGACGAACTCATGCGAGACAAGCACTTCGATCCGTCCAAAATCGAATCTGATCTGATGAAGCTGTTCGAATTGGAGGCCTACAAGGCGTGGGCTGCGCTGGAATCGGCGATGGAGGCGGCGATCACGGAGTTACGTAGGTTCGAGGAGGAGATGGATGGGATGGCGAAGGCGGAACTGGAAAGTGATGGAGTGGCGAAGGAGATGGATGGGATGGCGAAGGAGAAGGCGGCGTCGGTGGCTTCGAAGAGGTTCGTTCCAGGGCGGCGGATTGGAAAATAATAGGGGGGGAAATTCTTTCCAGCGGAGGGGATTGGGAAAAAATAGGTTCTCATTTTTTTTTTATATTTTTAATAATAATGATTTTTTTAATATATTATTGTTTTAATATTCTGACGTGGAATGGTGATGTGGCAGTCTCCGTTATAAAATTTAACGGAGATACAGACAGTTAGCCATTTCATGATTCGCAATAATAGTTGTGGCTATTATTTTGTATTTCGATAGTTATGGATATAATTTCCCGTTTGTTAATAGTTGTGGATAATATATTGTATTTGCCCTACAATAACTATCACAGAAACCAAATGATGTAAATTACAATACACTAATTTTCTTATATACATTATATATTATTATGCATGCATTGATGACAATACATCGATTTAATTATCACCAACATATTAACTATACAGATGATATTTGTTTGGAGAATGTAATATTCAGTGACGAAGGTGAAGGTGAAGGTGAAGGTGGTAGCCTGGTAGGTCCTATCGGGAAGAGTGGCGCCCCGCCGTGGCCATCAAAACCCAAAAGGCCTCATCTGTAAATCCTATGAAGAAGACAAAATAGAAGCAACCGGTAGCTTGAAAAGATCTTTATGGGTAGATGGACTTGGAGAGGACAAACAATGAATAACGATGCTATCATTACAGAATTCTTTAGGTTTTTATGGGTATAAAACTTCTCAAGTGGCACTTTATAAAACTTCTCAAGTGGTTTTTATTCTATTTCATTCAAAATGATTAAGAAAAGAAAATGAAAATAGGTGTAAATTAAAAAAATTAATTAAAATTTGTTGAGTTGTCAGTGACATGGCACGTTGATCGTTAGTCAACGCGTTTGACCATTCAAGTTAACGGTCAAAAGTCTGATCTGGCCAAATTGTTTATTTTGATGTATAGTTCGGGGCAGGATGTTATAGATCAAAAAGATTGGTCATAATGTTTATTTTGGTCAAAGTTCAGGCCATACAAAAATATTAACCCAAAAATAAACTATATTACTTTATATTTTGTTGCAATGGAACACTCTCTTATTCGTACAGTATATATCTATAAAATAAAACAATATTATTAGCAAAATGTCAGAGTATAATCTTGATCGAGTAGTTGTAGTTATTTATTAAAAAAAATTATTCATTTAGATCATGTTCTACCTTAAATTCTTCAAATGAAGAGGAATCACATGTGCAATAATTTGATAATGTGACCTAAGTTCAGATTAATAATATTTGCTCTATATCATGTTGATTGAGCAAGCTCAATTGAGGTTATAAGTCGTATGCTAAGAAATTTTCTTTCAGATTTGGAGTTATCTTCGACGATTATAAATCAAAATTTTCAAAATGACTTAAGTATGATTGTTGACGAACTTTGACTTCATACCCTAGGATGAGACACAAGATTCCTTGAAAAATAATAGATGTGAAGGTTAGAAAAATCTTTGTTGAGAATCTACGATAAACATCACGTTTCATCAACTACTAACCTAGGCATTTACCAAATAAAGGTTGGCAATTTTTAGTAAAATCGTCATTTGGGATAAACATATTTATCCAACAATCAAGTATCTTTATCCAATAATCTCAACTCTCAAAATTGGTTGTCAATTCGTCTAGACTCGAGAAACATGAATTAATATATGTTGTATAACATAATAAGTTAATGCAAATAATCAAATGAAATACACTAATATTGTTCAAATGATAAGATATTTTAAATGCACTTAAAATATATGTGTATTGGAAACACTCTTTATCAATTATTAATATATAAGTGATAAAATCTTTTAAAATTACACATTCAACGACCATGTTAAGACCAAAATTCTCGATAGTGTGTGTGAGTGCCTTAGATTGAGATTCTAAGCCAACATATAAACAATGACTACCGGTTGAGGTTTAGTATAAACTTCAAGAATTAACAATTGATACATATTGTATAATATACTAAATTTAAGTGTCTGGATAAAAAAAAACAAACATCCAAAATGGAAATGAGTTGATATTAGAGAATTTAGTCATCATGAGGGCTATGGTGTGTGTCAAGTTTCAATATGGATGAATAAATCCAATAATGAAGTATCTTTACTAAGAATTTCTCACTAAAAAGTCGTAATCTTTACAACATTGGTCGAGAGTTCGTCCAAACTCGAGGATCATGAATGTGTATTGGATTTACAAAGGACTTAGAATCCCAATCCCTTTCGAGTGCTAAATACTTCTGATCACAACCATAGGTGCTAAAGTAGAATGAAAAAAAAGCAAAATAGAACATAACCTTCTATACGATGAACATAATAAAATCATATCGAGCTATGATCCTGTCATACCTACCTTTTTATTCTCCATAAAGGGGACGGCGGGAGATGATAAGAAATAAATAGTAGGATCTTAGTATTTGCCTCTTTATATCTTACATATCGAACGATAGACAACCCCAATGGTTTTCTGGCGTTATGGGGGTAAAAGCGAGATCTCTAGATAATTTTGAGTATAATATATATATACACACACACATATATACATGTATATGTAATATCAAGGTATTCTATACTTTTTATTTAACTCAAGATACGATAGAAGATAGGTATTACGAAGTATGTGCATAAATTAGAGGTTACAGAATTAGGAACTGGAGTTCACCCATTAGAGATTAGGGTTTAGTATCATGCTCCAAAAAACTTCGGTTAATTCGGGTCTAAATAGTAAAACTCAATGGTCGTATGGTAGTATGAACGCAAGAGTATAGCGTACTTCTGGCGCACGCTAGCTTGAACTATATATATGTGTGGTTCAGGTTGGCGTACGCTAAATATTAGTGTTTTGGTTGACAAATTTTGACTTAGTTTTAAGGCAAAATTCATCTGTATAGCCAAAACTTTGGTGTTTGTGACAATAATAGCCACTTTTGGCGAAAAACCAAAAATAGCCAAAAATTTGAAAGTTTGATGACAAATATAGCCATTTCCGTTACATACTTTAACGGTGTTAGAAGTTCCGTTAATTAGGTTAATGTTATGCTGATTAGGATGCCACGTTGACGTACACATCAACAATAACTATGATGAACTTGCCATGTAGATGCCACATCGGCCACCTTAGACTTAAAAAAAATCCAAAAAAATTAAATGCTCCTCCTTCTCCTGGAGTTCTCCTACTCCAATCACCCATATCAAACCTCATTATCGTCCTTCTCCGACCATTCCATCCAACCACCACCGTCACGAACCCTTCCTTGTCCACCACCACATGATACTCCGACTAGGCAAAAGCTCCCAACAGGCCGTCGCGTATATCATCATCCCGTCATAGCTTCCGCTAAAAACAAATCCACAACTGACGGCGCCTCCGTCCCCTCCTCCGCCGTAATCCATATGTCCCTTCCAAATTCAAAATCCAAATGCAATTAACTGGCGACGATCACCATTAGATCCTCCCACAGTCACAAACTGACTTAGATGATAGAAAATAGAAGCAAAAACGAGACCCAACTAAGCGCTGCCGTCGTTTCATATCCATACCCCAATTTGGAATTCGTCAACGCCGCCGACTCCCATCGCTGCTCCATATCAATATCTTCGCTTTGACCGAGGAACTGCTGCCTTTCCCCATCGTTCGATCGTCACCTCCCCTGCACCCTGATGCAAAGATGGTCAGAGCGAGAGAGGACCAACAACTGCATCGAATCGATTCAATAGGGGAGATTCTAGGGTTGGAATTGAGTTTTTGATTTGGCGTTTTTGGTAGAGGGTTTATTCACTGGCGGCTCGTCCCTACCTCAAAACTCTAGCTCCGATGAGGACCTTCAGCAGCTGGTGATGGAAGAGAGGAATCTCGGTCGCCGATGAGGAAGCTGAAGCATCCCTCCCACCTTCGCCACCATGACTACATCGACAGCGACATCGACAACGGGCATGTGTCGCCGAAAAGCAATGGCGGCGTGCTGAAGAAGGCTAATTAAGTCATGTCTTAATTATCCCTCTGTTTCGAACTCACCACCGTCGTCGAGGAACCGCCTCTTACCCCTTCGTTTTTTTTGTTTCGATTTCCGAGTTGGACTTGTGCCGAAATTGAGTTCTTCATATCTCACCCGCTGTTAATAGGATTTCTCTGAGCTCAGATCCATCACCGCCTGATAAATAGTGGGAACCCTAGCGAGGAAAGATGTAGGGTGGAGGGGTTAGTTGCGGGGAGGGAGATTTTCAGAGATGAGATCAGCGGCGGATGGACTGAAGGGGGAAAGAACAGAGAGGGCAGAGGGTAAATAAAAAAAAAATTAATAATTTATTTTTATTTTTTGAATTAATTCCACCTCATATATTGGTATTGACCAAAAAGTTGACAAGTCAGATTTTTCGTTAGTCTAGTCAGCATGTTAATTGACGCTGTTAAAAAATTGGATGGAATTGGCTATTTTTGGTATTTCGCCAAAAGTGGCTATATCTGACTAAACCGTCAAAGTTTTGGCTACACAGTTGTATTTTGCCTAGTTTTAAATGGGACGTGATAGCGGCATAATTTATGATTAGAAAACCGCACCATCACAAGTGAGTGTGCTAAATATTGGAAATTTCAATATAACACATACTACAAACTCTGTTACAATATATTTAGAAGATCCAAAATGATTTAAACATATAAATTATAAAATAAATCTCTCCGGCGAACGGGCCGGATAAAAAGCTAGTACAAGATAAACCAACTACCATTGTGCTCTCTAATGCTTAAGGTTGGTTAGAAAAAGAAGCATGTTGAAGAAGATGAAGGGCATTTGAATCTTTCAGCTTCTTCCTCCCAAAATTGGAAATTTTGGTAAAAATTTGACCTCTGCATGATCTAAAAACTTTACTTTGTCTTATCATAAAAAATCTTTCTCGAGCTCTCCATTTTCTTCCCAAACAAAGCATTCACTTCTCATTCTTTCATTTTTAATTGGGAGGCCATCGAAAGGGACCAATCATACCTAAACACAGAACCTTCTGGACACATCTTTTGTATTCACTCATTCTCACCAAAATATCTAAGAGGCATCTCTCAATCTCCACCGTCCATTTTCCCTCCCAACTTCAACCATTCTCTCCTTTGCCACAAAAACCACCCTTATTTTGGTTGTGTGCTCCACATATTTCTAGATTTTTTCCCCTTTGTTGTGTATCAGCACTAATATACTAAACAAACAAGACTTATGTAAGATTTATTGGATGTATGCATCACAGTAATCTGTCTGTATTTTGTTCTCTATTTTCTATTACAAATTTCATCTTCGACAATTTTCGCTACACTTAATTTAGAAGTTTCAAGATAGGCTAGAGTATATAGTATAGAGTATTATTATAATTATACACGTTCATTTAAAAATAGATCACATGTTACATTTAGCATAATAAGTGTGTTGAATTTAATAGATACAAATTTGCATAGGCACTTGCGTTTTCTATTACAAAATTGAGATTGCGAGTCTATAGTGAAATCAGAGTTGGTGGACCCATTGTTGAGGTTCAATTAGTAATTGATCTTTCTCGTGGTGGGAAATATTTAAACAAAAGATCATTGCAATGAGGTGCAGAATAACTAATTGAATATTAGAGGAGTGATTATTATATAGCAATGCCACTTGCAACTAGATACAATACCATTATCGGTAAACAAACACAAATCCAAATCCAAATCAAAACCACAAGGCATAGATAAAGAAAGAAAGAAACTTTATTATGTATAAATGGCCGGTTTCTGGAGAATTCTATTTGGCAGCCACCAGCAACAGCCAGCGCCAGCCGATCTTTTTCCCTTTCACAATTTCCTCTCCCACCTCCAATTCCTCCGGTCGAAGGACAGTAGGACACAGGAGAAAAGGTGGAAAAGCTAGTGGATTTTAGCTCTCTCTCTCTCTCTCTCTCTCTCTCTCTCTCTCTTTCTTGGTCTCGTCCCTTTCTTCTCCCTTCTTTACGCTTCCCTTCTTCACTTCCACGGAAGCCCCAAAAATGCTAACAAGCCAGCTTCCCACTCCATTTCTAAAACAGGGTTTTGGGTTTGCTCTGTTTTGTTGAGCGTTCTATTGGGTTCTTGTTTGTTGTAATTTGTCGACAAGAAAAAAGGGGTGAAGGTTTGGACTTCGTTGAGAACGGAAACACCAATGGCAAATCTTGGAGAGAATGGCAGCATAAGTAGTGGCAGGGATTTGTATGGAGTTTTGGGTTTGCGCAAGGAATGCTCTACCTCTGACCTCAGGAATGCTTACAAGAGACTTGCTCTGGTTAGTTTTTTACCCTCCTCTTTCTGATCATGTTGTTGCATGCACGTATAATTTGCCCCATATGACTTAAATTTCAGCTTGATTATGAAAAGGGTTGATCAAAGATAGAAACTTTCTGCTGAAAAGTGCCAATCCGGGTGGTGGGTCAACATTGTCTAACGTTTTCGGCCTTCTGTTAATTTGTGGGGGAAACTATTTTAGAGATGGCATCCAGATCGTTGTTCAGCTTCAGGAAACTCGAAGCATGTTGAAGAAGCTAACAGCAAGTTCCAGGCAATTCAGCAGGCATATTCTGGTACTTCCCCTCTTCTTCCTTAAAACCGTCTTAATCAGTAGAAAAATTGTGCTGTATGAAAACCAAAATTGTGTTCTCAATACGGCACGCCAAGTTGGCAAGTTGAATTATATTAAAAAAGTTGGAGAATTGGCAATAGAAAGTTTGGGGGACTTCTGGTGGGTTCTTCTTTGTCTGGTTCTGTCTTGTTTTCTCTATCCCCATTTCCCAATGCTTCTATTTTGTGTTTGTTTGTCACTTCTTTTGTTTACAAAACAGTTCTGTCTGATGCCAACAAGAGGTTCCTTTACGACGTCGGAGCCTACCATAGTGATGATGATGATGACGAAGATGTAATAATCCCTTTGAGCTCTCATGCTTTGATTCTTGTGTGCTCCTTGTAAACATAAAGGAAGCCTTTTAATTTGCTTGATAATTAAAAAAGATCGATATCAAGCCACTAATTATGGTGTTATATGCAGGGAATGGGTGATTTCCTGAATGAAATGGCTGACATGATGAGCCAAACTGAACCTACTGTGGTAAACCTCCTCAATCTCAAATCTTTGATTGACAAAACCCCATTTGAGCAGAAAGTTCAGGACCTTTGCTTCTACCATAGCACTAGAATATTGACGGGGTTTCTTGGAAATGTCTGGATAATGGCAGGATACTGGGGAGGAGAGTTTTGAGCAGCTGCAAGATTTATTCAATGAAATGTTCAATGTTGATATTGAGTCATCATTTGGAGCTTCTTCCTCCCTCGATGCTTCCTCGTCTTTATCGTCATCATCAACTTCCTCTGCAGCTTCCTACACGTCCTACTTCCAGAGATCTAACTCCACTCATGGAAGCAGCAGCCCTGAGCTCAAAGTGGGGAACAATGGCATGAAGGATTCACTCAACCAAGCTTCTCACTTTCAGAACTTCTCTCTAGGGGTAAGCTACCACTCTTGTCTTCAGTGTCATGAATTCAACCCCGCTCTATAGAATTGTTGATGAGTGACTGCACGATTTGGTTTGGTGCTCTGGAGTTGGAATTCCTGGTAGCTTAAGTGAGACATGTTTGAAGTGTTGAAGAATGTGACAGAGTGTTGAGTCACTAATTTAGATGTGTGTTGCAGAACAAATGGTCACCTCACTGTTCACGTTGTATCCAAATATAGTTCACGCATTGTCCTTCATGAATTAGGGTCATTGCCCTCCATGAGTCCCAAGCATCAAGGTATTTGTATCTATGAGCTTGTGCGAGGAAGAGGCCCATAAAACATGTTCAAGTGTGGTCCTCAGTTTGGAGCTTCCCACTGCTTCCGATTTACATAATACGAAAAACTCAAGTATGATTGGGCATCTTAACTTAATCCATTAACACATATGCGCCATTGTGTTTCCTGTTAATGAAGACAGGTGGAAAACCGGAAGGATTGCAAGAAGGGGGTGGCAGCAAGAGGAGGAAAAATTCTAGGAGGGCTCGACGGTAGAAGGAGCAAGCAAGGTAGGAAACAGAATGTGTCATCGTTTGGCCATATGTCCAGTGACGACTTCATGTCCATGCTTGGTCAAGGATGGTGAGATGCAGCAATTGATCGATTCAGCCTGGCTAGTATGTCTGCTCCAAGTAATGGAGCTGGAAGGCCTAACCTAATATGGACACAAGAAGGCGATGCAGAAGCAAAGCAGCAACCAGAAAGGAAGGGAAGTGTTTATCTTGTAACAAAAAAGATAAAGAGTGTTGCCTGTCTGGCAAATGCTGCTGCAGATCTTGTGTGCCTCTCCACCTTGTCTAAGTTGTAAAAGTGGCTCTTGAAGCCTGCTGATCATTATTGTGTTTCTTTTAGTGTCAAATGAGATATAAAGGAATGATTCAAGAAACAGCGTTTCTGCCAATGCTTATTTGAGCATCTTTTTGCGTTCAGATTGAGGTAGGAATGGATGAACTCAAGTCTAACATAGGGTGGATTAGAAATCGGCGAACATGTGATTTCGAATTTGAGACACTCTGGGATGAAATTGATGCTCAAATTGCCTTGCTGCGACAAAAAACATGCATCCGAACATGAAATTTTGAATCTGTGACTCTCTTTGATAAAATCGACCTTCAATCACCTTGTGGTGACAAAGACAATGCGTAATTCATGGTTGTCTAGCCAAAATTGTTGGAGGGGATTGGCTCCATCTTCCACTGTTTAGGTTTAGGAGTATGATATAATTGATTAGCGCATTACTGTGCAATTTGCCAAGTTGATTGACTAGTCATATAACTATTCAGCTGAAGGTGGCTTAATAATACTTTAGTTCTCATAAGTTGGAGTCTTGGAGATTACCCAACCAAAAGGGGAAACCCCACTCTTTCATTCAACTTGGCTCAAAAAGGCAACACACAAAGCTCTACCAGTTCTGGGAAACATGTGGGAGCCCAGTGCACGTGGGAAATGGACCCTATTCCCCTACCAAAAGCCAGACTTTAATAAGAAAAGAAAAAAGGGCCAAGGAGATATTTTGAAACTCATTGACAAGAACTAGATCATGGTGTTATTGTGCCCTAATCTTTAATTTGATTTATAAGTTAAATCGAATTTAATTCGAGTCATTTGAATAAGTTGGTTTGACATGGTATAAAAGATGATTTGTTTATGAAATTGCATGTTTAAGTAATACTGTCAAAATATTAATTAAAAATATGCAATATAATGAGTCTGTGCAAATTTCAAGTCAATCAGTTGCACTAATTGCTTCCTCAGAAATCCTAATAAAGATGTGAGACATAGAATTGTTATCGCTATTTACATGTCACCTGCAAACCATTCTCCTAAGCAAATCCTATGAAGAATGGCTTGGTGGAATGGATACTTAATACAATAACTAAAAAATTCATGTTGTCACTAACACCATCTCTAATAGGAGGCGGGAAAGGAGAAAATTTGAGAGTACATTTTCTTTGGTGTTTTGCCTCTAGAGCCCCAACAGGGAAAGGTAGATAATCTTATGATTATTTTTGTATAGTTAGTAATAATTAATTATGATAAATTTTTTATGTATGTTTTTATAAATTTAGACATCATGTTTTTACTAAATTTATTATTATTAACAATGAAAGCAGATCATCATACATCAAAGATAAATTCAAAGTACTCTTAGCAACATAATTAAAAAAAACATAATTGAAAGCAACATACTAAATAATACATCAAACTTCATTACAAATAAAAAAAATAATACATCAAACTTCAAGGATTTCAAATTGGGTGTGTAGATGTCTTTATATGGGTTATAGTAGGATCTCCCTGAGTTTGACTTGGATAAACTTGGTAGGCAACTACGATTTGATATTTTTCATTTAATACCATACTTTTATTCTCGCTGAATTGAGAAAGATTCTTACCCATGAATTCTTGGTCGTGTTTATTCGTTTCCCTTGTTTCCGCGACCCTCTCACGTTCTTCCCCAATGATTGTCAATCTTGCATGTGTTGGCGAAGAAGCTGCCATTTCGCTTGTACTCTTTGAGAAATCCGCCGTTGAAGAATCCACTTGTCCTCTATTCATCTTCTTTTGTTTTTTTTGTTGTTGCATATAAGTACTAAAATTATTGATGAAAATTTTTACATATTAGTACCTAAAAATTTTATGTCTTACATTTTGATATCTCAACTTTTTAAAATTTACAAATTGATCCAAAAATTGATGTTTCTATTCCACTTTAAGAAACTTATGATCAAAATGCTTTAAGAAACTTGTTGTATGCTTTATGAGATTTTTTTTTTCTGCTTCCTGAAACTTGTGGTATTCTTTATTAGGTTCTGGTATGCATAAGAGAACTTGTAGTCTCATTTATGAGGTTTTGGGTATGCTTCAGGAAACTCTTTATGAGGTTTCTGATCTTCTTCAGGAACTTATGATATGCTTTATAAGCTTTCTAGTATGCTTTAAGAAACTTGTGGTGTGCTGAGGATCTAGTCTGCTGTATAAGTTTTCTCGTCTACTTTATATTATTTGTGGTAAGGTTGGTTGTGTTTCTAGTAAGCGTTTTGTGGTTTGCTCCATGATACTATGGTGAGATCTAGACGCGAAATAAATGAGCAACACCACATGCGCATGCCCCCTCCTTAATTTTTAAAAATGATAAGTGTCCCTCTTTTTTAAAATCAACATTATTTATGGCCAACCCTTAGAATAAAAAAATTCTTTTACGCGAAATGTTCATATTAGCTGAAATTAGAGATACCACCATGCTAACAAATAAGGTTTTCACTCTAATCATTGTTCGAGTCTTTTGTTTTAGTGTTCGGCATACTTAAAGTGGAAGATAACAAAAATGAGAGTGTAGTCTAGGATTTACATAAAAGGAATAAGAATAATTAAAAAACGATAACCTCAATCCTCCTCCTAATCTTTATCAAATAACAAATTGATAATATCATTTACTACATGATATATTATTTAGTACAAAATATCAAACTCAAATACCACATCCAAACTAGCTATTGGGTCGTTTGAATGGAGTATTTGTATGAGTTATTTGGGTTCAAATAACTCACAATGAGTTATTTGAACGCAAACAACTAGTTTGGCAGCGTTTTACTGAAATGAGTTATTTGGACAATGAGTTATTTACAAATAACTCAAAACGAGTTATTTGAAATAACTTATACCCATGTGTTATTTCGAAATAACTCGTTTTATCACTCTGCTTTTACCAAATACCACATGTCAAATACCACATTTGCATGGTTCAAACAAACGAGATACTTTATTTCAATTACCACCAGCGGCGGATCCAGAACACAATAGCGCACTGAGCCGCATTTCATTAGAAATTAGATATCGTAAAAAGGATAATGATTTTATATTTTTTTACAATGTCAATTGTTCACGATGGTGTTTTAATTTAGCGAATGCATCAATAATGGAGTCTACATCCATACCAATAGTATGCTCTGTTTCAAATAAAATACTTGAGCAACCGGCGAGTAATTCATCGCTCATTTTTTTGCGCTAATCAGTTTTCACATGTTTCATTGTTGATAAGGTTCTCGCCGTAGTAGCTGTGGAAACGGACAGCGTCAACACTAAAATCAATCGACTAATCAATTTCTATTATGTGTCCATCCCTATATCCAACAGCTGCTCTAGTAAATTTTCAATGGAATAAATCTCATATTTCTTTTATTAGTCTTTTACGCTTTAGACTTTTAGAATTTTAGGTTCCGTTATTTTTGTTTAGACGAAAATCTTTAGGGCTAGAATTTATAAGCTAAATTTAGAGTAGTTATTTGAATATGTTCATACGAATTATTTTTCTAGTTATACACAATCTTATTATAATATAACATTGAACCGAATGTCTAAAATCGAAATATTCATAAGGACTATACTAACTTTGAATCCATAGGAGGGCTGGGTCGGGGCGTGGGTTGGCCACCCCCTGGATCAGCCAATGATTACCACTGAAATAACACTGAAATACCATATGAACAATAAATGAGTTATTTGACTCTACAAATACCACATTGACAATTAACTCATCCAAACGATCCAACTCTGTGCCGATCTATTGCAAAGTGGTTGGCCGGTTCCAATCCATGAAATGACTAACGTGGGGCAGGCAAGGTGATGATCATTCAATTCATTCATCCCACTTTTCAAATTGATGACGATGAGGGCTATCTTTCTATACCATGATCATCCCACTTCTAAAATAATGCAACCCACAACGAGAAAATATCCAACAACAAAGAGATCCGATGGAAGGTTGCTTGTGTTCAATCAATGGATATTGCAGCATGTTATTCTATATTAATGTATTCCGGGTTGCTATACCATAAAATACAACCTTTCCCTCCACAGAAGGAAGAGAGAACAAAGGAAATGGGGGACATAATTATACAAACTAGCTAGTAAAATCTAGTTTCTCTAACTTAGTTATAATTTGTTGGCACGTGATGTTGTGTTTCCATGTTTTGATAAAAGATATTATTATCCTGATCCTCGTGAATCACCACGAAGCAAAAACATATATATACAAATAGAAGAGCAATTAAGAACATTGGTTAACTATACAAATAATGCAACTTGAAGCTTTCTTTTAATAGTCTTCTACTTATAATCATCAAGTTGCTAAGCAAGTGGACGTTGCTAATACCAAATGATGATCAAGAGATAAAATAATAATTAGCTACCTATAGCTAAGCAACCTATCCTTAATTTTCTACCTCCCTATGTTCCCACTAGTACTGGGCATGCGGGCTGGTGACCCGCATTTATGACCCAATCCTCCCGTAAAATGATCGAATCTGCATAATACGGGTGGATTGGTAGGCAGGTGATAGATAGATTAAGTGGCAAACCACATGGGGTGAATGGTTAACGGGCGGGTGCGCTGGTCATCCGCAAACCCTATTCCCCCCATCGCAACGCAGCTAGCCAGATCACCTACATCCCCCGCGCGGGTCATCAAGGAATGTAAGGAATTGGCCACTAAGCGGTTCATCAAGTTATGCAGGTTACTGACCGCCGATTGTACAAAACTAAATTGAATTGAAAAATCTTTTTGGTCTTGCGTTGTGATTGGATAATGTTTATGTATTGAAACCAGACACGAAACACTATTGTTGGATCCTATCGCTCAATCTGTTTGGATATTTATGTGCAAATGGATAATTTCATCTATTCATCAGCAAACCTTGCCGTCTACTGTGCCTTTTGGGCTTAAATTGGGAATCACAAAAACAAGATACAATAACTTGGTATATATCATGTCGTCAATGTAGTCTAGCGAGTTTCTAAGTAGAAACGTTTTGGTGATTTATAAGCGTAAAATCATAAGTTTTTAAGTTTTAAAGCGGAGCTTTTAACTATGTAAGTTGTAAGAACTAAGAATTTGTGTAGAAGCATTTTAGTGACCTAGAAACGTAAAATCGTAAATTTTTAAGTTTTAAAGTGCGCTTTTGACTACATTAGTTGTGTAGTTTATGACAATAGGTTGATAAATGTATTGTCTTGTGGTGCTTGACTTTCACTTATATTACATGTATATGCAAAAGAGAGCATGCAATAGCTTTGTACATCATAAAAATTATTGTTTATTAAATGGTGATAACTCTGTATTTTTAAGTGTTGGTTTGTGAATGAACCCACACCATCCGTTCGATCCAACCCGAGACTAAATATGAGTGGGTGATCATAATTGATAAATTGTCAATCCATTAAAAAGTGACTGGATTAGTTTCATGGTCAAAATCCATCTGATCCGCCCGTTGCCCAGCCCTAATTCCCCCTCCCATAGCTTCTCAAACCCTTTTCACTCAACTTAATCACTCAACGTACAACATGATATCCATAGTAACACGTATAGATTAAAAACCTCCTAGTTTTTGTGAACCATATATATACATACAAAAAAAAAATCAATTTAATATTGGGAATGCCGAAATGGTGGGTATTGGTTTTACTTAGTTTTGATGTAGGGTTTAGAACTTTTGATGTGTTGCAGAGATAATGGTTGTCTATTACAAGCTGATCCATTCCCTTCTCCTTTTTGGGGATTTTAGCTTAGCTCGATGTGGGCCAGGCCCATAAAATGAACTTTGACTTTGAGCATCCATATAAAGCCAATGTGGCCCGTTTGTAGTCGCGGCCTTTGTTTTCCATCAGCATGGCCCTGAAAATTTGTACTGAGCAGACTAATGAAGCTAGCCATTTACCAAATTGGGCTCAGTCCAAACAATCATATTCCAATCCTGATCCATGCATGTAAAATCAGGGGAAAAAGTTTTTTGGTAGGAACGGAGCGCAAAGGGGCGCTCTAACCCTTAATTATTAAAAGATTGCGGGATTTGGACCCCAATAGCATCAAAATACAACCAATATATCAAGTCAATGCTTGAATTTTCAACATAATGCACACCAATAGACAAGGAGTGCCCCAATGAAGCTAGATGATCTGCCACAAAGTTTGCTTCTCGAAAAACGTGACCAAGCGAAACTCCCATTCCCGCTCCAGCATCAGGCGAATATAAGAAACTAGTGTATAATGGGGATGGGAGGTAGTAGCTGACTATATGAGCGATAAGGATGTAGAAGAGTCAGTCTGCAGAACTACCTTCTGATGTCCCCGATCCCTTGCAATTTGCAGTCCATGCGCGATCCACGCCAGTTCTGCATTAGTAATTTATCCACAACCTGAATTTATCGAGTAGGCCGCCACGAAACCCCATCGTTGTCTCTTAGAACCCCTCCTGCCGTTGAGCTTCCCTGCGCCAAGACAATTGTTCCATCGGAATTCACACATATCCAGCCTGGAGGAGGGCGCTGTCAACTAATAAGACTCGTAACATGACTTCCACCCTCCACCAGCAACCCCCTCCTCACAAATGCCTCCCTTCAAGTTGCCTCGCAATACGATGAAGTTGATCCGCCCACGCTAATGTTTTTTCGAACACCCACAAGTTACGATTCTTCCATAATTACCAACATAAGACTGCAAACACCGAAGGATCAATAACTTTGCCTTTACCCGATAAGTAATGTAGCACCCATTTCGTTAAGTCATCCTGAAAAAAGACTCATTCTGGTTTGCCCTCCAGCAGTTTTGACCACACTTCACGAGAGTAAGGACAGTCACGTCCGAGCCCCCTTGAGGGTGAGAATGCGTCGGTGAGGCCACCATTCCAATGGATCTTAATCTTGACGAATGAGATGCAACTCATAGTCAGTTCGATGAAGCTCGTCGGGGCACCCACAGCTTCTAAAGTGTTACAAACAAAGCTCCATTTGATCCTGTGATAAGCATTTGCCAAATCAATTTTGAGAACCCAACACCGCTGGTAAAAAGGGGATTCAGGCCATCCTTCCCTGGTGCCTTCAAAGCACCCATTGCTTTAATGGACTTGTGAAATTCTTATGGTGTAAACTCCTTCTTCACCGAAGCCCAAAGGTGGGTGGAACCTCTTGAAAAGCACGCATCAGAGTATAGATAGGGGCTCCATCGTTTGTGTAAAAGCCCGAGAAATAACCTCGAGCAAGATCAAGAAGAAGTTCATGTTCCTCAACCCACTCGCCCGCTTCGTCTTCAGTGCTGTTACACAATTTCTCCTCCTTCGATTTATATTTCGCGAATGGAAATACTTAGTATTCCTATCGCTCGAGGCCACCCACTCCAACCTAGACTTCTGGCACCACAGTAGCTCCTCTTGTAAGAGGACCTCCTCCAACTCCTGTTGTGCTGACCTCAAAGAGTCCGTCTCTGCATCACCACCATATTGAGCTTCTAGTTGCTCAATTCTGGCAAGGAGCGCGTTCTTTCTTCTAATAATATTACCAAAGGTCTCAGCGTTCCACTTTTTGGCTTCCGTAATGAACTCAGTAATAGACGATAAGAAGTCCACCCTTCCCGCCCACGCCTGACTAACCATTTCGTTGAAGCTCTCGTGAGTTAACCATGCCGCCAGAAATTTAAATGGCTTCAGACTAGACAGTAGGAAAGTCGGGTTCACAGCCACCCAAAGCGATCGCAGATCACTCTTGACACTTGGTAGATGCCGCACTGTTGCCTCTGGGAACCTGTCACTCCAATTTGCTTTAGCCAAAACTCTATCCAGCCTTACCTTCACATGCTTAAATCACGTGAAAGGCAGTCCAGCGAAGCAAAGATCCACAAGCCCAACATCTAAAACGCAATCTTGGAACTCCTTCGCGCGACTAGCGTCAAACGGTGCCCCACCGGACTTATCCGACAGTTGCATGATAGAGTTAACATCCCCTACAAGAATCCAAGAATCCTCTACAATCTCAGCAAACGCCCTAATCGACTGCCATAACTCCCGCCTCTGAACCAATATTGGGTTCGCATACACATCCGAAAGATACCAGCTACCATCACTCGTCGTAACCTGAGCCAGAAGAATTTGAGACGACCTGTCCACTTCCGTAATAGTGGTCCGGGTTGAGTCCCAGATCAACCATATACCTCCCGAGAAACCCACAACATCGAAAATCAGATATTTTTCAAAACCAAGTTTCTCGACTCTACAATGATCACAATACTTGGATGATATTTTCTATGATACTCCTTAAACACTCTTAGGAAGCGCTTGCTCCCTGCACCCCTACATTTCCGCATAAATATATTCATCATTAATAACGTATTGCTCTGGCTTGCACCCAGGAAAAACTCAGCTCGGAGGAGCCTCATTGACGAGGCTCTCCGTATCATTCTCCTTGTCCATCACTGTGGAAAACTCCCTTGGAAAATCCTTCTGTTGGCTTGCGGTGTTCTGAGGTCTTATAAAATGCCCATCCAAGGTTACTGTGTCGCAAGTAGGGCCCCCACTTGTTTGATGACCCTCCTGCTATGTCGGTCAGGGCATACCTACTTGCTTGTTGACGTTCATCGGGCCAGTAGAGCAGGCCGACGCCGCTGCCCGCGGATAGGCAGTTTTAGGAGGCTCGTTGAACATATAATTTTGCTTACTCCGCTCCGGCCTCTCATTCCGTTTCCCAGCCTTATGACCTATCAATTCCGATGGCATTCCAGCTTCGTTAGTGCCTCCGCTCGTCTTTTTCCGAGCTTTTCCCGACTTTTGGTTTACTACTCCAGTGGTATTGACCTGCTCCCGGATGATATTGGCCATAGTTGATTTATCCACTGTATTCACTTCTACATCCTCATCGCCTAGGGCATTGAACCTGTAACCGCCTAGCCCTTCGCGTGTTTTAGTCCCGCTACTCGCCTTTAGGGTTGTTAATGGACCAAGCCGCTCATGAATGGCTCGGTGTCCGACTCGAGAAAAACTCATTCGACACTCGATTCGTCTTAATCGAGCCGGTTCGCGAACAATCTCGTTAACTAAACGAGCCGAACTCGAGCCATACGATGTTCAGCTCGAAAGCTCGCGAACAAGCTCATTTAATGGTTTGGCATAAAAAAGGGATTAGAATTCATGGTTCGACTCATTAACAGCCCTACTCGCCTTGCCCTTACCAACTTCATCAGCTCGACCCGCATGATCCTTGCGCGTACGAGTTCTCTTTTTTGCTATCATCCACTCCTCGTAGGTAGTATCAGTCTCGTGGGGAGTTGGTTCGATATTTGGCACGGTAGATTCCGTATCCATTTCCACTGGCAGTATCGTGCAAGAACACCGACCCGGCGCAAGGTATGTCCCACACTTCAAACAAATATTTTATAATCCTTCGTACTGAATAAAATACTTCTTCCCATGCGAAGAAAATTTTGAGAGTAGCGGCTGGGTGAGGTCGACCTGGACGCACACTCATGCATCTTTGTTAGATTGGGTGGGATGAATCCGTCGACGGGCTTCATTGGCCTATCATCATCATCTTTGTAGACACGGGTCTATCCGCTGCCCCTCCCTCAGCCAGCAGCGCAGTCACCGGCAGCATGGGTGGTAAACCCTAGATCGCTCGCCTCTAACTTTTTTCGTCGCTCTCCTATTTTTGCGGAGCACTTAAAAAAAACTTAAGAATGATAAATTCAATTTGTGAGAGTTGAACCAAAAACATATAACCTCTGATAACGCAACTTAGTCTTGAAATTGGATTATCACTCATGAATACATGTACATGAAAAATAGGGGGAACGAATGCCTAATTAGGTTGGGCAATTAGCAGAGACAAGGATATGATAAGAGGTTAAGAGCCAATCAATGCCAACTTGATGGTTAATTAGGATAAAATTAGCTGACCGTTGGCATGTATCTATAAAATCCCCTCCTGGTTTCTGCAACCAAGGAAGAAAAACAAAGGAAAAGGAAAGGAACGAACGAAAAGAAGAAAGAGAGAGAGAGCGAGAGATCAAAGGGAAAGTAGTCTCGAGGAAAAAGAAAGAGAAGAAGGAATCACCTCCCCGCCTCCCCTCCCTCCCTCTTTCTAATTCTCCCGAAGGCTCATCCCCATATCCCTCCTCCTTCCTTCCCCGCCAACATAACCGTGTCTCTCTCCATTTTTTAACTTATATCTTTCTCCTTTTCGACGAAGATCTGATCGGAAAAATCTAATATATTATATATTTTCTCCCACCCTTTTACGGAATGGGTTTTCTTCATAAGTTGTGGGACGAGACGCTGGCCGGCCCGACTCCCGAGGCCGGCTTGGGAAAGCTCCGGAAGTACGACTCCTTCTCCTCCTCTTCTTCTTCTCACATTGCTCCGCCGCTGCCAGGTATTCGTATCGGCCGTGCGCCTCCATTGGTGGTTACACGAAGCATTACCATGGCCAGGGGCAACCGGTTTGCTTACAATAATAGTTCAGGTGTTGAAGATTCTCCTCTTGCTTCTCCAAATACCAATGAATCCCCTTTGTCGTCATCCACCCCTAGCTCGCCTTCCACTCGTACGTATAGTTCTCTCTCCCTTCCGTAATCTAGCTATGTTTTTTTATAGGTCCATCACACTTTTTCTAATGGACAATCAATAATATAAAACAACACATAATCTTAAGGAACAATATACCCTGAATAATTACCCCAGATATAAACCGCGATGATAATTATTCACGTTATATTGGTGGTTGTTCATGTAAGGTACCGGTGGTTATTCAGAACAATAATAATTGTAATATTTATTCACTCATGATATTTCATTTGTTTAAATAATCATAACTCTTACGTGAATAAACATCGAATTACGTGTAATCACCAAATGACGTGAATGAACGCAGACATGCGTGAATTAGGTGTTGTGACTCTTTATGTACCACCAAAAATCTTTTCATAATCGTAATACATGCATTTATAAATACACCATTTCTAGAATCCAACATTTCAAACCAAAACCTTAGTTGTTCATCACCCTTCCGTAACAATGCACACAACCTTCCAATACTAGATCATTGTAATCTCCCAAAAAAATATTCATCCAATATTTGAGATAATTGTTTTCCCAATGAATAGTTTTGAATTGTGAAGTATAATTAATCCATTAACAAAAATCTCTTTCTTAATTATGATTATTTCTTAAGAATTTTTTTAAATCACTAAATAACCATAAGTTCCATATGCGCAGCTGAATCACCAGGAGGTGGTGGAGGAGGAAGGTACAATCATCATTTCCATTCCAAGCGAATGGCAAGGCGAAAACCCTCTTCACCTTCATCTTTCTTCGGAGAGCCTCGTTGATTCTTCACGTATGTATATATATACATAAAGCCACCACCTCTCTGAAAATATTATTTTTGTTATATTTTTTATTCTTAATTGACTTTGTGGCTTTGGTGCTGCTGGGATATATTGTGCAGGGCTCTAAATATGTATGAACAAAGTGCATTTGGATCGTAGAGAAAGATCAAAATCCAAAGTATATAGTAAAGGCTCTTCTTCACTACACCATCGATCTCCATGTGAGATCACAGAACTAAGCTTATGTATATACTTCAAATGACAAAGTTGTGTATATATATAGTGTATTATACCTTCTACTATAAAAATGTGCAAATTCAAGCAGCTCTCCCATTCTATAGATGCGCATGTACTTTGTTATAAACACAGAATGGTGTATGTCTGTCGTACGTATACTTTTTTATTATAAACCCAGGGACATGTATACATGATTGTATTATATATAGTCATGCATGTAATGAATATCTTGTTATCATCATATGCTTAAAAACAAGTGTATGTTTATGCTTATGTTTCTACCTTCTCACATTCACCAGTATTATACTAACAAATTAAGTCAACCCTGGTGGATTTGAACCTCTGGAGGATCTAAATGATGATATGGAATGCAGTGGGATACCCGAATATACGTGCAATATATTATCTTCCTTTTTTTAATGTTGGTTGGTCATTTCATTAATCGAAATACGGTGCAAGGAGTTACAAATAACATTGGAAGAAAGGAAAAGAGCTAAATGAACAAGAGTAAACCAAAAAGTGGACAACCACATGCCCAAAACCTGAAATCCCAAACCCAGTCCAAACACACGGACAACCCACCCTTGGAACCCTGGTCCATCGGCCTAATCGCTAAGGAGATGGCTGCCAAAAGCATCCTCCACCACCAGGCAGCGCCGCCTCCAACCAACTTGACGGCACAAGGTCTTACATCGGGAATGATGGAGGATGTAGTGAAACATCTACCAACACCGGCGACACAACCTAAAGTCCGACGCACCAGCAAGCATCAGAAGGCAACAAACTCGACGGGGAGAACCAAACCTAGGAGGGGCTCCAAAATCCACCTGCACAAAAAAACAAGGAAACATGGGAGCAACCCGAGTGACGCACAGAAGAATGTTGATCGATCCATCACCGATCTGAGCAAAGCGGCTGAACTCCAGCTTCAAAGATGACATCCTTGCTCATAAGCTCCCTCAAATCTCAACCGAGACAAACAAAGGTCCATGCATCTCCGAATCATCCTCATTTATGGATGAAGCATGTGGAGGTAGATGTCGGACCAAAGAGGAGAAAGCGAATCGACCTCAAGATTTACCCCCCTCAAATACCTACCAGGGCCATCCACATAGATCTTATAAAACTAGCTTGGTGGGAGCAAAAGCATCTCCGACGGGAGACAATAACAACATCACCGCAAAGGTGGAAGAGGAACCACAAGGAAGAAAAGAAATAGCATGAAAAGCCAAACAAGATGAAAGGAAATAGCAGAAAAATAGAAACAGAGGAACCACGGAGGATAAGGGAAAACAAGATTGAACACATATGTATATCACACTTCAGGTGTATCCTAGCCTTTAAGTTTTGGCTAGAAGCAAATAAAGCTGTCATTGTTGTGTGTAAATTTGGGTGGATTCATAGGTTTAACTACATCTGCGTTCTCCACTAGGAGTGAGCACGTGTAATACCAACAACATAATGGGTGGGTCAATTACGGGTAAATTTGATCGTAAGTTTAACTGCCAAGAGCTCACTCCTAGAGGAGACCATCACCATAAATTTGGATGGTTTACATGTCTTATCAACTAGGCAGGTAGCAACAAGCTCATGCTTCATGAATTGCAAACCAATGACAATAATAAACTCTCAAATCCTACTAAATAAGGGGTGCTACATAACGATCCTAGACTCTAATATGCAACTCAATGAGCTAGCTAGCCTACTTTTAATACGAAAATGAGTACATCTATCACGCATTCTAAAAAAATGTTCACTTTCTATTTCATTTTTTTATAGTTTCCATATGGAAAACCAAACAGCAAATGATGGGCCAGCTCCACAGAAACAAGAAATTAGGGGTCTTTTGGATGGATCAATTTAGAAATGAGTTAATTTGATCAATTGTCTCGTTTTATAAACGAGGCAATTAAAACGAGTCAATTCGAATTACCTGCCCCCACCCTAGGTAATTGAAATGGACTCAAAACGGATCAATTCAAAATACCTCAGGCATATTGATCCATCCAAATTTTGTGCAGGCAAACGAGGCAATTTGGTACAATTGTCTCAAAACGAGACAATTATGTCAAATTGATCAGTTACAATTCCTCATCCAAACGACCTTAATGTTTTCTTTAAATTGGGTACATGGATTTTCCCCCCATTTATCGTGAGGATGTTTAATGAGGATGGGGATTCGAATCCCTCAACCAACAATATTTATTGTGATTAATTTGTAAAGCCCAAAATCTTTTGACAAGTTCCAGACTCGGACTCGCCACTCCTCGTCTTCGCCGCCAAACTCTTTTCCTTCCCTCTCAATCCCACACGGGCAATCCTCCTCCTCCTCGTTGTCTCCTCCAGATCTGTCGCCGTTTACCTCCACAGCTCCCCACCAGGCCCAGTCGTGGGAGTGTGTTGGCAGGCCCGCCGACACAGGGCCTCACAACTTAAGGGGTCTTCACTAAATACAACAAGCTAAGTATTAGTTATAACTTAGGGTAAATAACTTATTTTGCACTGAACTGTACCTAATAATCAACTTTGACCCGTTGTTTCAGAAATTACTATCATGGCCTCAACTATACACCATATATACTCAATTGGTCAGACGTGTGTTTTGACCGTCAATTTGTACAGTCAACACTGTTGACTAACGGTAGTGGCGGAGCCAGAAAATTGGCCAACGGGGTGTTTATTCATATCAGAAAAAATCAACTATATATAATAGAAAAGTCAACATTAAACGAAATAAAAAATCGACAGCAGAGTACTCAATAATTTTACAATTATATAATAATAGTTCGACTCATACCACTTATAACGAACAACGAAGAGATTTCATATTCTGAAAACATTGTAGAACACATTCCTTGTGCAAACTAGCACGCAACTCTTGTTCGATATATGTCACCAACTCATCGTTTATCCAATTTTGAATATAATTGTTTTGTATATTCATGGGTGAAAATTATCTTCCCACACTTATAGTTGCAACGTAACATACAGATAATTGTCAACTTTAGAACTAAATAAATAGATAGATACGGTTTGTCTTAAGTTTTTAAACATGTCATCGAATGGTAGATAAAATAATACATGAATTCAGCTTATGACCGAAAAATATCATAAGATTTGGGGTGATTGGTATGAACCCTATCTCAGACAGTGTAGCATACCGGATGTTTTCATTGAGTTGTGTTCTCTTCTTAGCCCGTGCGTTTATGGTCATTCACGTTATCCTGGTTTAGTGAATGCTCTAGCAACTTTGTGCCTCCAAAGTTCCATAGGAAGCGGCCCCACTCCCACATTCACATAAGTGAGTCTATCAGGAGTACCCCCAAAGTAAAGTATTCCACCCCACATAAGGTATAGATCTCACTAAGAGTTATTAACTCAACCTCCATTGCTTTGGGATTCATGCTTCACTATGCATGAACTTTTCGCATACTACTCATGACTTGTTATTACCCATTGAACCCATTTCTCGGGATCTCCAGTCTATTGGGTCGGGTTACCATCACTTGTAGTCCGTGGTTCGGTAGGCATAAGTCTCATACCCTTGGCGGTATTCTGGACTTTCTCTCTAGGTAATGTTTTCGTCAAAGGATCAGCTAGATTCTGTTCGGATCTTATATGATCCACCCTCACTGCTCCTATCGTTAGGAGTTCTCTTACAGTATTGTGCTTACGATGAATCTTTCGTTTCTTTCCGTTATAGAACCGGTTCTCAACTTTAGCGATAGCTGCGGTATTATCACAATGGATCAATACCGGAGGGACCGGCCTTTCCCATAAGGGAATCTCTGACAACAATCCTCTCAACCAACTTGCTTCTTCACTAGCCGTTTCTAGTGCTATCATCTCTGATTCCATAGTTGATTGAGCTAGGATTGTTTGTTTCTTTGACTTCCAAGACACAGCTCCACCAACGATGGTAAAAACATACCCGTTGGTTGCCTTGGAGTCATCTGATAGGGTATTCCAATCCGCATCACTATACCCTTCTAGTACAGCAGGAAACCTTTGATAGTGTATACCAAGGTTTGCTGTTCTCTTGAGGTATCTCATGACCCTCTCTATAGCATTCCAATGCTCTCTACTAGGACAGCTATTAAACCTGCCAAGCAATCCCACGACATATGCAATGTCTGGTCGAGTGTAATCCGTAGCATAACGGAGACTGCCAATGATGCTAGCATATTCTGATTGTCTTACACTGTCTCCAGTGTTCTTAAATAGCTTTACACTAGCATCATACGGAGTACACGCAGGTTTACAGTCGAAATAGTTATATTCTTCAAGATCTTCTCTATGTAGCTAGATTGATCTAGAGAATAACCATTTGCTGTTCTAGTTATCTGGATTCCAAGCATAAACTTCGCTTCTCCCAGATCTTTCACCTCAAAGCTCTCTTTTAACATGGCTTTCGCTTCATTGATCACGTGAATATTTGTACCAAATATCAACATGTCATCTACATACAAACATATGATAGTGCAAGTGTTATTTTCTGACTTGCAGTAAATACACTTGTCACTTTCATTCACCTTAAAACCATGTGAGAAAACGAGAGTGTCAAACTTCTCATGCCACTGTTTTGGAGCCTGTTTCAAACCATATAATGATTTGTCTAACTTACATACTTTCGAGGCATGTTCGGGGATAATAAACCTTTCTGGTTGTTCCATATAGATTTCTTCATCCAGATCACCGTTCAAAAAAGCGGTCTTAACATCCATTTGGTGTACCACGAGATTGTTCAAGGCAGCAAGAGCAATCATCACACGAATGGATGTTATTTTTGATACTAGTGAATAGGTATCGAAGAAATCTATATTCTCTCTCTGCCTGTAGCCCTTAACTACTAGGCGAGCTCGGAACCTTCGATTGCACCATCAGGTTTCCGTTTCGTTTTTAGAACCCATTTATTACCTAAGACTTTGCAGCCAGGAGGTAAGTCTGTTAGATGCCAAGTCTTATTAGCTTCTAAAGATTCCATTTCATCTATAACGACCTCATTCCAAAAATCTGCATCTATGGAAGTTAATGCTTCCTGCAAACTTTTTGGATCTTCGAGGGTGTATACTGTAGTAAAGTCATCACCAAAATCTTTAGAGATTCTAGCTCTTTTACTTCTTCTGAGTTCATCCTCAGAACCAACACCCCCACTAGTTTCGTTATCTCTAATAGCGGGTAGTACATTACCCCCACTATTTCTCGTTTTAAATGGAAATCGTGTCTCAAAGAAATCAGCATCAATGGATTCTATTATAGTACGAGCATTCAAATCATAGAATCTATATGGCTTCCTATTGGCCGCATAGCCAATGAAGACACATTCATATGCTCGACTAGCCAACTTAATCCTCTTAGGATCCGGAATTCTTACGTAGGCCAAACAGCCCCACGTTCTTAAATAGGACAGATTAGGTGGCTTATTCTTCAAGATCTCATAGGGTGATTATTTTCTATTTGTTTTTGGAAGACGGTTTAGCACATAGCAAATCGTCAACAAAATATCACCCCACCAAGAAGAAGTAGCTCCAGAATTGAGCAAAATAGCCACAACTAATTCTATAAACGTCATATTTTTCCGCTCAGCTTTACCATTCATTTATGGTGAATATGGTGCCGTGGTTTCATGAATGATACCATGTGAGCTAGAGAATTCCTTGAAGGGATTAGAGTCATAGTCTGATCCTCTATCACTCCTAAGTCTTTTTATCTTTCGATTGCACTGATTTTCAAATTCAACCACAAATACCTTGAACATGTCAATGGCTTCACTTTTGTTTTTCATCAAATAAACAAAGCAAAAATCAGAGCAATCATCTATGAAAGTGATAAAGTATCTCTTGTCAGACCTAGTTAACGTCCCATCTAGTTCCTTAATTAAATCTGTCGGTTAAGATAAACCCTGCGGGATTATCCTTCGAATATTTTTAGTCGATTATCCTTAGAATATTCCGCAGCATAACCGATTAATAATTAATTATTAGATAATTAATTTCGTTCGGAATTTCTCCAAAAATATATATATATAACCAACCGGTCGGACGGACGGGCAGACGGCGCGCGCGCGTGTGTGTGGTGGCCCGTTAGGTCCTCCCTCTCCCAAAAAGTGGGTCACCCCAAGGGGCAATGCCCTTAGGAGAGAGACTCCTATCTTTATACACATTTCACCAAGTAAAACTATCAATGTGGTAGTTTTTCCACTTGAGACTCTATAGCTTTCAAAACTATTCATATATACATTTCCAACAAAACCTGGAAGAACCGGTGTTGAAATATCTTCGGATCCACCGCCACGGCGCCACCGCCTGAACCCTTGTGGACTGTGGTTGTTGATGACAATTTACGTATTATCCTATTCTGTTCCTTAATAAGCGGAAGAA